AACCAAATGAGAATGAGGCCAGGTGACAGAGAAGCCGGTCACCACACTGGCATTGCCAGGGTGCGAGCAGGAGCAGCCGGGGGGGGGGGGTCTGTGAGCTCCCCTTCCCTAGCCCTAATATTCTTATGCCCAAAGAGAATGAGAAGACAAGCCCTTGGGCTCCACCAGACCAGAAATCGGAAAGATCCCTTCCAACGTTGAAGGAACGTCTGTAAAAATCTGCTCAAGGGGTGGGGGTGGGGGGGCTGGATCAATAGCACAGCGGGTAGAGCGTTTTGCCTTGCACGCGGCCGACCTAAGTTCCATTCCCAGCATCCCATATGATCCCCTTAGCACCGCCAGAGGTAATTCCTGAGTGCAGAGCCAGGAGGAACCCCTGTGCATCGTCGGGGTGTAACCCAAAAAGCACTGTAGCACTGTCCTCCCCTTGTTCATGGATTTGCTCTAGCCGGCCCAGTAACGTCTCCATCGTGAGACTTGTCGTTACTGTGTTTAGCATGTTAAATATATCACCGGTAGCTTGCCAGGCTTTGCCGTGAGGGCGAGATACTCTTGGTAGCTTGCCGGGCTCTCTGAGAGAGGCAGAGAAATCAAACTCGGGTCATCGGCCACACGGGCCGCGTGCAAGGCAAACACCCTACCCACTGTGCTATCGCTCCTGCAAAAAAAAAAAAATCTGCTCACGGATGGGCACAGGGCCTCATCAGAGAGGTCTGTGCGTCTGTACAAAAGGGAACAACAACCAGCAGTCAGGGAAGAGAAGTAGTCAAAGCGAAAATAGGTGATAGGACAAAAAACAAAGGAAACCTCAGGCCAGAGCGATAGTGTGGTGGGGAGGCTGTTTGCCTTGCATGCGGCTGACCCAGGTTCAATCCCCTTGAGTCCTTCAGGAGTGATTCCTGAGTGCAGATCCGGGGGTAAGCACCGTTTCCAGGCAGGTGTGCACCCCCACCTCAGTGCATCACAAAAAAAAAGAAAAGAAAGGAAAGAAAGAGGGAAAGAGAAAGAGAAAGGAAGGAAGGAAGGAAGGAAGGAAGGAAGGAAGGAAGGAAGGAAGGAAGGAAAGAAGGAAGGAAAGAAGGAAGGAAGGAAGGAAAGAAGGAAGGAAAGAAGGAAGGAAAGAAGGAAGGAAGGGGAAGGAAAGAAAAGGAAGGAAGGAAAGAAAAGGAAGGAAGGAAGGAAGGAAGGAAGGAAGGAAGGAAGGAAGGAAGGAAAAAGTCCTCAGGAACGTGGAGAGTGTCAGCTCCCCGTACCCCAATAAACTTGGCTTCCTGGTAAAGTTCTCCCTATACTTCTCCACCCCCACAATCAGGGGGTCCCCGCTACAGTACCCTGAGTCCCCCTTCCTGGGCCTGCAGCAACAGCCGTTACTAAGCACTCTAAGGTCACCCCATCAAATTCAATTCACTCTGCGTTGGCCCAGGAGACCAGAAACCACACATTTATTTATTGCTTCTTTTTTTTTTTTTATCTCTGTGTCCTGTTACTTAGCTGGCACAAAAGGAATGTGTGAAAGAGTTCTGGCCAGAGGGATGTGTGTGGGATTCAGGCAGTCAAGGTGGCCTTGGAAAGTCCAATGATATAACTGCAGCAGGTGCCCAGCAAGCCAGAGGCTGGGCAGAAAAGTCCCTGGTCAACTAGACCAGCAACACTGCCCTCTAACTCTTCAAAGTCCCAATTAGAAGGCAGGGGCGTGGGGGGGTGTCGAGGGGCGGCAGGCAACATGGTGGTGGCTGGAGCGATAGCACAGCAGGTAGGGTGTTTGCCTTGTATGAGGCCGACCCAGGTTCGAGTCCCAGCATCCCATATGGTCCCCCGAGCACTGCCAGGAGTAATTCCTAAGTGCAGAGGCAGGAATAACACCTGAGCATTGCCGGATGTGACCCAAAAACTAATACATAAATAAATATTTTGTTTAAAAACAATAGTGTTTCAAATCAGGCAGCTTTGGGATCGAATTTATACTCTCCTACCAATTGAACCTCGCCTTCCATCTTCCCACCTGTAGAATGACGAGAACATATTAAAAAAAGGGTGGTCATGGCATGTAGACCAACCTAGAGAAGGATTCGAGGCCAAGACACCATGTCCGAAAGTAAAAAAAAAAAAAAAAAAGGAAGGCAGGGGGCGTCTCTTAGCTAGAGGTTGGAGTGGGGCTTGGTCCCAGACATATCCAGAAGAAACAGAAATGCCCAGATATACGGAGGCCTTGTGGATGAGGGTGCTCTGGCTTCTAGGGGCCTTTCTCTAGAAATGCAAAAACAATGGGGAGCTCTTGAGAAGAGCCTGGAAATCTCAGCACCTGCCAGACATGGGGGCAAGCTGAATACCCCCCCCCCAGAGGAAGTGGGTGGTGGAAGATGTGAAAGACAAGGGTAAAGGTAAAGGTAAAGGCCCTCCCGTTGTTCATCGATTTGCTCGAGCGGGCCCAGTAACGTCTCCATTGGAGACTTTGTTGTTACTGTGTCTGGCATATCGAATACGTCACGGGGAGCTTGCCAGGCTCTGCCGTGCGGGCGAGATACTCTCGGTAGCTTGCCGGGCTCTCCGAGAGGGGTGGAGGAATCGAACTCGGGTCGGCCATGTTGGCTGCGTGCAAGGCAAATGCCCTACCGCTGTGCTATCGCTCTAGCCCAGCAAGACAAGGGTGAGAGGAAGAACTTTGCAGGGGAGCAGCCAAGAATAAGGCCCAGCCAGGGCCGGAGAGACAGAACAACGGATAGAGCGTTTCCCTTGCACGTGGCTGACCTGCTTTGATCCCCGGCACCTCAGTGGGTCCCCCAGGCCCCGCCAGGAGTGATCCCTGAGCACAGAGCCAGGAGTAAGTCTTGAGCACTGCCAGGTGTGATCCAAAAACAGAAAGAAAAAAAAAATCCCAGAATAAGGCTAAGCCTAGTAGGATGGTGGAGGCAGGATGGGAAGCCCCCCACGGCTGGCCCAGAGAGGAGTGGGGTACTCCAGGAAGGGGTTCAGTGCCTGCTCCCCCCTGCTGCCTACAGAGAGGGCATGGGGTGGAAAGGGGTGGTCTCCAGGGAACAGAGAATCCCTGGGCTTGGGGCGGGGGGGAAGACTTGGGTCTCTCTGCACCCCTTCTGCAAGTTCTCCCTAGGGATCCCCAACTCCTCACCATTCCCTTAAGGTCTCCTCTCCCTCACCCCCACCCCAGGACCTCACTCCCAGGTCCTCCTGGAGCTTAAAGATGAAGCACATGTGACTGATACAGGCAGGGAAGGGGCAAGATGGGGCGGGGGGGATGGACAGCAAATTGCTGGGTCCCCACAACAGGCCACGCAAAGCATGCTTCTGTCAATCACACTCTGGGGGGCTCCCCCACCTTGAGAGACACCCCCCCAAGAGCTGTAGAGGGCACTGGGGGAAAGGTGGGAGGATGGAAAAAATGAAGCGAGGGAGGAAATCGTAGCGCTGGTAGAGAATGTGAGATCACATGGAGGAGGGGGCTGATGTTTTCAGAGCCCCGCCCCCCCCCCACTGGAACCAGGGGGAAGGGTTAGGGGAAGGGGTCGGACCCCTGGGTTCTCAGGTCCTTCCGACACCCCCAAATCCTAGGAATCAGGGCAAGGCTGGGAGTGCACCGTGGAAATCCATCTTCCCTCCCAAGTGACAAGACTGGAGAAGTGACCCTGACTCCAGAGCCACAGGAGGAGAGGGAGGGAGAGGGCTGGACGGGTCAGGGCAGGGTTGGGCATGGGGCTCAGTGACCCGCACCTGCCCTGTAGGTATGAGAGGGTGAGTTCCACCCTGACTCTGACATCTCATGCAGTGCCGGGACCTCTCCCAGTGAGACCCCTGGCACAAGTGTGAGACCCCAGGACATAGCAAGTGCAATGATGGGCCAGGAGAAGAAGAAAGAGGAGGAGGAGGAGGAGGAGGAGGAGGAGGAGGAGGACGAAGAGGAGGAGGAGGAGGGGAAGGCGGCGGAGGAGGAAGAGCGCAAGGAAGGAGAGGAGGAGGAGGAAGAAGAGGAGGAAAGGAGAAGGAAGAAAAAGAGAAGGAGAAGGAATAGGACAGGAGGAAGAGGAGGAGAAAAGAGAGAGAAGGAGGAGAAGGAGAGGATGAGGAGAGAAGGAGGGAGATCACATGGGGGTGCATTTTCAGAGCCTTGCCCCCTTACCCTGGAGAGGAGGCAGGGAGGAGGAGGAGGAGGAGGAGGAGGAGGAGGAGGAGGAGGAGGAGGCAATGGGAGTAGGTAGAGATGATAGGATGGTCCGTGGCCCTATCCGGGGCTGAGAGGAGGCAGAGGAGGGGTCTCCGGAGCCCCTCACACAGGGCTTGCTATCTTCCCACCATTCTGTAGGGGTCTTGGCGCCATCAGAGGAGGGCTCAGCGGCTGCAGGGTGAGTCCTCCCAGACCTACGCCCTGCAGAAAGATGCTTGCTTGGGAGGGGGTGGGCGTGGGTATGTGGGGGGTGTGTGTCTGGCGGGGGTCTGTATGCAGATTCTTCCAGATCTGATCATTTCTAAAACTTCTCCCAGCCGAAGCGTTGCAGGGGAGAAAGCCCCATTCTGAGCCGGGCTGGGCGCCCTCTAAGCCCTTTTTTTTTTTCTTTCTTCTCTCCGGAAGGGGAAAGAGGGCGTGCAAGAGGGGGGCTGGTTTGCAAACTGTGAGGGGGGGATGGTGGAGGAGTGGCACACAGGGGAAGCAGGGGAGGGAGCGTGCAGAGGGGGCCCCACTGGGCTAACTCCTCCCAGAGCACGTCGGAAGACCTCCATCCCCCCCACCTCCTGAGCTCTGAAGTCCCCCTGTAGAGAGAGGCGCCCGCCCGCCCCGTGGTGGCACCCAGCCTGCGGAAAGCGGGAGGGTGCAGCGAGGAGCCAAGTTCACCCACCTCCGCAGCCGCTGCCCTCAGAGCTCGCCGTGCCCCCAGCCGAGGGGCGTCCCCGACCAGCTCCGCCTCGCGGGGCATAAAAGCGGTGCCAGGTACCCGCCGCCGCGGAGCCCGAGAGGCTGCAGCCGGCGCCCCGGGGCGCGGGCAGGTGCCATGGGCCGGCGCCTTCTCTGCTGTCTGTGGCTTCTCGGGGTGCTGGCGGGGCTCCCTGCCACCCCCGTGCCCGGGCGCTGTCCCGAGAAGCACTACTGGGCTGGGGACAGCTTGTGCTGTCCCATGTGTGAGCCAGGTAAGGGCGGTGGGGGGAGGTGTCCAGGGGAAGGGCCGGGAGGCAGCACCCCAAGGAAGCGGGGAGCCCCCGGCCCCCGGGCCTTTGACCGAGACCCTCTGCTCGCAGGCACGTTCCTGGTGAAGGATTGTGTCGGGCCTGGGAGGACCCCGAAATGCAGCCCCTGCGTGCCCGGGCGCTCCTTCAACCCGCGTCACCACCACAGGCCACACTGCGAGAGCTGCCGGCTCTGCCACTCGGGTGAGCGAGGCTGGGCGAGCCGGGGTGAGGGGTCGAACGCAGGCGGCAGAAGCCCACCCCCCCCGGCAGCTCAAGACCCCTCAAAGGGGCAAAGGGGGCTTCCCGGGCGGGGGAGAGCTTGGGTGTTTGGGGTTCGGGAAGGGTGAGCTGAGCTGGAGGGGCTATTGGGGGCTCCATGGCCAGGATCGAGGCAATTAAAAAACCCTAGGAGGGGGGCTGGAGCGAGAGCACAGCGGGGTAGGGCTTTTGTTTGCCTTGCACGCAGTTGACCAGGGTTCGATCCCCGGGATCCCATATGGTCCCCCAAGCACCACCGCCAGGAGTAATTCCTGAGTGCAGAGCCAGGAGTAACCTCTGAGCATCACTGGGTGTGACCCAAAAGGCAAAAAAAAAAAAAAAAGCCGGGGGGGGGGGGCGGCTGGAGCGGTAGCACAGCGGGGAGGGCGTTTGCCTTGCATGTGGCAGACCCCGGTTCGACTCCCAGCATCCCATAGGGTCCCTTGAGCACTGCCAGGAGTAATTCCTGAGTGCAGAGCTAGGAGAAACCCCTGTGCATCACCGGATGTGACCCAAAATGCAAAAAAAAAAAAAAAAAAGCTCCAGGGATTCTTCATCTTTTTACACTCCTGACCCCCTTGGTGCTGGAAAATGTTTACATAATTCCAGGTCTATAAGGTCTCATAAAAAAAAAAAGAAAGAGGGACTGGAGACCCCTCCCCGTGTCTCCCAGCTTCTGAGCGGCCCTCCCTGCTGGCATTTCCTTCAGAGTGCTTCAGAACCTTCTCTGGCTGGCATCCCTAACTGCTGAATTTCTTTGCCTTGTTCTCCTGAATTTCTTTTTTAATTTTTATATACATTTTATTTTTGTAAAATTGGTTCACAATTGGGGCTGGAGTGATAGCACAGCAGGTAGGGCGTTTGCCTTGCACGCGGCCGACCTGGGTTCGATTCCCAGCATCCCATATGGTCCCCTGAGCACTGCCAGGAGTGACTCCTGAGTGCAGAGCCAGGAGTGACCCCTGTGCATCGCCAGGTGTGACCCAAAAAACAAAAAAAAAAAGAAACTTAAAAAAAAAAGAAAGAAAGAAAGGCATACAAGAGTCGGAGCGATAGTACAGCTTGCCTTGCACATGTCTGACCCGGGTTCGATCCCCAGCATCTCATAGGGTCTCCAGTGTACCACCAGGAGTAATTCCTGAGTGCAGAGCCAGGAGTAACCCATGGACATTCCCAAAAGAGAGGCATACAAATTAAACATGTACTGATAATAAATTATAAAGGAATTAATTACTACTATTAAAACAACCCTCCACATTCTGTTACTCATATGCAGTCACACCCCAGTTTCAGAAGCTAGAGAGTAGCAAGATGGTAAAGTTGAGAGCAAGTTTTTCCACAGGACTGTTTAACTGAACCCCACACTACCTGCCCACAGAATACAAAATATGTCTGGTCATACTGGATAGACAGATAATGCTATATTCCTTTTGGGGGGCGCACCCAGTAATTTCTGGCTCTGTGCTCAGGGATCACTCCTGGCAGAACTATATGAGATGCCAGGTATGGAACCTGGGTTGGTCACATGAAAGACAAGACAAGTGACATATCCACTGTACTATCACTCTAGTCTCCTTAATGCTATATTCCTTTAAAAAATGTGGGTGGGGCAGTGGGAGGGATAAGAAAAAGAGGAGGATGAAGAGGAAGAGGAAGAGAAGGAGGAGAAAAGAAGGAGAGAGAGAGAAAGGTGGAGGAGGAGGAGAAGAAGAAAAAGAAGAAGGAGGAGGAGGAGGAGGAGGAAGAAGTAGTAGAAGAAGAAGGAGGAGGAGGAGGAGGAGAAAGAAGTAGAAGAAGAAGGAGAAGAAGGAGGAGGAGGAAGAGGAGGAGGAAGAGGAGGAGAAGGAGGAGAAGGAGAGAAGAAGAAAGAAGTAGTAGTAGTAGAAGAAGAAGAAGAAGAAGAAGAAGAAGAAGAAGAAGAAGAAGAAGAAGAAGAAGGAGGAGGAGGAGGAGAAGAAGAAGAAGGAGGAGGAGGAGGAGAAGAAGAAAGAAGTAGAAGAAGAAGAAGAAGAAGAAGGAGGAGGAGGAGGAGGAGGAGGAGGAAGAGGAAAAGGAGGAAGAGGAAAAGGAGGAGAAGGAGAGAAGAAGAAAGAAGTAGTAGAAGAAGAAGAAGAAGAAGAAGAAGAAGAAGAAGAAGAAGAAGAAGAAGAAGAGGAAGAAGAAGAAGAAGAAGAAGAAGAAGAAGAAGAAGAAGAAGAAGAAGAAGAAGAAGAAGAAGAGGAGGAGGAGGAGGAGGAAGAAGAGGAGGAGAAGGAGGAAGAGAAGGAGGAAGAGAAGGAGGAAGAGAAGGAGAGAAGAAGAAAGAAGAAAAAGAAGAAGGAGGAGGAGAAGGAGGGAAGGAGGAGGAATTTCTATGTAGATAAAACGTCCACTAACTTTCCACTTAACTTCAGAATGACCGCTGAGGCTGCTTAAATGATGAAGTCTGTGTGTGCACATGTGAGGCCCTCAGTTGAGCTCAGCAGGATGTGGCCCCGGTGGGCCCCCAAGTATCTGGGGAGGCCCCTCTACAAAAAAAATAAAAAGACTCTTCTCATCTGTCTCCCTCTTCCTGGCAGCAAGCCCACGGTTGGAGGGGTTGTGTCAGATCTCTTCCGCTCCCTCCTGCGCCCAACACTGAACAGTAACCCCCTCACCAAGTCCCAGACCCCTCCAATCTACGACCCTTCTCTAGGGGGCTTGCCCACAGCTCCCCCATCCCCCACCTCATGCCCAGGACTTAGGCACCGGTAAAATGCCGGAGGGCAGTGGAATGATCGGACCTGCACTTGGCCTCAGTATTCCCATCTGTAAGATGGAGAAGTGGCTGAAGTCCGCCTGGAGTGCGGGGCAGAGGGACTCCATGGTGGAGAGAATTGGGCTCTCTGGATACTCAGTTCTGGGGCCAAGGAGATGGTGCAAAGGGCTGGAGCACATACTTTGTTGGCAGGAGCCCTGGGTTCGAGCCTTAGTCCCACATGGTCTCCCTAAACACCGTATTAACGTTCCTTCCAAAAAAGAAAATCAGGGTTGAGAGATAGTACAGCAGGTAGGGTGCTTGCCTTGCACGCAGCCGACCACGATTCAATCCCCGGCATCCTATATGATCCTCCAAGCACTACCCACTTGTGGACTATAGCTCTGGCGCCACATTTTATGAGTGTTTTTTTTAAGTACAGTACAGCCAAGCCCTCTGCAAATCCATCCTTCTTGTCCTTGGGCGGTCTACCTTTGCTCCAGGTGCTGAAGACGGCGGGTCCAGCTGATGGCTTCGTGTCTGTGTCTAGCTCCTGTTCTAACGTGAATGACACAGTTCATTGCTCTGCAGCCATGACTTCCTGGTGAAGTGGAGGTCTGGGGAGAAGGGTTTTTTTTTTTTTTGGCTTTTTGGGTCACACCTGGCGATGCACAGGGGTTCCTCCTGGCTCTGCACTCAGGAATTACTCCTGGCGGTGTTCAAGGGACCATATGGGATGCTGGGGAACGAACCAGGGTCGGCCGCATGCAAGGCAAACGCTCTACCCGCTGTGCTATCGCTTCAGCCCCTGGGGAGAATTTTAGGAATCTTAAGTAAAACTTGTTCCTGATTTTCTAAAGTAAAAGGGGGTGGGGCTTGGGGGGGGTAAGAAAGAGAAAAAAGAATCTGTACCCCTCCCCTGCCCCGCAGGAGGCACTGGAAATTGATGGTCCCCCCCTCAACCCCCCCTCATTCTCGTGGTCTCCAGCCCATACCCCTACTACCCGGCCGCCTCTCCCGGGGTCCCCAGGAGGCCACCGCAGCTGGCTGTGGCCTGGCCCACATCCTGTGTTTTTGCCCGTTTGAGAGAATCCCCTTCTTCCTCTCCTTCTTGGGGCCCCTAACCCAGTCTTGCACCTCTTCACTCCCATCCCCCCAATCAGTAAAACACTGTGCAGCCACCCAGTACCACCTCCATCTTTGAATGAATCTCGATTTCTCACATTTTATTCTTTTTTGAAGTTTTGCTTTTTGGTTACACCCAGCGATGCTCAGGGGTTACTCCTGGTGGTGCTCAGGGGACCATATGGGATGCCAGGGATCGAGCTCGGGTCAGTGGCTTGCAAGGCCCTACCCACTGTGCTATCGCTCCGGCCCCTCTTACATTTTTCATTTCATTTCATTTCATCATCCTGTTATTCGTCGATTGCCTCGAGCAGGCCCCAGTAACGTCTCTTTCATCCTAACCCTGAGATTATATTCAAGGCTCTTTAGGAGAATGAGACCCATCATTGTTACTGGTATTTGGCATATTTGGTGCGCCACGGGGAGTTTGCCAGACTCTGCCCTGTGGGCAGGCTACATTCGTAGCCTGCAAGTTTGTCCAAAGTTACATTTTATTTTCATTTATTTTGGGGTTTGCGGGCCATACCTGGAAATGTTTGGAAGTTATTCCTGGCTCTGTGCTCAGGAATTACTCCTAGCAGCGCTTGGGGAACCAAATGGGATGTTGGAGATCGAACCTGGGTTGGCCCCGTACAAAGCAAACCTTACCTGCTGGACTATCGCTCCAAATTCTATTTTATTTATTTTTTATTAAGGCACCGTGATTTCCAAAGTTATTCACAGTTGAGTTTTAGATAGACAATCACGATCATGATCATCCTATTGTTCGTCGATTGCCTCGAGCAGGCACCAGTAATGCCTCCTTCTTCCCAGCCCTGAGATTTTAGAAGAACCATATTCAACGCTCTTTCAGGGTTAGGAGAATGAGACCCGTCATTGTTACTGGTATTTGGCATATTGGGTATGATGCGGGAAGTTTGCCAGACTCTGCCGTGCGGGCCGGATACTTTCCATAGCCTGCCGGGTTCTCCAAAGGAAAAACAAGATAATAAGATGTCATATTCCGGGAGCTGGGTTTTATAGTCTCTGCATCTTGGCCGTTGATGGGACCAACCTGGCGCCGGCGGCAGCTGGTGGGTGTGACGTCAGTATAAACAATACTGCATCACAAATCGCTCCATTAAGGTGCCCATATTCCTTCCATATCCCCCACGCTCCAGCCTGCCCTCCTGACGGGCCGCTTTCTAAGTTCAGTTCTTCAAGTTTGGGTCTCTTGATTTCAGCATTGTTGACCCCGTGGGGTAGATATCTGGCTGTGTCACTCCTTACACCCCCTTTGTGCCTGACTCTGACTCCCCTGACCCGACCCTCTGTTGCTTCTCATCTTGAAGACAGGCAGATTATGCGAGTCATGTCGGAAGGAGAGACTTTCTCCCCATGCACCTCTGCCCCCGCTGGACCTGCCGGGAAGGCTAGGATTGATCATCTGTCTCCGCCCCCTCCCCTCCACTCTCTCTCTCTCTTTTTTTTTCTTTTTGAGTCACACCCAGTGATGCTCAGGATTTACTCCTGACTCTGTACTCAGGAATTACTCCTGGTGGTGCTTGGGGGACCATATGGGATGCTGGGAATTGAACCCAGGTCAGCCGCGTGCAAGGCAAATAAATGCCCTCCCCGCTGAGCTATCATTCCGCACCCCCCCACCCCCCTCCACTCTTTCTTCTCTTCCCATCCCTAGATTCTGGCACCAAGGTAGTGAAGCTTGTATCTTCCCCCCCCCCCTTTTGGGTCACACCCAGCAATGCTCAGGGGTTACTCCTGGCAGTGATCAGAGGACCATATGGGATGCTGGGGATCGAACCCGGGTCAGCCGCGTGTAAGGCGAATGCCCTATCCGCTGTGCTAATGCTCTGGCCCGAAGCTTGTATCTTAAAGCCAAAGGATGTGAACATCAAGCAACTCTTTCTTTTGTGAAGCAGAATAGCTTTCATTGAAACTTATTTAGAAAGATGTGAGGGGAAAGTAAGGCAGAAGTGTGTGTTGAAGAGAGAACGCGGGCTTCTCCAGAGTGGAACTAGGCCAGCAAAGAAACACAGAGATAAGCGAGTGTATCTGAACATGCAGAAGTGAGAGTTCAGGATAAGAAACAGTTATGAAGAAATTAAAAATAGGGACTGGAGTAATAGCACAGCGGGGTAGGGCATTTGCCTTTGCACGTGGCCGACCTGGGTTCAATCCCCAGCATCCCATAGGGTCCCCCAAGCACCGCCAGGAGTAATTCCTGAGTGCAGAGCCAGGAGTCATCCCTGAGCATTGCTGGATGTGTTCCAGAAAGAAAAATAAATAGCACTGTAGCACTGTCCTCCCATTGTTCATTGATTTGCTCGAGTGGGCACCAGTAACATCTCCATTGTGAGACTTGTTACTGTGTTTGGCATATTGAATACGCCACGGGGAGCTTGCCAGGCTCTGCCATGCGGGCAGAATACTCTCGGTAGCTTGCCAGGCTCTCCGAGAGAGACGGAGGAATCGAACCCAGGTCGGCGGCGTGCAAGGCAAATGCCATACTCACTGTGCTATTGCTCCAGCCCAAATAAATAAATAAATAAAAATTAAAAACAAGCTCAGGACCTGGCTGGTCTCTGAGGCTTCTGTCTCATGTTCTCGTTCTCTCCTCTCTGCCCAGGGCTTCTCCTTCGCAACTGCACCCTCACAGCCAACACAGAGTGTGCCTGCCCCCACGGGCTGCAGTGCAGGGATGAGACATGTTCGGAGTGTGACCCTCCTCCCCCACCCCTGCTGCCCACCCGACCATCTCAGACTCCAGCCCAGAACCTACAAACCCACCGCTGGCCCGAGGCCAAAAGTGAGTTCGAGCCATCTGAGCAATCTCTGCCCTACGTCACCACCTCCAGCCAGCTCCCTCAGCCCCCTTCTGAGCCCACCCCCACTGAAGTCTCCTGGTTCCCCCCCACCCCCACCCCCCGTCTCTGTCCTCCCTTTCTCCACTGCCCACCCGCCTCGCCGCAAGCACCTCCAGGCTCCTGCCTTGTCCTTCCAGACACACCAGAGGCCAGGATGCCCCTGGAGATGGTGCAGAGTCCCGCCAACGCCAGACAGCAGGAATCCGGGGGACCCTGGCTGGATGTCATCAGAGCGGCTCCTGAGATTAGGGGTGAGGAGATGGGTAAGCAGGGTCCCGAGATGAAGACAGAAAATGGGGTCTCAGGAAGTTGGGGGGGGGTGAGGAGAGAGAGGCAGAGGCTGACTGAGAGCAGGTCTGAGTGTCTCTTAACACCCCCCGCGTGGGCCTGTCTCAGCCCCCAGGTCGCTGTGCAGCTCCGACTGTATCCGCATCTTTGTGGTCTTCTCTGGAATGTTCCTGGCTTGCACCCTGGTCGGCGCCCTGTTCTGCCATCAACGAAGACAATCTGGGCGAAGTAAGAGACCCAAACCCAGCGCTTCCGCTCGATCCCGCACCATCTCAGCCCTGCACCCCATCCTGGGACCCGGACAGCCCCCCACCCCTCCCCCTCCCCTCCTCATCCTCATCACCTCCTCCTCGCCCTCCCCCACGCCTCGTCTTGGCTCAGTTCCAATCCTGTGCCCAGGCTCTCCGCGGGGCGCCTCCAACTCACGGCTGGTCCTCCCCGCAGGCAAAGAAGGGCATCCCGAGGGGCCTGCGGAGCCGGGTCCTCACTGCTGCCCCCGGGAAGAGGAGGGCAGCGCCTTCCTCCCTATCCAGGAGGATTACCGCAAACCCGAGCCCGCGTCCGAAACCTGAGCCCCGCGCCCTGCCCCGGGACCCCCGCCGTCCGCAGATCCAGCCCAGCGCGGCGGGAACGAGACCTGGAACCCACCACCACCACCACTTCAGGATGCCCCCCCTCCATTCTCTCTCGGGCCCCGTTGCTGTGGACAGACGAGAAAGCACCCCTTTTCCCTGGGGTGCGCGGAGAGCTGGACACCGGGCAGGAGACGGGGCATGGGAAACCGGTTCCCTCCTCCAGGCTTCCCCCGACCCCGGCCCGCGGGAACGCTGGGCCCAGGGGGGCGACACCCACTTGCAGCCGAGATCTCCCCGAGTCTCTGTTATCACTGACCTACAATCTCAGGCAAATAAAAGCGCCGGCCCCCTTTCCCGCCGTGAACGCGCGTCTCCGCTAGACTCGGGTCCAGTCCCGCGGCCGGCCTGGGGGCGGAGCTTGCGCGCGGCGCACGTGCTGATAGGCCCTGCCCGCCGGGGGCGTGGCAAGGGGCGTGGCCCCATCCCGGGGCGCGCCCTGAGGGCGCGGGCGCGGTCCCCGGGGCGCCCGGACGCCCGCAGCGGGCTCAGATCTCTCCCTCCTCCAGTCTCCCGCCCTCTTACGCTGACTTATATGTCTGTGTCCCTGCAGCTCCACGTTGCGCGACGGGCAGCAGTGCTAGGTGCTGAGATCACCGGGGGCTGATTTTTGGGGGGTCGGGCAGGGCGGGAAGTGGAGGGAGGCGCCCCCAGGACTCTGCAGCGGCGGCACCTGCAGCAAGCAGATGGCTTCACCCCGAGGCCCCAGGTAGCCCCGGCGCCGCTTTCCGGAAGTGAAAGCGAAAGAGAAGTGGAGCGGAGACGGTCGAGGGCTGAAACACCAGCAGGCGACCGGGCGATTGGAGCGCCTGGGGGGGTTGGGGGCGAACCCCCACCTCCACCCGATTCTTCTGCGCGCCCGGGGAGCGCAGTGGAGGGGCCCCTGCGTGCCAACCGCCCCCATGGGCACGGAGGCCGGGTGGTGCCTGCTGCTCTGCCTGGCTCTCTGGGGAGAGGCGGTGCCCAGTAAGTGGGGGAACCCCTGGAGGGAGGTGCTGGGCTGAGGAAGTCCAGGCCGTCGCCACCCCCCCCAGACGCCAGGTGGGAAAGGAGAATCCGGGGCGACAGGGGGGTCTTCTGAGCTCCACTGGTGGATGGCAGCGACTGGCAAAAGCGAGGAAGCTGCCAAGCCTGGCCGAGGCCAGTGAAGAAAGGGGGGAGGGGGAACGTCCTCCTGAGGCTGGAGGGGGAGGGGCTCGCTGTGCCACAGAGGAAGAGGAGGTTCTAAGGGGGTGGGGTAGGGCAAAGCGAACCCCATGCACAGGTGGGTCCCCGCTGTGCGGCACAAATATCTGTCCCCAACATGAGCCGGGCACATTTATTCTTCTGAGAAGTTCAAAGTCCTCAGATTACAGTTGGTCAGCACCGGGCTTTCTAAAGCCCCTTCCGATCATCCTATAAATGATTCCTCCCAGAATTAGGGGTGTTTCTCGGAAAGCTGAGGGCTGGAAGGGCGGGTAGGAGAGAGGGGATGCAGAGACAGCTAAGATTCCAGAAGAGTCCCCTTGAGGACTCCGCAGTTTGCGAGGTGGGGAGTCTAGAAGGAATTTTCTGGGTCACAGAGCTCAGCCCAGGGGCTGGAGCAATAGCACAGCGTTTGCCTTGCACGCAGGCGACCTGGGTTCGATTCCCAGCATCCCATAGGGTCCCCTGAGCACCGCCAGGAGTAATTCCTGAGTGCAGAGCCAGGAGGAACCCCTGAACATCGCCAGGTGTGACCCAAAAGGCAGCAAAAAAAAAAAGCTCAGCCCCCCCCCCCACGCTTTTCCCCCAGCAGACAGGCTGTGGCGCCCGGTGGATGTGATCTTCGATTGTCTCCTGGCCAAGGAAGGCGGGCCGAGAGCAGGTTTCACTAGCAGTGAGGACAGGGCGAAGGCCGTGCTGGTGCTCAGACAGGTGCCCGTGCTGGACGATGGCTCCCTGGAGGGCTTCACCGACTTCCAGGGGGACCAACTATCCAAGGATGACCCACCTGTCACCTTTGAGGCCTCAGGTAAGAGTCCTCCGCCCCGGGCCTAGTCTTGGGGCTCCCCCGGGGATGGCCCAGTGCCAAGAACACCTCCTGTGCCTCCCCAACCCCCTAGACTTTGTGTCTGCCCCCAGCTCACCTTCCTCTGTCCTTCTCTCCCAGTGGACCTCGTCCAAATCCCCCAGGCCGGGGACCTCCTCCACGCAGAGTGCAACGAGAAGCAGGTGACCTGTGAGTTCTCGCGCTACTTTCTCCAGGCGGGGCCGGAGACCGCAGTGGACACAGCAGCCTACTTCCTGGCCAGCGTGCAGGTGTCCGAGGGCGGTCCAAGCATCTCCATGGTGATGAGGACGCTCGGGGAGGTGGACAAAGGGAACGCCTGGCATCCCACGCTAAACCTGCCCCTGAGTCCTCAGGGTACTGTGAAGACTGCAGGTGAGACCCCCCCCCCCAAAAAAAGGGGGCAGAAAGTTCTGTTCTGTTTGGGTTTTGTTTTGTTTTTTTACTCCCCTTAAGTAGCCAGAGGTGGGGATGAGGGCATGGAAGAGAAAGGACAAAGAGTTTTTTTTTCTTTTTGGTCACACCCGGCGATGCTCAGGGGTTACTCCTGGCTCTGCACTCAGGAATTACTCCTGGCGGTGCTCAGGGGACCATATGGGATGCTGGGAATCGAACCCGGGTTGGCCGCATGTAAGGCAAATGCCCTACCCGCTGTGCTATCTCTCCAGCCCCGAAAGAACAAAGAGTTTTGAATCTCTATCATACTGGTCATCCCGGGGTCCCCACAGAAGGCCCCAAATGGGGCCCGAGAGCTAGTACAATAGGTAAGGTGATTGCATTGCATGCAGCCAACCCAGGTTTGATCCCTGGCATGGCATCAGGTCCCCTGAGCAGAGTCAGGAATAGACCCTGAACTCAGCTCCATGTGTCTCAGAAACAAGAACAAAAAGAAAAGAACTCGGACGGGGTAAGGCATAGGAAGACAACTCAGAGGGCGGAAGCACATGCAGGAGGCCTGGGTTTCATCCCTGGGATCACATTTCTAGGAGTGACCCCTGAACACTGCTGGAGTGGCCCCCACAGATCCCAAGTGGGGATCATTTTCACCTCATGAAAGGGTAGGCACCATTTTCTCCCACTGAATGCCAGGCCGATCTGCTGCTCCGGGATCACAGTCATGGTCACGGTCCTCCTGTTGTTCATCGATTTGCTCGAGCGGGCCCAGTAACGTCTCCATCGTGAGACTTGTTACTGTGTTTGGCGTACTGAATACATCACGGGTAGCTTGCCAGGCTTTGCTGTGCGGGTGAGATACTCTCGGTAGCTTGCCGGACTCTCCAAGAGGGGCGGAGGAATCGAACCCAGCTCAGCCGGGCCAGCTTCGCGCAAGGCAAACGCCCTACCACTGTGCTATAAAGCACAGGGTCTCCCAGAATCTGTTCATTCACTTTTTCAAAATTTTTGACAAAGCTTTTTGGTTTTTGGACCACACCTGACAAGTACTCTGGGGTTACTCCTGGCTCTGCACTCAGGAATTACCCCCAGCGGGGCTCAGGGGACTATATGAGATGCTGGGGATTGAAATGGTCTGCCACATGCAAGGCAAAGGCTCTCCCTGCTGTACTATTGGTCCAACCCTGCTCATTCACTTTTTTTTTCTTTTTGGGTCACACCCAGTGATGCACAGGGGTTACACCTGGCTCTTCACTCAGGAATTACTCCTGGCAGTGCTGGGGGACCATATGGGATGCTGGGAATCGAACCTGGGTTGGCCTACCCGCTGTGCTATTGCTCCAGCCCCTGCTCATTCACGCTTATGAATAAAGCATGGCCCTTGCTCTTTCCGACTCAGCATATTCTAGAAGGCTGAGAAATTTAGGACACAGTGGGAGGTTCTCGAGAGTCTGTCCCATGCAGTTATTTGGCTCCTGAGATGTCAAGAGATGTTTCCAGAGCTGTCCTTCTAGGCTAAGAACATTCCAGAAGGGGCCAGAGTGAGTAGGGCATTTGACTTGCATGCAACCCAGCCGGGTTCAGTCCCTGGTCCCCTGTGCACCACCAGGAGTGATCCTTGAACCCAGAGCCAGGAGTAACCTTGAGCACTTGCCAGGTGTGGTCCAAAAACCAAAACCAAAAGTCGTAGAACACCAGGAGCTTTCTGCTGACATCTGTCCAGTGCCGATCACATTTCTGGCAGGGCTAGTCTTTTTCCTTTTTTTTCTTTTAAGTCTGGACTATTCTCACACATACAACAAAGGGCAAGGAAGAGAAGGAATGTCTGTGTGCCCTTCACATGTGGCCACAGTCTCTTTGACTCACTTCTACTCACCAAAGCTACAGATAATGCCACAGTCAAATGCTGCCAAATGCTGCCACCGGCTTACAATACAAGACAAGGATATTTCCCTGCATAACCACCAAGCCATCCCCTTGGCAAAAATCTAGGGCAGTGGCCTAGACTTTGGTGGGCATTAAAGAGATACAATGGAGTGTGCATGGGGGGGCGGGGGGGACTGAATCGATAGTACAGTGCGTAGGGCGTCTGCCTCGAATGCAGCTGACCGGGTTCATTTCCCAGCATCCCATATGGTCCCTTGAGCACTTCCAGGAGTAATTCCTGAGTGCAGAGCCAGGAGGAACCCCTATGCATCGCTGGGTGTGACCCAAAAAGAAAAAGAGAGAGAGAAAGATACAATGGGGAAAGGGATTCTGAAGCTTGAGAGTAGATTCCATTGGGCTTCATCTTTATTAAAAAATATATATATATTTTATTTGAATCACCGTGAGATAGTTACCAAATTGGTCATGATTGAATTTCAGTCATATAATGCCCCAACACCCATCTCTTCACCAGGGTATATTTCCCACCACCAATGTCCCCAGTCTCCTTCCTGTCTCCCACCCTCTCCCACCACCTGCCTCTATGGCATGCCTCTCTCCCTCTCCTACCCCCCCCGCCCTCCCCACCCTCAAAGTGCCCCATACCCTCTACCTCTGTCCTTGTGTCACTTCCAGTCTCCCTCTTCCAACACCCCATATCTTTCCCCAACAGCTTGATTATCCCAGTTCCGCCATCATTTAAAGAGCAGGGGTTTGACATTCAATATCATCTGGTCCATTGTTTAGTTTCTCTGTGTGCCATCATTGTGAGTGATCACTGAGTAGCTTAAGGTGTTTTTTTTGTTTGTTTTGAGGTCACACCAGGCTGTTTGGTAATCACACACACACACACACACACACACTCAGGGCTTACACCTGGTTGTGCTCAAGGTGTAAAATATAGTTCCCAGAGCATCACTCCTGGTGGTGCTCTGGGAACTATACGTGTGCCAGGGATCAAACTTGGGTTGGCCGCATGCAAAGTAAGCGTTTGGGGTGCTGTACTAGCTCTCTGGCCCACCTAAGGTAGTTTTCAAATTGATCCAGTAACACTATCAAATAAAATGTCAAAATCCAAACTTCTTCACTGATGTTCTATGTAAATGTCAGAGCTGGGGCTGGAATGATAGTACAGTGGGTAGGGCATTTGCCTTGCATGCTGCCAACCCAGGTTTGATCCCTGGCATTCTATATGGTCCCCTGAGCATCGTCAGGAATGGTTCCTGAGTGCAGATCCAGGAGTCACCCATGAGCATAGCCGGGTGTGACCCAAAAAGCAAAAAAAAAAAAAAAGAAGAAAAAAAAAGAAATTAAAGACACTTAAAAAAAAAAAATAAAGTAGGGCCAGAGCGATAGTGCAGCAGGTAGGGCGTCTGCCTTGCATGCAGTGACCCAGGTTCAATCCCCAGCATCCCATAGGGTCCCCCGAGCACCGCCAGGAGTCATTCCTGAGTGCAGAGTCAGGAGTCACCCCTGAGCATCTCCGGGTGTGACCCAAAGAGCAAAAAAGAAAAAAAAAGAAAAAGAAAAGAAAAGAAATGCTTACTGGAGCTCAGATGAGCAGCATGTGAGTTCCGTCGCAGGCCAGAGAAGAGGCAGGCAGTGATGTACCCACAACCCCGGGAGCAAACACCAAGGAGGAAGCGGCTTGTTATCCTCCGCTTACTCTCTCTCTCTCTCTCGCCCCAGTGCAATTCCAGATAACCACCCAGACCCCCACCCTGACTTCTCCGCTGGGGTCCTCGGTCTCCCTGCACTGCGGCTTCTCCAAGGCACCAGACCAGGCCCTGCTCAGCGTAGAGTGGCGGCTGCAGCATCAGGGCCACGGGCGGCTGGTGTACCGCTGGATCCGGGGACAGAGGCGGGTAGAGCGGCCGGGTGCTACCCTGGAGCCGGAGCCACTGCTGGAAGCGGGCGACGCCTCCCTCAGCCTCCCCGACCTCGTCGTGGGGGACGAGGGCACCTACATCTGCCAGGTCACCACCTCCCAGTATCAAGCCCAGCAGATCGCCCAGCTGCACATCCGAGGTAGAATCAGAGCGGGGTCCGCTGGGGGATGAGTGGGGTGGGTACCCCAGAACGGGACCTGGATACTAGGGCCACCTCTGGAGAGGCAGATGGCCTGCACGTTGCCTCCATGCCCGTCCCAAAGCCTCGATGGCACCGAGCTGAGCTTTCTCATCGGGGATCAGCCTGGGGGTGACACCTCGCGGGCAAGCCCCCCACTTGCCCCCATGTTTTCTTTGGGGGGTCACACCCGGCGATGCTCAGGGGTTGCTCACACCCAGCAGTGCTTGGGGGACCCTATGGGATGCTGGGAATCGAACCTGGGTCAGCTACGTACAAGGCAAACGCCCTCCCCGCTGTGCTATCGCTCCAGCCCCATTGCCCCCGTGCTTTCAGACCACTTCCTAGCCAGCAGCAGGGAGCTGAAGAGAGGGTATGGGGGGCCCCCACCCCCCGCATCTCACCACCCCACAGCCTTTCCTCACTTGCTCATCCTGATGATGAACAGCAAGTAGCCCGTGGAGGCTGGAAAACTCTAGTGCTTTCCACATGACGGGGAAGTGAGGTGCCCTTTCTGGCTTGTATTTGAGGGTCCCCCTTGGCCGTAGGGAGAAAACCCCACTGTTCAACCTCACAGCAGGAAAAAGCAGCTTGGGGTATTTCTGAGGGTCATAAGATCCCTCTGGAATTCCCAGCCTCCTCTTTTTTTTTGGGAGGAGGGGTGTGTGTGGAGAGTTTGGGGGTTACATCCTGCGATGGTCAGGGCTTACTCTTTTTTTTTTTTTTTTTGCTTTTTGGGTCACACCCAGCGATGCTCATGGGTGGCTCTGCACTCAGGAACAACTCCTGGCAGTGCTCAGGAGACCCTATGGGATGCTGGGGATTGAACCCAGGTCTGCCGCATGCAAGGCAAATGCCCTCCCTGCTATGCTATCGCTCTGGCCCCATCAAGGCTTACTCCTGACTCTGTGCTCAGGAATCACTCCTGGCTCTGGGGACCGTCTGGGACAGCAGGGATCGGACGCTTTGCATGCTGTACTATCTCACCCGCCCCCCTCACCTCCTGTCTTCCAGCATCCCCCAAAGTCCGACTGAACCAAGAAACTAAAAGCCTGCCTCCCACTCTCACCTGCCACGTCACTGGCTACTACCCTCTGGACGTGGCCATCACCTGGACGCGAGAGGAGCCGGGCAGCCCCCCGGCCCCTGTCCCTGAGGCCTCCTTCTCCAGTCTACGGCAAAGTGCGGCCGGGACCTACAGCATCTCCTCCTCCCTCACTGCTGACCCCGGGCCAGCGGGTGCCATGTACACCTGCCAGGTCACCCACGTGTCCTTGGAGGAGCCTCTGCGAGCCAGCACCTGGGTTGCCCCACCAGGTACGGGGAGTACCCTGCTTGCTCACCTGCCTCAGCGCCTCCTGCAACTGTTGGCAGCCTTGACCTTGTCTTCTGTCTTCCCCAAAGGGACAGCCACCAACCTGTTCCCCTCCCCCCCCCACACACACATACACCTACTTCCTCTCAGCCCAGGCCACCAGCTACCAACCTGTTCCCTACACACACACACACACACACACACACACACACACACACACAAACACAAACTCTTCCTCAGCCCAGGCCCTATGCTGAGAGGCAGCAGGCAAGGCTGATGGAGATAGCTCTGAGGACTGCAACCCAGGTATCACCTCTGGGGGACCCAGGTTCGATTCCCCAGTACACATGATCCCCCAAACATAGTCCAGAGAAACTCCCAAGCACCAAGTTAGGAGTAGTTCCCCCCAAAGAGAACAAAAAAACAAACAAAACCATATTTTTATGGGCCACACCCAGCGGCAATGTTCAGGGGTGTCACCTGGCTCTGCACTCAGGGATCATTCCTAGCGATACTGTGGGATGCTGGGGATTGAACCCAGGTCAGCTGCATGCAAGGCAAATGCCCTACCTGCTGTACTATCGCTCTGGCTCAAAACCCCACAATTTTTTTTTAAATTTTTGGGTCATATCTGGTGATGCTCAGGGGTTACTCCTGGCTCTGCACTGAGGAATTGCTCCTGGCGGTGCTTGGGGAACCCTATGGGATGCCGGAAATCGAACCTGGGTCGGCCACGTGCAAGGCAAACGCCCTCTCCTCTGTATTATCGCTCTGGCCACAAAAACCCACATATTTTAAGTCATCCCTAACTCTTCCCTTGAGGAACTCAGCCCCCCAGCCCCACCCCTCCCAATACATAAGCAGGCAATCTGCAAAGATGCTGGCGGGGGGGTAGGGGGAGCTGCCAGCCCGGTGTGAGGGGGATAGAAAGCTCTGGAAAGTCCCGCCTTTACAGTAGCCCAAGGGCAGAAGGGGACTTGCCAGGAAGAGGCTTTCCCCCTCAGTGATGGGCACTATCCTGCCTCGCCTGATGCGGAAATTGGGCTCGCGGGCGCTAGTTTGCCTGAGACACCTGCAGGGTAGGTAGTAAGAGCCAACACAGCTGATGGCCAATTGCCCCGACTGCTGTTAGCCCACGGATCCTGAGGGCTGCCAGCCCCGCCGCCTCTGGAGCCACAGAATAGCGTGGGAAGGTTTGAGCCGGGACCGAACGGGCACCTGGACATGCAGACCTGGGGAGCGCTGGGCAGTGTCGCGGAGCTCAGCTGTCAGGGAGCTCAGCCGATTACCACCAGCCCCTGAGGGCTATCTCAGTTCGCACTCTTCCCTGGCCGTTGGCAGAGGTCCAGGTGAATGTCAGCGACTGATCTAACCTCAGTCTCTTGCCAAGCAATGAGACGCGCTGAACTGGGACAAGATAGAGAGGGGAACTGGTGTGGGCTGACCAACGAACATCCGGCAACCTTGTGGGTTTGTTGTTCTTTGTTTTCGGGTCACGTTTAGGGGCTATTCCTGAGTGAGTCCAGGGGACAAGGCTGTGCCGGACCTCCTACGTGTAGGATGTTTGTCTCCTTCCTCACCCACACAGACACACTCCTGAAACGGTTCACACACACACATACTCTCTTTTATGTTACTACATAGACACACAGTCCTATATCACACGCTCTCACTCTCAAACGCCCATGTCACTTTTCTCACACTGTTCTAGTCACTCTTCTCACGCAAACTCTCCCATGTCACTCCTCTCTCACATACACTCCTGCGTCACTCCTCACACACACTTGTCATTCCTCTCACACACCTTGTCACTCCTCTCTCAAACTCTTCCATGTCACTCCTCTCATTCACACACTCTCCTGTGTCACTCCTCGCACACACACACACACTCCATGTCACCCCCTCTCTCACATACTCTGTCACTCCTGACACTCTCCCGTGCCACTTGCCTCTCACACATATGCCTGTGTCACTCCTCACACATTCCCATGTCACCCCTCCTCACACACACACACACACACACACACACACACTCCTCTCACACACTCATCACTCTCACTGTCCTGTCAGTTCTCTTACAGTCTCTCCCATGTCACTCCTCTCACTCGTCACTCCTCACGCACACACGCCCATGTCACTCCTCTCTCACAGAGACCCTAGTGTCACTTCTCTCACACACACTCCTGTCACTCCTCACACACAGTGTCACGCTTCTCTGACTCTCTCCCATGTCACTCCTCTCATGCACACACTCCTGTGTCACTCCTCACACACACACACTCCGTCACTCATGACACTCTCCCATGCCACTTGCCTCTCACAAACATGCCCATGTGTCACTCCTCTTACACATTCCCATGTCACCCCTCCCTCACACACACACACACACACACACTCCCCACACACACTCCTCGTCACTCTCATACACACTGTCCTGTCAGTTCTCTCACACTCTCTCCCATGTCACTCCTCTCACACACTACTCCTGTGTCACTCCTCTCTCACTCATCACTCCTCTCACACACACTCCTCACACACACTGTGTCACTCTTCTCTGACGCTCTCCCATGTCACTCCTCTCATGCACACACTCCATGTCACCCCTCTCTCACACACTCCGTCACTCCTGACGCTCTCCTGTGCCACTTCTCTCACACACATGCCCGTGTCACTCCTCTCACACAAACACTCCCCGTTACTCTCTCACACACACTGTCCTGTCAGTTCTCTCACACTCTCTCCCATGTCACTCTTCTCTCACACAGAGACCCTAGTGCCACTCTCACACACACTCCCGTGTCACCCTCCTCACTCCACGTCAGCCCCGGGTGACGTGTGCGCAGGCTGCTCCCTGCACTCTGCCCCCTGCCTCCTGCCCACGCCGGCTCTCTCACCCCCCAGAGCAGAGAACCATCTTCGGCGCCCTCTTCGCCAGCTGCCTCTTCGTCCTCACCCTGTGGCTCCTGGTGCTTCAGAGGCGGCAAGGTGAGCGCCCCCCTCCCAGGATGGGACCCGCCCCAGCCCTCGGTTTGGGGGTTACCCCCGTTGAAAGCAGCCTCTCTCTTCGCTTTTCTCCTAGCGACCTCCCCGAGGTCTGCCAAGACGCTGAGGGCCTCCGGGTAACCCGTCTCCTGCCGTGGCGTGGGATGGAGGCATCACGGAAGGGCCCCGACGCCCCTTCGAGCGCCCCCATCCCCCTGGCCCTTGAGATGGTAGCAGGAAGGCGCAGTTCTCGGCACTGAGTCCATCTTGCTCTGCATCCTGGAGGATGAGGAGGCGACGGGAGCAGCTCTGAGGGCACCAGAACCCCCACCCCAAGGACTCGGCCCCAATAAACGCCCCCTGGGTCCTGGGAGCCAGCCTGTCCCATCTCTGCCTCCAACTGCCACCCCCCCCACCCGCCAAGCCAGGCCGTCAGATGCAGCCCTGTGCCCGCTCCTCGGCGCCGGAACATTCTGGAAGGTTCTGCCCTGATGGGACGGTGGTGGCCGGGGAGCCGGGGGAGCTGAGCTGGGCATGAGAAGCCCCCAGTGAGTCACGGGGAGCAGTATCGCGGGCCCTGGGGTGGGTGAGTGGGTGCGTGTGTGGGGGCCCAGCTGGCATCCAGGTCCCCGGAAGGAGGCGGGGACAAGCAGCTGTGCTGTGTGGGGACGTGCGCCACCCACTCAACTTCCCGCCGAGCCGAGCACCCGAGGCCTGAGTGCCCGGGGCAGAGACCACTTCCTCTCCACAGCGCCCCGGCCCACCCGCCTGCCCGTAGTTCCCGGGCCCCCCTGGCCCGCACTCACGCCCCACAAAGCAGCAGCGAGTCTGTTTGGTTGAGTGGCAGGAATCTGTAATTTTTTTTTCTTTTTCTTTTTCTTGTTTGGCCTTCGTTCAGAATGCATGAGATTGGTAAATATGCCACATGCCTTTGGTGGAGGTACAAGTGTTCTGTTCTATCCTCGGGAGAGATAGGACAGGGGGCAGGGGGGGGGGGGCGGGAGGACAAAAGACAAGGAGGCGATGAGAGACCCCCAGTGGAAACCCCACATCATCTCACGGGAACTGAAGAAACGGGGTGGGGGGGGACGGGGGAAGCTCGGCTTCATTTGCCTGCGCAGTCCCGGGGTGGGGTGGGGTAGGGTAGGGGGGTTAGTTGCATATTTGCTCATGCGCGTGGGGTCCAGGGGTGGAGAGTGAGGCCGCACATGGAAGGGGGCATGGGGTGAGCCAGAAAAGACTAGATGGGTCCACGTTCCCACCTCCCCACCAAGAAAATAAAGCCCAACGATAGCCCGGGAGCCTTGGTGGGGGACTGACCCCCCCAGGAAGCAGTTCCGGGGAGCTGGGCTGGGCATCCCCCCCCTGGGGTGGGGTGTGGGGGTCATACTCCAGGCCTGGGCGGCATCGAGGACAGAGGAAGTTCTTCTCCAGCGGTGACCCTCCCCACAGCACTAGGGCAGGGAGGAGCCGAGAGGAGAGTGGACACACTGACCGACCGCTTCCAGCTCTTCGGGCGCCCTCCCTGGGGCAGGAGGAAGGGAAGGAGGGGGGCCGGGGTCGGGGAGTGGGGGGGAGGGGACGATGGGATCTGAGCCATGAAATGCTGCTGCGTGGAAAGAGGCTCTCCGGACCCCGCCCCGCTGCAACCGCTTCCCACACGGAGACCCCAGAGGATGGAGGGGAGGAGGGGAGGTGGGGAAGGGAGCTGCCCCCCCCACCAGCCCTCTCCCCCCTCTGCACCATCTCCTACTCCTGGTCCGTCCCGCCCCACATCCTTCTCCCGTACCCCAGTCGTGGCCCACCACACCACATGGGCTGGGCACCTCACATCCTTGGGTTGCACCATCAAGGGCAAAGACAAGGAAAGGAAGGAGACAGAGAGGGAGGCGGGGAGGGGAGAAGTGGGCTGGGGGTGGGTGTCTGAAAGGGAAGTAGTGTGTGGAGAACAGGGGGCACAGAGGGAACAGGATAGCAACACACAGCACGGCACGGGGGTGCAGACACCCAACTTCCCCCAACACTCAGGAAGGGCCCTCTGCCTCTTCCCTGCCTTTGGTAAGCGCCCAGGGGTGGGGTAGAGGGAAGGAATCTCTGAGGACCCCGGGCCCCTGGCTTCAAAGCCCCTCGCCCTCTTACCTCAGGAGGAAGCAACAAGTCCCTCCCTGAGAGGATGCAGTTCCCTCAGGGCATGCAGTTCCCCTGGGGTGTGCAGTTCCCTCGGGGCGTGCAGTTCTGAAGGGCACCGTGACTCTGGCTACCTCACTCTCGCACTCTCTGGGCTGACAGGAACACAGAGCTCCCCACCCTTGGGCAGGCCGAACTATGGGGGGGCGGGGGGGGGCATCATCACAGATAATCCAGAATCGCAGAAAAGGTGGACACGGGAGCATGTGCTGCCTGAGCCCCTGTGCTGATGGTGCCCACGTGGCCGAGCACATGTGTCACTGTGTCGCCCACATCTCCCCTCTTGAGAGGTGCACTTTCCTATCTAATGCTGGGGTGTGTGTAGGGGGGCTCTCTCCGCCCTCAGAGAAGCCCGGGTTCTCTCTTGAGCACGTTTCTCTACTCCCTCCCACTTTCTCTTCCTCCTCCCCTCCAAAAACCTCCAAATAAAATCTGTTTTACTCCCCCCCCCCAAAAAAAAAGAAAAGAAAAGATGGACACGGGTGAGCCGCTTCTAGGGGCTGGGCCCGTGGGACCACCTCACGGATAGGAAAGAGAGTTCTTGCCTCTTCCTAGCTGTGGGGACGCTAGGAACCGGACGTCAGAAACAGATCTCTGGAGGACAAAGCGTAAGACCCTGAGAGCCCTGAAGGGAAAGCGCCTGGGCTCACAGTTTAGAAATAAGGCTCACCCCACCCCCCAAACTCGGGCTGGAGCGATAGTCCAGTAGGGAGGATGTTTGACCCAAGTTCAATCCCTGGCATCCCATTGGGTCCCCCAAGCACCGCCAGGAGTCATTCCTGAGTGCAGAGTCTGGAGGAACCCCTGAGCATCACCGGGTGTGACCCAAAAAGCAAAAAAAAGAAGAAAAGGAAAGAAATGAGGCCCCTCGCCCTCACCCCCGACCAAAGTAGGCTTGACCTTCTAGAAAAGCGTGGCACGCCAGGGCCTGGGCCCCACCCCACGACTGTCTCGGAACTGAAGCATCAAGAGCCTGGAGGGAGCCGTCAGCAGCTTCCTTGGAACTCATGAGCACCTGTCCCCATGGCATCCCCTGGCCTCGGCGCCTCTTTTTGGCACATCACCACCACTCTGCCCTGTCCCTTGGCCTCCGAAGGGCGGGGGGAGGCCCCCGCGGCTGGCCTCCCGGGAGTGACCTCAAACGGTGCCACGAGCAGCATTTCTGGTATCGGGGGCGTTCACGTATGGCAAATGGAAGCAACAGAAAAGGGAGAGAGAGGAAGGGCCGTGGAGAAGCCTGGGCTGGGATGGAGGCGGCGGTGAGAGCAGAGAGAGAGACAGAGAGACAGAGAGACAGAGGGACGGGAGTCTGGACAGCACGGGGAGGGGTGGACGAGGGCACATTCTCAAGTAAAAAAGTAGACTGGACACAGGAATCAGCAAGTCCCCGAAGGAAAAGGAGCGACAGGGAGAGAGAGAGAGAGAGAGACAGGAGAGAACAAGAGGGCAGGTTACATGGAGTTATTAAACGACCCAGGTTTTCGGTCGTTCTAACATCCCATCCCCCTGGTCTCCCTCGGACCCAAGCCAGTGGCCATCAGCACAGCCCCCACTTCCTTGGAACGGGCAGCTTCCCTCGGTCCCTTGCAGGGGAAATCCCGTCCCTGGAGGCAGCGCCTGGTCTCGGCCCTTCCTCCCTCCCAGCCCAGCGGCAGCGATGTCCGTACCTCGTTCAGAGCAGACCCATCCCCAGGCAGGCAGGCAGCAGGCAGGGCCGGGAGAAGGCGGGGACCGTCCCACCTCTTCACCCCACCAGCCACCTCAGCGATACTTACTTACAATAACTACCACGATGATGGCACAGATGGCCCCCAGCATGATCATCATCTGAGGAAACAGAGAAAAGGTGAGGCATTGGCTGCGGGGAAGGAAGAGAGGGCCCAGGGCGAGAGAGAAAGGAAGAGAAGGGCAGGAGCGATAGCACAGCGGGGAGGGCGTTTGCCTTGCACGCGGCCGACCCAGGATCGATTCCCAGCATCCCATAGAGTTCCCCCAAGCAGTGCCAGGAGTAATTCCTGAGTGCATGAGCCAGGAATAACCCCTGAGCATTGCTGGTATGACCCAAAAAGGAAAAAAAAAAAAAAAAAAAACAGGGAAGAGTCTTTCAACTTTGGGGGAAAAAATTCGTATACGTCTCCAATGCAAGCCCATCTCCCCCCTCCAAAAAAAAAAAATACTTTTTTAAATCCTAGCACCACAGTTAAAGCATCTCAGAAACCACCTGAAGCTGCCAGCTCATGCCTGCTGGCTTTCTCCGGCTGCCTGGAGGCCTCAAAAGGAGGAACCATGGGCTGGAGCGATAATACAGCGGGTAGGGCATTTGTCTTGCATGCAGCCGACCCAGGTTCGATTCCCAGCATCCCATAGGGTCCCCTGAGCACCGCCAGGAGTAATTACTGAGTGCATTAGCCAGGAGTAACCCCTGAGCATTGCTGGGTGTGACCCAAAAAGCAAAAAAAAAAAAAAAAAGAAGGAACCAGCTGAATCTTCAGTCTGGCAGCTCATTCCCCCACTCCCTTTGGTTTCTGGGGTGCGGGACCTCGACCCTCCTCCACTGAACACAGCCAACATGAGACTTCTCCTCTGTTACTATCCCTGTTTCATGTCTCATCATTAAGGGCTTTATTCCTCCCTCAGAGTTGCAAGGGTTTGTGTTTGTTTGTTTGGTCTTGGGCCACACCTGGCGATGCTCAGGGGTGACTCCTGGCTCTTCACTCAGGAATGACTCCTGATGGTGCTTGGGGGACCATATGAGATGCCAAGGATGGAACCCAGGAAAATGCCTAATCGCTCCAGCCCCAGAGTTTCAGGTTTTTACAAAGTTCTCTACCCAAGCCATTGAGGGCCAGGTAAGAATTTTTATGTTCGCCACTCAATGCCTCTTTGGCTGATCACAGCGCCCAGGAGGAGAGAGAGAACAGGGGGGAATGCCCTGCCACAGTGGCAGGGGGGGATGGGGGGATGGGAGGATGGGGGGGGGGGGGAGGGATATTATCCTGGTGGTGGAAAATGGGCACTGGTGGAGGGATGGGTATTTGATCGTGGTATGACCGAGATCCAAGCACAAAAATTTGTAAATCTACAACTGTACCTCATGGTGTTTCACTAATAAAAAAGAAAAAAAAAAGAATTTTTATTGGGAATCCCTGTGGGGAAAGCAGCTGGACCTATTCCAGTCCCAATTTGCAGGATGTCCTATCTGGGGCTCCCAGTTAGTGTGGCTCTGTAGACGCTAGCTCACCCTGGTGGCCAACTCCAGTACTGCACCTCAAGGAGGCGGCTGCCTAGATTTCCTCCCAAGCGCTCTGCAGGGCAGGGATGCTGCGCCAATCATTAGCAGGGTGGGAACGAAGCACCTAGAGAGTTTTCTCGGGAAGGAAACTCACCTTGCAGTTTTTCCACCAATACTTCCTCTTTAGCTTGGCGGCGCTGCTCTCGAATTGTGATGCTCCCGCCTGCAAAGCGTCGGCCCGGTCATCCAGCTCTGACAGTTTCTGGTCTCTCTCCAGGACCTTGTCTACGTTGACGCGCATGATGTCCACCACCTGGGGGTGGGGGTGGGCATTGGAATAGAGCTGCCGGCTGCTGGACGCAGGGAAACCCCCTCCCCCTCGGGCCCTGGCTGAGATCAACTTTGCCTCCCCGAGGCTTGAGCCAACCGCCCTTGCCAATGAACTTCTCCTCGTCGATGATCTGGAATGTCTCAGAGAATTCTTGCATCACTCACCTCTTCCACCTGTGCCTGGGTTTGCTGTAGTCGCCGGTTACTGGTGAGATTCGGAGGGGGGCCAGGAGGACCCCCGCCGGGGGCAGCCCCCTCCGCCCCTTCGGCGGGTGGCTGAGCTGGAGCAGACCTGTGGAGAGAGGTGGGCGGAGGGCATTAAAGAAAGAGATGCAGAAAGAATCACAGCGGCTGGAACGATAGCATGGCGGGTAGGGCGTTTGCCTTGCACGCGGCCGACCCGGGTTCGATTCCCAGCATCCCATGTGGTTCCCTGAGCACCGCCTGGAGTGATTCCCGAGTGCAGAGCCAGGAGTCAGCCCTGAGCATCACTGGGTGTGATCCAAAAAGCAAAAAAATAAAAAAATAAAAATCACAGGCATCACTCCACCTCTCCCCAAGTCGGCCAAAGCAATGAGCACCGGTTTACATTTATGCAGACGGAAGGAGATAGAGCTCCCAGGATAAACGGACGCATGGGGGAAAAAGTCACAGGGGAGCTCATCGGTGGGGACACGAAGAGGGAGCTCAGAGGTGTTCAGAGATGGGATCTATCCTCAACCCTCAACCCCCCACTCAAAACACACCCTCTGCGGCAGTGGCTTCAAGGACAAACGTGACAGGCCTGGGTCTCACTCACTAGCACGTCTCTAGCGGGCAGAAACCTTAAGCATGAAGTCAAACTGGAAAACTCCAAAACTCAGGTAAGGACAAATTCAAAAAAAGAACCTTCAGTTGGGGAAAAAAAAAAAAAAAAACCAACCCATCAGAACAAGCCTATGGGTTGAAGACCTTATTTATTTATTTTTACAAAGCCCAGATAAAAGCAGCAAGGGAAAGCTGGCAGGCTGGGCTGAAGGGAATCCATTTAGTGGTTTGTGGTACCCAAGATGAGGCCAGGAGGGTGGCTGTAAGGACAGTCTGGGGGATCACAAGGCTTCTGGAGGTGGTGTGACTCAGGTCTGCTGGCTGTGCTTTAGGCAGAGAAGCTGGGGTTTCACGGAGACAGAACTGGGGCCTAAAGCCATTGTTTTTAGCGATGAAACTGTTCCAAGAACATAGACCAAAAAATAAATAAATAAATAAAACACTGGCAAAAGTCCTCTATGTTCACGCATCAGAAGCATTCTGTCCTTCTCTTTTGGAGACTGGACATCCAGTCTCCAGAATTTCTCCCAGTTCCTGATGACCCAAAGAGAAATCTTGTGTTACCCCGCCCCACCCCATCCCACCCCACAGAGTCTTAAAAGGGAATAATCCCACCAGGAGAAAGCGGGATGTTTTCAAGAGAAGATTCCTCTCTATGCTGTAAAACACACAGGCTAACCTCCCTTTTTAAAGAATTCCCATGAGGTTTTTGCTGCCCAGGAAGAATCCACAGGCGGGGGGTGGGGCAGGGCAGGGGAGCTCTTAAAATTTGGGAGGAGGGGCTGGAGAGAGAGCACAGCGGGTAGGGCGTTTGCCTTGCATGCGGCCGGCCCGGGTTCGATTCCCAGCATCCCATATGGTCTCCTGAGTGCAGAGCCAGGAGGAACCCCTGAGCATCGCCAGGTATAACCCAAAAAAGCAAAAAAAAAAAAAAAAAACAATTTTGGGAGGAAATAGAAATTATGGAATGTATCAATCGGAAGCAGAATCTCCCCAAGCATACCCCCTTGGAGCAGCCCACGAATGAATCATCATGAGAGCATCTTTGCAACAGTCATCAAAAAGGAAATCCTTTGACTCCTCACACCTAATGAATTACCAGGGAGTTTCTCTGCCTTAAAAAGTGAATTTCTTCCCTTGGAGAAAGAGAACCTTCCCCTCAGAGAGTTGATACTGGCAGATCATCCCAGGCGCCTTCCAGAGTTAAGGAATCGCTTTCTCCCCCAAAGGCATTGAAGGAAGCACGTGAAAGAAAAAGACACAGTGTGGAAGCCACGAGACTCAAGCCCTGCTACTGAGCTAAGCAATCTCATGCTCCCGCAAAGGTAGCACATTCATTGAGAGGTGGCTGGTGCTTGGTTTTGGAAGCCAGCCAGGCTGGTGGCACCAATGACAAGACTAAGGTCAGAGCCCGCGTGATGCCCAACCGGCCACCACGCTTTCTCCAGTCTCCTCTTCCTCCCACATGGGTGCTAATGAGAACCAGACCCCCTGAGAAATGCACCCCCCTCCCCAAAATGCAATCTGAGCTCTTGGTCCAAATGCAGGGTGTGCGGGATGAGAAGGGGGGGGGAAAAGAGAAAAAAGAGTTAAGTGGCCTCAAAGCTCAAAACATTCGGGGAGACCATTTTACCCACTGCTTCTGCCAGTTGGAACTACTCAGCAAGAAAACCCAGGGCGAGTGACACACCTTATATAACAGGAGTAAATCCCTTCCCGCTCTTATCACTCAGGGCAACACAAATTCATCTAGGACCAGCCCCAGAACCCCAGGCAATAACAGGAAAGGCATGGGGAGTCCCTTTCAGTCCCTGAACATACTGAGGTCCTGCCGGGAAGTGCATCTCATCTCCCCATAGTTTTCCCCCCTTCCCCGGGGAGCCAGGCTGCAGGGGAGTGATGCTGAAGATGGTTCGAAACTAAATTGAACGTTTTGGAAAGCGGGGAAGTTCTCGGAGACTCCTGGACAGGAAAAGACCTCTTATCCGGGGATGCAGATCTGCTTGAATTCACATTTCCACCCCTTGCATTTCGAACTCGCTCACCTGGCACCGGGGAACGGACAGGTGAGTTTTCGGAGTTTGGCTCATTTGCCCAGGTGGGGAGGGCGGAGGGGGACATCCCAGCTGGGAGTGGGGCGCACCGGCAAAAACCCGGGATTGCAGAGCAACCCAAGCGACTAGCAGGTGTACCCGCGAGTCTAAGCCCAGACTCGATCAGACAAGCGAGGGGCTGGCTGGGGGGTCCTCTCCGGGGGGCTCCCGGCTCCGCCTCTGCCCTGTCCCGAACTCCACTGTGCCCGAAGGAGGAACCCCGCAGGCCAGACGAAAGGATGCAGCGATCGTGGGACCCCCGCGCCCCCGCCCCGCCCGCGGCCGCAGCCGGTGCAAGGCAGTGGGGTGCTACCCTCCCACCTCCCCGGGGGTGGCCAGGTCTGGGGGCGGCGCGCGGCGGTGCATCCCCGCGTCGCCGCAGCTGCTGCAATGCGCCATTTTCCGTCCCGCAGAGTCCGGTGCAGGGAGGGGGGTGGAGGGGTGAGAGTTGGCCAAGAGGCGCCGGGTGTCCACCCCGGAGTTAACTCACATGTCTCTGACAAGAAGGGAACCAGGGTCCGAGTCTTCTATCGAGGGCGGCCGCGAGGCTGCACCGGGCAGGGTCGACGCTGCGGTGCAAGCGGACGGAGGGGCCGAGCTCCGCCTCCAGCCGACCCCTGGCGGGAACTCGAGCTGCGGTGCAAGTTACCGCAGCCGCCGCGCCGGGGCCGCTCTTTATTAACGCTGGCCACGCCTCTCGCTCGACGCCGACGACCCAACGGTCCAATCAGCGTCCAGGACGGGCCCCCGCGGGGAAGCCGAGCGCGGGCCCGCCCCGTCTCTGCCAGGTGTCCAATGACAGCGCGTTCCCTCACCCCGACTCCCGCAGGCAGTGGTGGCCGCGCGCGTCACTCACGGGCCCGACACCCGTAGTAGGCGGGGCCAAAATCGGCGGGCGGGGCGGGGTGGAACTCTGCGCCAGCCCCCTGGGAAAGCGGCTCCCGCAGTTGGAATTAGGCCCGCTGGGTGTTTCCAGCCAATGGCCGCGAAGTTCCTGCAGTCCGGGCCCGCCCACAGTCCTCGGCAGCCAATCACTCACGGCCGCTGCTGCCGCCGGCGGCCGTGGGTGAGGCTTGGCTCCTGGTTGCTGGACCAAGTCGTGCTGTGGTTGAGTTGTCTGCACTGCTGCTCCTCCCCGCTGCTGGTCCTTCTGACCGACAGCGCCCAGGAGGCAGAATGCATCCAGAGAGAGCTCTTGACAGAAGGTCCTCCTCGATAGGTGAACACATCGACTCAGAAACTTGAAAATCTTCCAGTTCATTTTTTTGTTTGTTTTTTTGTTTTGATACCGTACCCGACAATGTTCAGGGGTTACTCCTGGCATTTTGCACTCAAGCATTATTACTCCTGGAGGGTCTCGGGGGACCATATGGGATGCCGAGGATCGAACCCTGATTTGCCACGTGCAAATCAAGCTCCCTACCGGTTGTACTATAGGTCAGGCCCCCTTCCAGTTCATTTTTAACACTCCAATAAGTCATCGAGTTGAATAGACCGTCTCTTCTTAATAATTCAAGCATTTTCTCTCCTCTCATTTCGCTGCTTCATCCTATTTATTATTCTTTGCCTGGGACTCAGTTGCCAATCTCGCCATTATTCTATGCTGAGAAAAAAGGATACCAAACTATGACACAGGAGTGACATGGTAACAGAATTCCTGAAACTTCACACTCAGAGACTGATCCTTGCGTTTCTTTTTGTTTTGTCTTACACGTGTCCGTGATTTTTCACACAGTATAACCCTCTGTGCCTGCCATCAAGGATTTTGGTGATGCAGTAATTTTTTTTTAAGTAAAACAGATTTTATTTGGAGGATTTTGAAGGTGTGGAGGGGAAGAGGGGGAGTGGAAAAGACAGACAGAGAGAGAAAAAGAGAGAGAGAAACACTCAAGAGAGTAGGCGGGCTTCTTCAAGGTTGGAGAGATCCCTTATACACATCCCAGCATTAGACATGAAAGCATGAAAAGTCCACATCTCAAGAGGGGAGATGCCATGTGGCACAAGCAGCACATGGGCTTGGGCAGCATATGTACCAATTTTTTCCTCCCATTGATCATCGATTTGCTTGAGCGGGCCCAGTAACGTCTCCATTGGAGATTTTGTTGTTACTGTGTTTGGCATATCGAATACGTCACGGGGAGCTTGCCAGGCTCTGCTGTGCGGGCGAGATACTCTCGGTAGCTTGCCGGGCTCTCCGAGAGGGGCGGAGGAATCGAACTCGGGTCAGCCATGTTGGCTGCGTGCAAGGCAAACGCCCTACCGCTGTGCTATCGCTCCAGCCCAATGTACCAATAATTCTTTAAAAAGTGTTCTCTTTAGGGGGCTGGAGCAATAACACAGTGGGTAGGGCGTTTGCCTTGCATGCAGCCAACCTGGGTTCCCAGCATCCCATATGGTCCCCTGAGCACCACCAGGGGTAATTCCTGAGTGCATGAGCCAGGAGTAACGCATCGCTGGGTGTGACCCCCCCCCAAAAAATAAAAATAAATTAAAAAGTGTTCCTCTCTAGGAGTTTGAAAGATAGTATAGGGGTTAAGGCACTTGTCTTGCACAAACCAACCTCAGGTTGGTATTTGTATGGTCCCCAGAGAACCACCTGGAATGATCCTTGAGCACAAAGCCAGGAGTAAGCCCTGAGCACCACTGCCTGTGGCCTCCCCACCACCTGCCAACCCCTCCAAATGTTCATCTTATTTAGATGTTAAATTGGTAAGGGAGGAAGGCTAGAGTTAGCCATGAGCATAGCTGGGTATGTCCCAAAAATCACACAGTCACACTGTTCTCCCGTTGCTCATCCATTTGCTCGAGCTGGCCCAGTAACATCTCCATTGTGAGACTTGTTGTTACTGTGTTTGGCATATCGAATACGTCACGGGTAGCTTGCCAGGCTTTGCCGTGCGGGCGAGATACTCTCGGTAGCTTGCCAGGCTCTCCGAGAGGGATGGAAGAATCGAACCCAGCTTGGCTGGGCCAGCAGTGTGCAAGGCAAACGACCTACCACTGTGCTATTGCTTTAGCCCGTCCCAAAAATAAACAACCAAAAAATAGAAAGTTGGGGCTGGAGCTATAGTACAATGGGTAGGGTTTTTGTCTTGCACGTGGCCAATCCAGGTTCGATCCCCAGCATCCCATACGGTCCCCTGAGCACTGCTAGGAGTAATTCTTGAGTATAGAACCAGGAGTAACCCCTATGCATCGCCGTGTAAACCCCCCCAAAAAAAGCAAAAAAAAAAAAATTGAAAGTTGTATGCTGTATAGAGTCTCCTGCCCCCGCGCCTGGCTGTCCTCGCTGGGGCCCCTTGGAGGGGAGCGCGTTGAGTTTTCCTCCCCGCCCCGACCAGGACTCCGGCAGCCGAAGACCTCCAGAACCAGCCACCACCATGCTGAGGCCACTCTCCACACGCATGAAGTAGGTGGGGGTCACACCCACCAACTGGCCCCCGGCACTGTGTAATCCCATCAACGGCCAAGACTCAGAGACTATAAAACCCAGCTCCTGGAAGAGAACAGTGCAGAGTCTCCTAACCCCCGCGCCTGGTTGTCCTCACCAGGGCCCCTTGGAGGGGAGCGGGTTGAATTTTCCTCCCCACCCCGACCAGGGCTCCGGCAGCCGAAGACCTCCAGAACCAGCCACTACCATGCTGAGACCACTCTCCTCACGCATGAAGGTACCGGCAGGGAAACAAAGGCACGCGGGTCCCGGGGCTGAGATCTCCAAGCCTACTCGGATCGGGGCTGAGCATCCTCCACCCAGATCCTCCAAATTCCAGTAGGCAGGGGTCACACCCACCAACTCGCCCCCTGGCGCTGTGTAATCCCATCAACGGCCAAGACTCAGAGACTATAAAACCCAGCTCCTGGAAGCGCGCGACCCCAAATGCAGCCGCGCAACATCTTATCATCTTATTCCTACTTTGGACAAACTGGCAGGATACCAAATGTAACCTGCGCACACGGCAGAGTCTGGCAAACTCCCTGTGGCGTACCCAATATGCCAAATACCAGTAACAATGAAGGGTCTCATTCTCCTAACTCTGAAAGAGCCTTGAATAGGGCACTTTCTTAAAAATCTCAGGGCTAGGACAAAGGAGATGTTACTGGGGCCTGCTCGAGGCAATCGACGAATAACAAGATGGTCGTGATCGTGATTGTGATCGTGATGCTGTATGATTCCTTAACAGCGCATTCTTAAAATAAATTAATAGAGATGGAGAACAGTATTAGGAATGGGGGATTTTGTAGTCATAGCATAAGAAAATCTTCTTGTGATTGTTCTGTAACCTGATTGTGGTGGTGACTACAAGAATATACACACATTTTGCCAAATGCACACGGACACACACACACACACACACACACACACACATATACACACGTGCATGTAAAATAGGTAAAATCTGTGCGGCTCTCTGGATTGTGCCAATGTCAGTTTTTGAATTTAAATTTTTTACCAGAGAGATAGCACAATAGGTAGGGCATTTGCCTTGCATGCTGGCAACCCAGGTTCAATCCTCAGTATTGCATATGGTCCTCTGAGAACTACTAGAAGTGATTCCTGAGTACAGAGCGAGGAATAACCCCTAAGCATATGGGTGTGCCCCCCTCCCAATAGTACACAGGTAGGGTGCTTGTCTTGCACACTGTTGACCCAGGTTCAATCCCAGTATACCACATAGTCCCCCAAGCACTTCCAGGAGTAATTTCTGAGTGCAGAGTTAGGATTAACACCTGAGCATTGCAGGTGGCCACACCCTGTGGTGCTCAGGGAAGACTCCTTAGCATACTCAGAGGACCATATGGGATGCTTTAATAAATTTTTTAAAAATAATTTTTTTAAAAAAAGAATGAAAAACTGATTTGAAGCACTAATTTGACATATCTCTCAATAGTTTAGAAATTGCAAAAAAAATAATAACTTTCAGGGCCAGAGAGATAGTACAGTGAATACGGTGTTTGCCTTACACACAGTCAACCCGAGTTCAATCCCCGGCACCACATATGGACTCCCAAGCAGAGCTAGGAATGATCCTTGAGCATAGAGTCAGAAGCCCTGAGCATTGTTTGGTGTGGCCCTCAAACAACAACAAAATCAAAATATTGGACCAAGGGCCGGAGCGTTAGTACAGCAGGGAGGCTGTTTGCCTTGCACGCAGCTGACCCAAGTTCAATCCTCAGTATCCTATATGGTCCCCCAAGCACTGCCAAGAGTAATTTCTGAGTGCAGAGCCAGGAGTAACCCGTGAGCATCACCAGGTATGACCCAAAAAGAAAAAAAAAAAGCCAAAATGCAAAGGTATCAACAAAACAAAGGGACAGTGGTGACTGCAGACTTAAGAGGTGCAGGTGAACCAGACTTCTGAAACTACAATGAATGAGTGGGAACCACATGGAGACAAAAACGAAGGATGTCACGAACAGATTTCAAAGTTGCTCCACTTTATTGCATAAAGCAGACAAATCCATTTCCAAGGAAAAGTCCTTAGCCCCTTTGAGGCAACAGAGGTGCCACTTCCACAGTTCTGGGCTTTCTCTTCTACCGGTACTTTCCATGGCGGTTAAAGTGTTTGTAGAGGTAATTGATGCGTTTGGTCAGGTTGTGCAGGTCATCAATGAACATCCGATTTCCGACCATTCTCTTCTTTCGAATACAACGCTGCAACTCATTCCCCTTCCAACCTCTAAGCCATCTGGGACCCTTAATCAGGTCTTTGGGGTGTTTTTCAAAGTTTCCTGTGTGATGTAAGAGACCAAGTGAGTTGCAAGAAGAGAGAAACCAAAGTCTACAAGACACAATTGCATCTTCCTTAGCAGCACCTATAGACATGACGCACTATCCGACTTTATCAAGCCAGCACCTATAGACAAGACACACTAACTGACTTTATCAAGCCCGACTCTTGGGATTCCAGTTCAGACACTGCCATTTGCTCCTTTTTTTTTTTTTTTTGGTTTTCTGGGTCACACCCAGCCGATGCTCAGGGGTTACTCCTGGCTCTGCGCTCAGGAATCACCCCTGGCAGTGCTTGGGGGACCCTATGGGATGCTGGGAATTGAACCCGGGTCGGCGGCGTGCAAGGCAAACGCCCTCCCCGCTGTGCTATTGCTCCAGCCCTTCTTCTGGAAAAATTACTTAGGCTCTCTGTGCCTCGGTGTTCTTATGCACAAATGTAAACGTGAATAGGCTATTGAACGACTTCATAAACACAGGGCTCTCAGAACAGTGCCCAGCATGTTAACAAGTCACGTGTTAGCTCTTACCCTCGGACAGGGTACCTACCATTCCTAACACTGGGGATCTGCCATGCCGAAGTGCTCCTCCAAGGAGAGGGTCAAATCTTACCTAGGATCCCGATGTTGTCATACACCCCAAACAGAGCCCTCTTCTCATTCCAACGATCAACCACTTTGGGGGGAGGGAGTGTGAGTCTCACGCGGGATAATCCAGGAATTCCTAAGCATAGTGGAGAGAGGGAATGAATCCGAGCCGCTCACCGAGAAGCAGTTCTCGGGCGATTTCCAGAACAGCCACTTACCCAGAGAGAAGCTTCTGCAGGCTATGGGCACCCAGGCTAGGGCTACCCGGCCTGCCCCGCAAAGGAGGGGCCCTGCCATAGCTCCCCACCCCCCCACCCCGACGGCACTCCGCGGGAGACCACCAGCAGGCCAGAAGCGGTCTTCAACCAGAATCTCCTTCCGGCCCCTTCCGCAGAGGACTCACAAGCGTACTACACGGGCGCAGCCATATTGAGCCTTACCCAGGTATCTCCGGGCGTAGGCCCCGCCCCCACGATCAAACCCCGCCCACCGGGTTCCGCCGCTCGGTCTCGTTCGCTTCCGGGTGCGCTGGGTGCGCTTCCGGCCTGACCTCGGAAGTTTTGGGGCGTCCGAGGAGCTGAGAGAAACTTGCCTGGGACTCTCTCAAACGGATATTTTAAGAAAAAAAAAATCCTTTCCTGCTTCCTTGGGCGTCCCTCAAGTGTGAGGGAGATGAAGGCCCCGAGCCTGGAGGCCCCCACCCCCGAGATTCCTTCTTTCCTCGCCTCTCCGCGGAGCAAAGCTGAGGTTCCGAGTGACCCCGCCCCCTCCCTCCGGGCGTCACAGCGTAGGGAAATGGGGGCCTGGATTCGGGTTTCAGGCTTTCCTCCCGTCCTGGGGGTCCCCGAGAGGGCCACCGTCCAGCTGGGACGGCTGAACCTCCAAGGCCGACGGTCCTCGAGCCGCCACCCCCGCCCGACGGGGACCGGGACGGCAGCAGCGCCGGGGAGCGCCGGGCCGCCGCCTCCGCCTTCTCCTTTAGCCCCGCCCCTCCCGCCGCGGTTCCTGCACTGTGATTGGCCAGGCTGGGCAGCGAGCGACGCCATTGGCCCCCCCTGCGGCCGTTGAGATTTGAACTTCCCTTTTGCCGCTTTCCCCGCGCGGCGTGTTTGCGAGGCGTTTTTCTTGCCTCGGCCTGCACGGGATTGGCTGGTTTCTCTGCCCGCCGGGCCGCTGCGTAGCGGATTGGAGCGTCCCGCAACACTGTTTGTAACCCTTCTTCTCCCCGCAGCCGCGGAGGAACGGCGGCGTGAGATTTCCCCCCCGGGTGAGCTGGCTAGTGGGCTCTGGGGGAATGAAAGGCTGGGAAACCCAGTTCGGAAACGGGGTCCAGATGGCGCGGCCGGGGAGGTCTCGCCAGGCGTATGCTCGGAGTACGGTGCGGTGGGAACCGTAATTCTGACAGATGCTCCGAGGGGCATGGGGCAAATCGCTGAACCGTGCTTAGCGACAGTTCTGTCATCTGGATGTTGTAAATGGGTTTCCATGAGGTGGGTGTTTGGAGAATTCGGATCAGACACGATGCATTCCATTTTTTTGAGCCCAGCAACCTGGCTCAAAGGAGGAGTGCTATGCAAAATGTGGAATGTTGGGGCTGGAGCGATAGCACAGCGGATAGGGCGTTTTCCTTGCACGCCGCCAACCAGGGTTCGATTCCCAGCATCCCATTAGGGTCCCCCGAGCACCCCCAAGGAATGATTCCTTAGTGCAGAGCCAGAAGTAACCCCTGAGCATCACAGGGTGTGACCCAAAGAGCCAAAAAAAAAAAAAAGACGTGGAATGTTAATGCCTTCCCATTCCGGGTAACTGACTTTGTTTACACTCTTCTTGCATAAGAAGCTTTGCCAGAAAACATCATGATAATGCTAACTTCATGCATGGTCGCTCCACTTTGCAGTTCTTGAAACCCTAGACTTCATTAAGCGGCAGGTAACTGTGATCCTTGGTATCCCCGGTTTACAAATGTCATCATGAGGGTGTAAGTAGCCTTGGCAAAGCCTTATGTAGGGGTGAGGAGAGATTAGGACCAGATAAGAGAAGGCAAGGCCTGAGGTACAGACCCTGACCTGTTTTCTCTTTTGGTTCCAGCCTGTGAGACAGTAGGAGAAAGATGTCTCCGCAGCAGTTCGAGTTCCATCTACCCTTGTCCCCAGAGGAACTGTTGAAAAATGGCGGGGCGAATCAGTATGTTGTGCAGGAAGTCCTGTCCGTCAAACATCTTCGCGAAGAACTTAGAGGTAAGATGCCTGTGCCAAGCACTTCGACCAGGCCACGGTATCTGTCTGTTCTACAACACCCCAGTGCTTCATGAGAGCCAAGAAAATGTCTTTCTTTGGGCTGGAGTGATAGCACAGCGGGTAGGGCGTTTGCCTTGCACACGACCGACCCGGGTTCGATTCCCAGCATCCCCTATGGTCCCCTGAGCACCACCAGGAGTAATTCCTGAGTGCAGAGCCAAGAGGAACGCTAGGTGTGATCCAAAAAGCAAAAAAAAGAAAAGAAAAGAAAAAGTCTTCTCGTTCTGCTGTTTACTCCTTCATTGCACAAAAAAGAGGCCTCTCATGAACCGCTTCTTTTTTTTTTATCATGGACCACTTCTTGGTCCATCAGTAAACAGGATGGTGGATATGGTTATTCTTTATGTCACGGTCCGGTCACGATCCTCCCGTTGTTCATCAATTTGCTCAAGCGGGCCCAGTAACATCTCCATCATGAGACTTGTTGTTACTGTGTTTGGCATATCGAATATGCCACGGGTAGCTTGCCAGGCTCTGCCGTGCGGGTGAGATACTCTCGGCAGCTTGCCAGGCTCTCCGAGAGGGGCGGAGGAATCGAACTCGGGTTGGCCATGTTGGCCGCTTGTAAGGCAAACGCCCTACCGCTGTGCTATCACTATGTGGGGAGAATTATTTTACTTTTAAAGCATTTGGCAGGGGAGAGGGCATAGCAATAGTACAGCGGGTAAGTCGTTTGCCTTGCACGGATGGACCCAAGTTCAATCCCAAGCACCACCAGGAATGATTCCTGAACATGGAGCTAGGTATAATCCCTGAGAACCACCAGTGTGCCCCAAAAAATAAAATTTAAAAAAGTTTTTTGCCACACCAAAACCCCAGTGATGCATGGTGATTCTTCCTGAGGGATCGCTCATGGTGGTGCCCAGGGGCACATATGGGATGCTGGGGATCGAACCCACGTTAACTGCGTGCAAGGCAAGTGCCCTTCCCGCTGTACTATTGCCCCGGCCCTGGGGAGAATTATTTTAGATCTTTACCTCTTGCCATTGTGCCAAATTTTAGTCCTGGTAGACTTAAAAATTTTAGGAGCAGCCTTTTTTTCCATTCTGGAGAAGCCTGTGTTCGCTCTTAAACACATATTCCTCTTTCTCTCCCCTCACATCTCTCAGTTTCGTTCTGAATCTATTTTGCTTCATTAGATTGTCTGAGGCTTGGCTCGGTCTCTTTTTTTCTGTGCAGTAATAGAAAAAAAAAAAAGGCATATGTATGTCCAGCCCCACCTCTGGGCAAGCTGTGAACAATGCCATGACTCACTGAAATCTACTCATGGGGCCAGGAGGTAGGTCAGTGGTTAGGGCATGCCTCATCTCTGCCAGACCTGGGTTTAATTCCTGGCACACATGGTCCCTGAAGCCCCACTATATGTAGTCCTGGAGGCCCCCAAACACTGCCTGCATGGTCCAGGCGATCCTCACCACCACAGGGCTTGAGCCACACCAAAACCCCAGTAGCACACAGTAATTATTCCTGAGGGATCACTCCTGATGGTTCCCAGGAGAACATATGGGATGCTGGGGATTGAACCCAGGTTTGACTGCGTGCAAGGCAAGTGGCTTCCCCAGTCCTGGGGAGGATTATTTTAGATTATTTTAGTACCACTTCCTTCCTCTCGCTGTCACCCCCCAAATATCTAGAGATGTGTCAAAGCAATTTAGACATCATCAGGAAGACTGCTGGGACGGGATCAGTAGTACAGGCAGCAGGGCACTTACCTTGCACACGGCTACCCCAGGTTCAGTCTGACACCTCATATGGTCCCGAGCCTTTCAGGAGTAAGTCAGGCATCTTTGTCTCTTTTTGTTGTTGTTGGATCATACCCAGCAACGTTCAGAGCTTGCTTCTGGCTCTGCACTCGGGAATGACTCTTGATGACAATACTCAGGGGACCATATGGGATGCAAGGCAAATGCCCTACCTGCCCTACCCACTGTAATATCTCTCCAGCCCCAAGTTTGGCTTTTTTTAAAGCCAGGTGTGGCAATAAATAAATAAATACTAACAATCCATGGATTTGTGGGGCTGGAGACACAGTACAGTGAGTAAGGCGCTTACCTTGTACGTGGCTGACTTGGGTTCAGTCTCTAGGACCCCATGTGGTTCCCCCTAACCCTGCCAGCAGTGACTCCCCAGCTTAAGCAGGAGTAAGCCCTGAGCAGAGCTGAGTGTGACCCCCAAAACAACCCAAAAAATCACTACTTGTTACAAGTGCCCTATATCCTTTTAAGTTGCTCTGGATAAGGTCATAGAAATTGAACTCTGGAGTTAAACTCCCTGAGTTTGAATGCTGACTCATCCTCCCTGACAAATTACTTAATCTGTCTGTGCCTTGGTTTCTTTATCTGTAAGGGTAGTGATAACACTTGCTTTATTATATCTTACAACAGGAAGGACTAATGAGTGTAGCAGCTTCTTACTGGAATGCCAACGTGTTCTCTTGACCTCCTCATCCTGGGTGTCAGAGGGTAACTCCTTGCTCTGATGTCCAGAGGTTTTCTGTTCAGGGAGTTTCTAGCTTGTGTTTTTGCTTTTATCCCCCCTCTTTTTAAAGCTACCAGGAGCCTGCCAGCAAACTTAACCAAAATTAGATCATGTGTCTATTTACTTTCTGGTAAGAGACATAGAATTTCTGTGATTGACGATATTGATAAAGGTTGATACCTAACAGACTGCCTTTAAAACGAAAGGAATCACTGTTTGGTCAGCAAGGAAGGAAAGTTGGAATGTGGCCATCTAGTGGGTGACCAAGCACGGGCTGGAGAGAGAGTCCAGCAGGTGGGGCATTTGCCTACCACGTGGCAAACCTGGGTTTGATCCTTGGCACCACATATGGCACCTTGAGCAACACATGGATGTGGCCAGAAAGTCATAATGATAACAATGGGTGGACAGCCATGGTTCCTATGAGTGTACTATGTATCACCTGTTGTACACAGTAGCTAGCAAGTTTTGATACTTTGTTCTTTTCCTTTGGCTCTCCAGAGGATTGAATCCGGTCTTTATGTGTATAAAAGGCAAGTACTCTAGGGACTGGAGCCATAGCACAGTCGGTAGGGCATTTGCCTTGCATGCAGCTGACCCGGGTTTGATTCCCAGCATCCCATAGGGTCCCCTGAGCACCGCCAGGAGTGACTCCTGAGTGCAGACCCAGGAGTGACCCCTGTGCATTGCTGGGTGTGACCCAAAAAGAAAAAAAAAAAGGCAAAGGCAAGTATTCTATCCTGGAGTTATGGCCTCTGTCTCAATACGTCTGTTTTGGGGCCTGTACCCAGCTGTGCTCAGGGGTCACTCCTGATGGTGCCCAGAGGACCATATGTAGTGCCGGGAATAAAACCGGAGTCAGCTGAATGCAAGCAAGCACCTTAATCTCTGTACTATCTCTTGGCCCTGTTTCATTTTCTTATCATTCATGTGTCCACTGTGATAGCACTTTTCACTTTGTTCAGGAACTTCTTTTTTGCATTCATGCCTTGGTGAGCTGTTCATTGCTGGAGGCCTAGTTTGACTTCCTTGCTGAGCATCGTTTCTGGTTTTTGATTTGAAGTGACTTTTTCTTCCACTTAAATATTGAGAGGCCAACAGGGTTTCTGAATTGCCTAACTTCCATATTGCTGAGTCTCAGAGACTAGGGAAATCTAGGACCAAGGAAGGGCTGGAGAGTCGGCTCAATAGGCGGGGCCACGTACTTTGCATCTAGGAGGTCCAGGCTCAGTCTCTGACATCGCATCTGTGACCCTGATCCACGAAGGCCCTCAAATAAGAAAGAAAAGTGAGGGAAGAGGGAATCGTTGTGTCGGTGGTGCAGTGGTATGATTAGAATACAGTCTTACACGGGTGCGATTCTTGGTATACTCCAGACAATTAGAGTATTAACACCAGAGGTTGCTGATCACAGATTAATGGAACAAATATAACGGTGAAAGGGTGAAATATTTTGAGAAGGGGCCAGAGAGATAGTACAGTGGGTAGGATGTCGCCTTGCATGTGGCCAACCCGCCTTCAATCCCCAGAACCGAATATGGTTCCCTGAGCCACCAGCAGTGAGTTAGAGCCAGGAGTAAGCCCTGAGTCCTACCAGGTATACCCCAGAAAAAGAAAGAAAGAGAGAAAGAGAAAAGAACTTGCTTGATGCAGGATTCCTAGAAACCATCCGAGTATGTGTTCCCATCCCCTGAGCACCGCCTGGGTTCACTCCTGAGCACAGACCCAGGAACAGCCCCTGGGCACCTCCGGATATGTCTCCAAAACCAAAACCAAAACTTGACAGTTCTCTGTGAAATGCAGTCCAGTAGGTGTGCCATCACGGGGCTCGGGGGGAAGGGCTGGAGCACTTGGCTCTTTTCTTCTGTTTGATTCTGTTTGCTCAGGTAGGAAGGAAGCCTTTAGTTAGAGCAGAGAAGAGGTGTGAAATAATTGCTCAGAAGGAGGCCGAAGAGATGGTATGGGAGATAGATAATGCACTTGCCTTGCATCTCGCCGACTCTGCTTTAGATGCCCCAAATCATTTACCATCCACTCCCCCCCCCCCGCCCCGGGCACTGCCAGGGATCACTTCTAAGCACAGAGATACCCCCTCCCCCCCCAAACACACACACAAAAAATCGAGTGAATACACCTGGAAATATGTAATAGGCTTTACTAGGAAATAGCTGAGGGCTTGTTGGAAGCTTCTGGTCCTGTTTCGGGTGGGGAGAGTGGAATGCTGGTTTGTTGAGGTTTTTGTTTTGTTTTGGGACCACACCTGGTAGTACTCAGGACTTCTGGCTCTGCGCTCAAGGATCACTCCTAGCAGGCTCCGGGGACCACAGCGGGTGCTGCTTAAATCTGGGTCAGCCACATGCAAGGCAGCCGCTGTACTATGGCTACAGCTCCCTGAACTCATTTTTAATGTATACACAGATACAAATAGATGTGGGGGGCCGGAGCGATAGCATAGCAGGTTGGGCATTTGCCTTGCATGCGGCTAACCTGGGTTCAATCCTTGGCATCCCATATAGTCTCTTGAGCATTGTGCCAGGAGTGATTCCTGAGTGCAGAGCCAGGAAGAACCCTGAGCATCACCAGGTATGACCCAAAAAAGGGGGGTGGGGAGAGGGTCTGTGTCCATATATCTGGCTTACTTTACTGAGAGGGCTTAAAGGACAATGACGCTCAGGTAGTACCGAGCCTACTGAGTACCTCCAACTTGGTTTCTCCCAACCGTTGTCCCATGAAAGAAGCCGGGACTCCTTTGGGATGGCGAGGCCAGGACTGAGAGAGCCAGGAAAAGTGCAGGTGGCCCAGGCAGATCTGAGGCAAGCACTTTCACAGGTCCCGGCCCACACAGTGGGGCCAGGATTTGGTAGCTGGTGCTGAGAGAAAAAACCCCTGGAGTGCGCCCTTGTCCTGGCACTGTGCCGGCGGCAGTTGTCACTCGGTGGGACAGAAAGACAGTTCTGTGCCTTTCTCCTGCTGCTGTAATCTTAGGCCCTTTCCCTTCCCCGTCTCTCCACCGCAGAGAGAACAGAAATAAAGGACAAATGTCAGGGACACGGACTTATGTTAACGGAGCTTCTGATGGTCCAGGCTAAAGCCGTTTGGGCTGGAGCGATAGTACAGCGGGGAGGGCACTTGCCTTGCACATAGCCGACCTGGGTTTGATCCCTAGCACCACATGTGATAACCCCAAGCCCCTCCAGGAGTGATCCCTGAGCACAGTCAGGAGTAAACCCTGAACACAGCCAGGTATGGCCGAAAAAAAAAAAAGGCATAAAGCCATTTGAACAACAAAGGAAATAGAGATGGATTAAAACACAACAGGATTCTGACATGGGGGTGCCTGAGCAGTACAGCATCTGGGGACTTGCCTTGTACGCAGCCAGCCTGGATTTGATGGCCGGCACCTCATGGGGTCCCCTGAACCCCGCCACGAGTCATCCCTGTGCTCAGAGCCTAAAATAAGGCCTGGGCACTGCTGAGTGTGTCCCCAAAACAAAACCAAACCTCCCCGAAGCAGAGATACAGCATTGGGCTGAGAGGTAACATGGCAGAGTAAAGCGTGTGTTTTGCAGGGAGGGGGCCTGGGTGGGGTCCTGAGCACCATGTGGTCATAAGGCTCATCCTTTCAGTGACGGTCCGCTAGTGAACCTGGGAGGAAGGATGGAGTGGGGGAAATCGCCACACTTGAGGCAGACGAGCCGTCATTAAGTGCTTCACTTAATGAGCAAATGTGATAAGAAATAGCACACCTGTCCTATCTCTGTATTGGTAGTTTTGAAGCATCTTCTCTTAGTGCCAGAGCGATAGTACAGCGGCCAGAGCACTTGCCGTGCACATGGCCGACCCAGGTTCAGTCCCCAGCATCCCGTGTGGTCCCTCAAGCCCCACCAGGAGGAATTCCTGAGCGCAGAGCCAGGAGTAAACTCAGAGCACCACTGGGTATGCCTCTGCTCCCCCTGCCCCCAAATAATAACCCAAGACCAAGCATCTGCCCTTAAGAGGAGTTGAGTTGCCAAGGGGCAAACACTGATTCTTCAGTGGAGGAACCAGGCAAACACTAACATGTGATGAAGGCCGCTGCTGTTAATACTCAGACACCGGCACTGACGTACTTCCTTGGGATGACATATCAGGGTGATGGAGCCTTCCATTGAATAGCCCCAAGTTATCTCTACTCAGTCTGATCATGGGGAAATAGTAGGCAGTCCCAAACTGGGGGGGTGGGGGCAGGCGTCCACAGAAGAGCCAGGTAATATACTTCAGAATGTTAGGATCGTGAAAGACAGAGATTGGAGGAAAGTAAGGAGACGCAGCAAAGAAATGCATGGCTCTGGGATGCAATCCGAGACAGGACAAGGGTTGAGTTTTCCGACTTGAGTTGGAAAAACTCAAGTAAGGTTCAGTTAGTTGAGAGCAGTGTTTCTTGGCCAAGGGGCGGCATATGCGAAGTCCCAGGATTTTTCAGAAAGACCACAGGTGAAAATTACATACTTAGGATACCAACCAGTAAGATAAGATAGATTGGAAGAAAGTTGGAGGGGGTCCATGGCCCTAAAACAAGCTGAGGAACATGGATAAGGTAGTACTGAACTCACATTTTGGTTTAAAAAAATTCACGTATGATTAACATCTGGTGAGAAGTCCAGGTGCTCTGTTCTGGTTTTGTCGCTTTCATAATTTCAAAATCAAAAGTAATAGCCGGAGTTTGTTTACAAACTACCGACAGTCACTTAGCCCCTAAAACGGGACTCATTGTTGGGCCAGGAAGTCGCCTCAGACGGCCGGAACACATTGCAGGAGCCTGATTTCATTCCCTGGTTTCCTCCCCTCCACCCCCCAGAGCCCTACCCCGCACCACCAGCTGTGGACCCCCAAACACAGGACAGATCATTATTGCAGGTTACATTGGGGGCTGGAGAGGTAGTACAGTGGGTGCTTGTCTCGCATGCGGCCGACCCAGGTTCGATCCCCAGCATCTCATAATTACCCTGAGCCTGCCAGGATTAATTCCTGAGTGCAGAGCCAGTAATAACTCCTGAGCATCACTGGTTGTGGTTCTCTTTTCCCCCTACCAACCCCCCGCCCCCAAATAGTAGGTTACATTGCCACAAACTGTCCCCTTTCATGATTTTACTAACAAAAGTACAAAAGTAATTAATAATTAATTAATTTGATGTTGTGCCATGAATAGAATTTACCCCACGATTCCTCTTCCCTTTGCATGAAGGAGTTTATCTTTACAGCATTTCAGGCTGCTTTCCGAGCTCAGGGACCCCTGGCTATGCTGGAGCATTTTGATACCATCTACAGCATTCTACAGTAAGTAAAGCCCTGGGCTGGCGGTACTTTAAGAAATAATGAGGAGGCTGGAGCGATCGCACAGCGGGTAGGGTGTTTCCCCTGCATGCGGCCAACCCGGGTTTGATTCCCAGCATCCCATGGTCCCCTGAGCGCCACCAGGAGTAATTGCTGAGTGCATGAGCTAGGAGTAACCCCTGTGCATCGCTGGGTGTGACCCAAGAAGGAAAAAAAAATGAGTTCTACCACTTCCTGCCTCACCCTACTTGTACTTTCTCTCCTCATAGTCACTTTCGAAGTCTAGATCCTGACCTCAAGGAAGATGCGCTGGAGTTCCTGATCAAAGGTGTTTGTGGGTCAGGGGTTGGGAACTGGCTGCCGTTCGCTTCCGTTCTGTTTGCCATGTGATGATATCAAGGCTGTGGTGATTCAGCTGGCTTGGCTAAGTCTGGGGACCTTTGACTCAGGTCTGTAATCTTGGTGGACAATACAGAGCTCTGTGTGTTCGCTGTAAGGGCAGACCAACAGGTAATCTTCCTACTTGTGAGCGACCTCTTTTTCATAGAGGTGGCCCTGCCAGTGGCCAGGGAGAAACTGGTGACTGGTGTCAAGGAGTAGGGACAGGGCGTTTTTCCGGGAATCAGGGTCAGGGCTCTTGCCGGACTTGGCTTGTGTTGTAGCCGCTGGAGATGAACACAGATCTTTGGTAATCTGATGGCGGCGCGAGGGGGCCGCCGTGACCTTGTGGTCTGTGCGGGAAGTGAGTGAAACCGCCTCTCGATCCTGCCCCTTGCAGTGGTGAACTGCCACTCCCAGCAACTCCCAACTATCCTGGACGATGCCACTTTGAGTGCGTCAGATAGAAGTGCCCACCTCAACGCCCTCAAAATGAACTGCTATGCCCTGATCCGCCTCTTGGAATCCTTTGAGACCATGGCCAGCCAGAACAAGCTCATCGACCTAGACGTGGGGAAGGTAATTAGTGTCCGGAACTCACTCAGGAGAGGAGCTGGGAAACGAATAGGGGCCTTATAAGAGAAAGTAATAATGAGGAATGCAGTGATTCTGCTTTTTTAGAGGCCTGCCCTAATGTAGGTATGATTCAGGAGGAAGTATTCAAAAGTATCACATTGTATCCTTCCTTGACTTGTGGGTCTTTAATACTCTGTAACTTAGAGTACGTTGTATTCACTCTATCTGGTCTCAGTACTGGATAATTGAGGCATACTAGAGGATCTTGAGACTCTTCATTTGCTTTTTTTTTTTCTTTATTCCTAAATATATCCACCATCCATTTTCAGGGTAAGAAAGGCAGGGCCAAGGCGGCCCAGGGCTTTGACTGGGAAGAAGAGAGGCAGCCAATTCTTCAGCTTTTAACCCAGCTGCTCCAACTGGACATTCGTCACCTATGGAACCATTCGATAGTCGAGGAGGAATTTGTCAGGTGCGTAGTTAGGATGGTTGGACCACGAGTCAGACCGATAGCATAGTGCATAGGGTGCTTGTCTTGCAAGGGGCCACAGGAGCACAGAGCCAGGACTAACCCCTGAGCATCACTGGGTGTGGCCACCAATTTTTTTTTTCTTTTTGGGTCACACCCGGCGATGCTCAGGGGTTACTCCTGGCTCATGCACTCAGGAATTGCTTCTGGCGGTGCTCAGGGGACCATATGGGGTGCTGGGAATCGAACCTGTGTCGGTCATGTTGGCTGCATGCAAGGCAAATGCCCTACCCTCTGTGCTATCACTCCAGCCCCCCAATTTTTTTTAATAAATAAAAATGGTGGCTATGGATCATGCAGGGCCATGAGGATTGAGTTCCGTGTTGCTGTATGTATCTTTGAAATCCTTCAATTCATGCCTCAGGTCTAACTGACATGCACCCATAGCATTAAATTGTCAGAAGTATGGAGTGGAATGTTAGAAGCAAATGTGAATTTCTCAACTCTTGATGCCCATTCATCCACGAAGCAATATTTATTGAGACTCACCCGGGCGCATAAGCTGATATCATTGTGGACACTGATCACAGCTAAAGATCCGGCCCCCAGATTATATTAAGATCGACTAAAGATCGAACCCAGGTCTCCTGCATGTTAGGCATGTGCTAAACTTTTTTTTTTTTTTTGCTTTTTGGGTCACACCCGGCGATGCACAGGGGTTCCTCCTGGCTCTGCGCTCAGGATTTACCCCTGGTGGTGCTCAGGGGACCATATGGGATGCTGGGAATCGAACCCGGGTTGGCCGCGTGCAAGGCAAACGCCCTACCCGCTGTGCTATTGCTCCAGCCCCGTGTGCTAAACTTTTAAGCCATATCCCCAGCCCCTTGGGTTGTTTGGGGATTTCTTTGCAGGGAGGAGGGTAGAAGGAGGAGTGTAGGTGTGGGGGCCGGAACTACTCTGGCTCTGAGCCCAGTCGTCATTTCCGGCGGTGCTCAGGGCACCCTGCTCCGTCAGGGATTGAGCCTAGACCTCAATAAAGCAGGCGATCAGCCCTCTGAGCCATCTCCGGCCCCCAGATTATATTAAGAGCAGAAGATAGTTTTTGTAATTAGTTAAATATATGTTATTTTTTTTGAAAATTTGGAAGGGCTGGAGTGATAGTGATGACGGTGGGCTCCACGGGTGACTTATGGGAAGCGGGGAGGAGAAAGACGGCCACTTTCTCCCCACCCGCCTCTGCCACCTGGGACCCAGGGTTGCTGGGTTCTTGTCTCGCCTCGCAGAAAGGAATTTCAGGAGTAGACAAGTAATAAAGTGAATAGATTTTATTTGGAGGGTTTTTAAGGTGTGGAGGGAGAGTGAGAGAGAGAACACACTCAAGAGAGAACTCGGGCTTCTCCAAGGGCGGAGAGCCCCTACACACATTCCTAGCATTGGACACGAAAGCATGACAGTCCACATCTCAAGAGGGGAGATGCGGGCGACACATGTTCTCAGGCACCACTTAGCGAGAGGTGCTCAGCCACGTGGACGCAAAAAGCACATGGGCTCGGGCAGCATCTGCGCACTTCCTTTGTTCAAGGTGACCTTTATAGGGTTTCTCCAACCTGCCCCCACGTGGGGCTTCTTCCTAGGTAAAAGTCCGTTGCTAAAGAGGTTACCAGGGAGGCTGGGAGTGGTGATGGTGTCCTTTGGGCCGAATCACTAAAGTGAATCCGATTGAGGGAGAGGTCTGAGGGAATTCAAGGAATTTCCTTCCTCGGGAGGGGTCCAGTCTCCTCAAGGTCTGCTGCTCCAGGTTTTATCCGTATCCACAAGTGATCAGCTTTGGAATTTTCCTCCCAGAAATTTCGCTGACCAGTTTTATTGTCCAGGGCCTTTCCCTATCTACCTGCCCACAGCAATAGTACAGTGGGGAGGGCGTGTTCCTCGCATACAGCCGACCCAGGTTTGATCCCCGGCATCCCATAGGGTCCCCTGAGAACTGCCAGGAATAGCTCCTGAGTACTGAGCCAGGAGTTACCTTGAGCATCGCCGGGAGTGACCCAGAGGCTAAATCAATAAATAAAATTTTAAAAATATAGATTTTGGCGGGCTGGAGTGATAGCACAGCGGGTAGGTCATTTGCTTTGCACGCCGCCAATCGAGGTTTGGTTCCTCCGTTCCTTTCGGAGAGCCCGGCAAGCTACCGAGAGTATCCCGCCCGCACGGCAGAGCCTGACAAGCTCCCGTGGCGTATTCGATATGCCAAAAACAGTAACAACAGGTCTCACAATGGAGACCTACTGGTGCCCACTCAAGCAAATTGATGAACAACGGGAGGACAGTGACAGTGATAGATTTTGGTACAATCGGGGGGAAATAGAGTAAGTAAACGGGAAACTTGCTGGAGCACGCTTGTGATTTTAGTTTTGTTTTCTTGCCCCCCCCCCCCCCCCCCACCGCCCCTTTGTTGCTGCTGGTGAGAATGGTGTTGCTCTGACCGGGGGTTTGCGCTCCTTTGGTTGTTGTATTGCAAATGTGTTCACAGAGGGCTGCACTCATAGTCACAGTGCTCAGGCTACGGTTGTGCTTGCAGGAGTCACTGTGGTGCTCCCATGTGTGCTCGCCTACACATCTTTTCAGTTGCAGGGTTTGCTGGGCGTGGTGCCCCCTCCCCCACTTTGTGGTGCTTTTGCACACCTGACTGCGGTGTGGCCAGAACTTGTTTCTGTCTGAGTTTGAGGGCATGCTGGGAGCAGAGCTGCACCCTGCACATGTGGGTTGGTCAGATTTGAACCCATGACCGTGTGCTTGCACAGCAGGGCTGTGACTGTAAATCTACTGTTTCTAGCAAGACCGCCTTGAGAGAGTGACGTTCCCAGCGGAAGTAGCGAGAGGCGCAAGGAGATCTGGGGGGAGAAGAAGGCAAAGGAGTAGCAAGTTCACGACCCTAAGAGGGAGGCCAGCAGCTGAGGAAAGGGGGACTGAGGGGCCAGATGGTGCATCTCGCCGTATGCCCTCAGTGCAGATCTCTGAGCACGGGGCACCGCGTAAACGCTCCGAACAGACACAGGGACTGTGTCCTGGAACATTCCAGCGTATAAAGGCTGAGGAGATGAGGAATCACCCAAAGATGCTACGGAACTGGGACCGGAGTAATGATACAGTGGGTGTATATTGCACACGACCGACCTGGGTTCCACTCCCAGCACCCTATATGGCCCTCCAATCATCCCGCCAGGAATGATCCCTGAATCCCTGAGCACAGTGCCTGAAATAAGCCCTGCTGGTTGTGCTCCTATCCCTGCACCCCCACCCCCAAAATAAAACGTCAGAGGTAATTGAGAGGAGTCACCCTGGGAGCCCATTGAAGCTCAGAGGGAGAGGAATGATTCGGGCTCAGCTGCAACTGAAGTGACTCAGTCGGTGGTGACATTCTCCTGTCTCTGATTATCCACCCAGTGTCTGTATTGGCATCATAAACCTACAATAACAGGGCTCTCGGGGTCAGTCAAGCGGCTCGCTGTATAGACAGCACTAGCATGAAGAAGCTGGAAGATTCTGACTTTGGAGGCAGTGGAGACTAAATGAGGGGCCGGGGAGAACAGTACAGGGGTGAAGGCGCTTGCCTTGCATGTGGCTGATCCCGGTTTAATCCCCAGCACCCTGAAGGGTCCCCCGAGCATTTATGGATGTGGCTGCTGCCCAGGCAAAAAAAAGACTAAATGAGGCAGGACCCCACTAGGACCGGGTGTCCCCGGCTGTTTGCCCACCTCAGTCTCCTTTCCCAGCTTGGTGACCGGCTGCTGCTACCGCCTCCTGGAGAACCCCACCATCGGCCACCAGAAGAACCGCCCCACGCGGGAGGCCATCGCCCACCTGCTGGGCGTGGCGCTGACTCGCTATAACCACATGCTCAGTAAGTGCTCTTCCGCCGGGCGCCGCCTCTTTGCAGGTTGTCGAGAGATGAGAGATCTCTCACGGGGACAACTTCTCTAGGTGCCACCGTGAAGATCATCCAGATGCTGCAGCACTATGAACATCTGGCCCCCGTGCTGGTGGCAGCTGTGAGTCTCTGGGTGGAGGACTTCGGAATGAAGAGCATAGTGGGAGAGATTATAAGGTGACGCTTCCAACTCTTCAGGTTCCGACTCCCGTCCACCCCACCGGAAAGATGGGGACTTGAGATCCCTGGCACTGAATTGTGACGTCACTGCTGTGGCTGTTCTTTTTTCCTGTGTAGAGAGATTGGACAGAAGAGTCCCCAGGAGCTGAGTCGGGACCCTTCTGGGGCCAAGGGCTTCGCAGCTTTCCTGACGGAATTAGCAGAACGCGTCCCCGCTATCCTGATGTCCAGCATGTGTGTTTTGCTAGATCATCTGGATGGAGAGGTAGCTGGCCTCTTTAAGGAGATCAGAGTCCGTCCTTCCGTTCCCTCCCTCCCTCCCTCCCTCCCTCCCTCCCTTCCTTCCTTCCTTCCTTCCTTCCCATACTTCCCTTTTTTTGTTATTTTGGGTCACATCCAGCGATGCTCAGGGGTTACTCCTGGCTCTGCACTCAGGAATTACTCCTGGTGGTGCTTGGGGGACCTTATGGGATGCCGGGGATCGAACCAGCGTGAAAGGCAAGCACCTTACTACCCTCTGTTTTATCACTCTAGCCCTGTTAATTTCTTTAAGTGAGATATCTATTATTCTGACTTAATCTCCCTTCAGCTTTTTTTCTTTTAACCTGACCTCTCTTAGTTTAATCCAAGTTGTAGCAAAAGTCAGATTACATCTTTTCTTTTTTCTTCTGGTGGGAGGGAGGATGAGGATTTGGGCCATACCCAGCTTTGCTCAGGGCTCACTCCTGGCTCTGCTCTCAGGGATCGATCACTCCTGGCGGGCTCAGGGGACCATATGGGGTCCCAGATCAAACCCAGGTCAGCTCTGTGCAAGGCAAACACCTTACCCACTGTACCGTCATCTGACCCAGTCCACCCACTAATTTCATCTCTTCCTAAAGTCGAGTAACATTTCATTGTGCATATATATATGCATATATACCATAGCTCTTTATCCAGACATCTGTCATTGGGCATTTGGCTTGTTTTCCTAGTCCTGACCCTAATGGTAATGGGAGAAGTGGGTATTTATTAGCAAAGATCAAAGGCTCAGGACCTCAGATGAAAGATAGTGTGAATGTGTGCATGTGCTAAGCAGATGAGGCTTCCTGTTCAGTAACCACTGTGGTTACCTGGGTAATATACCTGGGCTCTTACTAACATTCTCCTACATTTGGGGCCAGAGCGATAGTGCAGCGGGTAGGGCGTTTGCCTTGCACGCGGCCGACCTGGGTTTGATCCCCGGCATCCCATCCCATATGGTCTTCTAGCACTGCCAGGAGTAATTCCTGAGTGCAGAGCCAGGAGTAACCCCTGAGCATCGCTGAGTGTTACCCAAAAAGAAAAAAAAAATAAGTTCTCCTATGAGCAAAGTGGGCCCCTCTGGGATACAGTATTTTTTTCAGTGACCACTGGGTCCAGCAACCTAAGCTGTTGGCCAGGGGGGAAAATAAAATCCTAGCTAAGACTAGCAAGCCTGCCCCTGACTGAATTCTTTGCCTTGCCTATGGGCCTAGCCTGGTACAGTGTAGAGAAAGGAGAATGAATGAGTATCGGAGTGCGGAGGCTCACGCCGATTTTCTCTCTCTCTCAGAATTACATGATGCGCAACGCTGTGCTGGCTGGCATGGCAGAGATGGTGCTGCAGGTCCTGAACGGTGACCAGCTGGAGGAAGCAGCCCGCAACACCAGAGACCAGTTCTTGGACACCTTGCAGGCACATATCCACGACGTCTACTCCTTTGTGCGAAGCAAAGTGTTGCAGCTCTTCACCCGAATAGTCCAGCAGAAGGTAAGCAGGCTCACCTTAGAGACCCCAGCACTGCTCTGTGTACAGACGCGGGAAACGGGAGTCCGGTGTGAAAGGAAAGGGTTCGAGAGGAGAATCTAAATCTCAGGCTTTGGGGCCAGAAAAACAGTCCAATAGTACAGCGGGGAAGGCTCTAGTCTTGCATGCAGCCGACCTGGGTTTGATTCTTGCCACGCCCAGACAGTCCCCTGAGCCCATCAGGAATGATCCCGGAAGGCAGAGCCAGAAGTAAGTCCTGAGCACTGCCAAGCATGGCCTCGAAACCAAATAATTAAATACATCTCAGAGTTTTACTACCTGTCATGAAATCTTCTACCAAGTACCAATGTACCTGCCTCAGTTTGAGAAGTCTCCTAGCTTGGGCCCAGAACAGTAATATAGTGGGGAGGGTGCTTGGTTTGCAGTAACCGACACAGATTTGATCCTTAGTACCCCTTTTGGTCCCCTGAGCCCACCAGAAGTGATCTTTGAGCACAGAGCCAGAGTAAATCCTGACACAGGCAGGTATAGCCCAAAGACAAAACAATAAACACTCTTAACCACTGTGAAGAGTAGTATTGGGTACGGGGAAAGAAGTTGGGCCACACCCAACAATGCTCGGGTTCCTCCTGGCTCTGCACTCAGGATTTACTCGGGTGGTGAGGCACAGGGGACCATATGGAATCCTGGGGTTCGAACCTGGGTCTGCCGCTTGTAAGGCAGACGCCCTACCCGCTGTACTATCTCTCCAGCCCCCAAAGAGTCGTCTTTAATTGCTTCATATCAATAGAAAAGTTTTACATAGGTAAAACTCTGTGGATCATGTTTCTTCAGAGTGGGTAAGGGCTGGGGATACCGCTCGGAGGTTTAGCAAGTGCCTCACCTGGAGAATATCCTGGTTTGGTCACACACCCCTGTAGAATAAGCAGGCAGTTCATTCAGAGTGCAGCTAGCTGATCTAATGACCATCGTGAGCAGAAAGGAGGTGTCAGGGTGTAAAGTGGCCTTGGCAGGGCTGGAATGATAGCACAGCGGGGAGGGCGTTTGCCTTGCAAGCGGCCGACCCAGGTTTGATTCCCAGCATCCCATATGATCCCCCAAGCACCATAATTCCTAGTGCATGAGCCAGGAGTAACCCCTGTGCATGGCCGGGTGTGACCCCAAAAAGCAATAAATACATTAATTAAAAAAAAATAAAGTGGCCATGTCCCTCCTGCCCCGCGTAGGCTCTCCCCCTGACACGCTTCCAGACAGTCGTGGCCTTGGCTGTGGGACGTCTGTCAGACAAATCCGTGCTGGTCTGCAAGAATGCCATCCAGCTGCTGGCCACGTTCCTCGCCAATAACCCCTTCTCTTGCAAGGTAAGTAGACTGGCTCCAGCCGCAAAGGCGAAGGAGTTCGGGGGGGCCATGGGTGCAATAGTTTGGCCTTAGTGCCCTTGACGCCCCTTTGCTCTTGCCAGCTTAGTGATGCCGACCTTGCCGGCCCCCTGCAGAAGGAAACCCAGAAGTTACAGGAGCTCAGGGCCCGGCGGCGAGCCGCAGCTCCCAGTGAGTAGTTCCCGCACGGTCTCCCCGCCCGCCAGCCTGCGCCCGCCGGTGCACTTGGAGATTCTAAGTGAGAGTCCTCCCGCAGCCGCAGCGCTGGATCCCGAGGAGGAGTGGGAGGCCATGCTGCCCGAGCTGAGGTCCACTCTGCAGCAGCAGCTCCAGGAGGACCAGGCACCCAGGGAAATGGCCAGCACAGAGACCGCGGAGGAGGTGGAGGGACGCATCCGGCACTTGCTTGCCAGAGCCAGTTACAAGTATGTGACAGACGGGCTCTGCTCAGATGGCCGGTGCGGGGTTAGAGGCCACCTCTGCGAAGCAAGATTCCTTGAAAATGAACTGCATGGGGCAATGGTACAATGGGGAGGACACTTACCTGGGATGCAGCTGTCTAGGTTTGATTCTCCAGCATCCCATAGGGTCCCCCGAGCTCCGCCAGGAGTGATTCCCGAGTTCAGAGCCAGGAGTAAGCCCTGAGCATCGCCAGGTGTGACCCAAAAAGAAATTAAGAAAAAAGAAATGAACTGCACATAGGGTAACCACAGACACACACACAAAAAAAAAAAAAAAAAAAAAAAAAGAATAATGACAGGTGCTTTCATTGTACCAGTCACCTCCATGGCTACTTATAGAAAGTATTAGAACTAAATATGACAAAACTTCTCCATTGTTTAAGGAAGACGGCTGTATGGTGCTAACTGTGGTTTGGGAGGGTTGGAGGGAGGCTGGAGGCTCACCTGACTTTGCTGCTCCTGGCTCTGTGCTCAGGGATCACTCCTGCTAGGGCTCAGGGACCGAATCTGGTCAGACGCGTGCACAGCAAGTGCCTTGACCATAGGCCTTTGAGGTGCTTGAAGATTTCCTTCCAAAGTAGGAAACTGTCACACACTCCCCTTAGCAACTACGTCTCGATTTTCTGCTCACAAGGAAACGTGCCTGTTTTTCTGGCCAGTCCTTCTGAATTCTTGACACAGTCACGAAGTCTCTTCTCACTCAGTTTTTGGTTTGGTTGGTTTTTGGCGGGAGGGGGTTAGATGACATCTGGCGGTACACAGGGCTTGCTCCTGGTGGGGCTCAAGGCACTTTTGGGTAAACTGCATGCAAGGCCTTCCCAGCACTACTGTCTCCAGCCCTCACTCAGTTCTTTTCCTGCCCTCCCACCCCCCCCAAACTGCTCATGCATCCCGGGGAGGGGGTCGTGGCCACTATCAGGCTGTGCTTACCAGAGAGTTCGTTGATGCTAGGGTCACTAGGGCTGCACCCAGCAGCTCCAGGGAGCATATGGTGCTAGGTATCACCTTTGGGGCCTCCTCGTGCCAGGCATGTGCCCAGCGCTTTGGACTCCATGGTGGTGACAGGTTGACACTTGTTCAGGCAGGCCATCGCGCTCAGCCGAGACGCCTCGAGCCACTTCCGGAAGTCGGCGCCCTTCAGTCTCATGGACCCGGAGGCCACAGAGGAGACCCAGCTCCTGACTCTCCTGGAGACTATCTTCAAAGGTGATTCCTCTCCTTCTCCAGCCTGCAGTCTGACCTTTCTCCGAATATTCTTGGGCTGTTTGCTTTGGTGGGGGTGGCGGCTCCCCGATAGTTTTCTGTAAGCCCAGAAGACCCCTCCCATTGCCTCTGGGCTGGCAGGACCCAAGGACATGTCCCTCAGGGCTTGTGTCATGCTGGGGCCAGGCCCGACAGGGCTGGTAAGGACCATGTGGCACTGGGGATGGAAGGTGGGTGTGTCGCACTCAGTGCTGGGCCGTAAGCCTGTCTGGTGTCTCTAGCCTGGGACCAGATTCCTAACGCCGGGCACAGGCCTGACTAACCGCCTGATGCGGTACGAGGCTGGAAGGCAGCTGGCACTGCTGCTGCTCAGAAGGGCGGCAGCCCATGGATTAAGAGTAAAGGGAAGGGGCTGGGGAGTAGCACAGCGGGGAGGGCGTTTGCCTTGCAGGCGGCCGACCTGGGTTCGACTCCTAGCATCCCATATGGTCCCCCGAGTACCCCCAACAGAAGGAGGCTGCTGGGGCCAAAGTGGTGTTACAGCGGGTAGGGCACTTGCCTTGCACACAGTCAGTCCAGGTTCCATCCCCCTGCACCCCACAGGGTCCCCCAAACCCTGCCAGGAGTGATCCCTGAGTGCAGAGCCAGGAGTAACCCCTGAGCACCATCGAGTGTGGCCCCCAAACAATCAAGCTGCAGATTGTCTTTGATATTGTCTACTGAGCCCCAATCTAAAACATACTCACTGAGGGTTACAAGTCATCTGTTTGAGGCTGGAGCCATAGTACAGCGGGTAGGCGTTTGCCTTGCACGCAGCCAAGCCGGGTTCGATTCCCAGCGTCCCCTATGGTCCCTTGAGCACCACCAGGAGTAATTCCTGAGTGCCGAGCCAGGAGTAACCCCTGGGCATCACCGGGTGTGACCCAAAAAGCAAAAAAATAAGAAAAAGAGTAAGGGGAAGTAGGCTGGATCACGGAGGGCACTTGTCCAGCATGTGGCTGACTTGGGTTCGATTCCCAGCATCCCATATGGTCCCTTGAGCCCTGCCAGGAGTGATCCTTGAATGCAGATCCAGGAATATGCTCTTGGCACCTCTGGGTGTGGCCTCAGAACAAAACCACGAAAAATTAAGTCCCAGAGAGTAAAAGGCTGTTTTCAGACTATAAAGGACTTTGGCATCTTCTGAGGAACGAACCGAGATATTTTTGACCTTCCCTTCGAGGAAAGAAATCCCCAGGGATGGCTATTTGCTTTTCTCCATACACCTGTGAGCAAAAACCATTCTGTAATTCTCTCACTACTAGGCCCGGCAGCGTCCTCGCCGGAGAAGAGTGCCCAGGAGTCTGCCAGGACCGGGAGCCCTGGACAAACCGACAGTGCCGACAAGGCCCCTGTGTCGGAGCCTGAGAAATCCGAGGAAGACAATGAATTGGTGAAGCAGGAGCTGCTGGTGCAGTACCTGCAGGACGCCTACAGCTTCTCCCTGAAGATCACCCAGGCCATCGACATCATCAGTAAGATGATGTATGAGAACACAGCCACAGGTGGGCAATGCACCTTTCTCCAGGGACCGCGCCCCGGGCTTAGACAGCCAACCTCAGGGCCGGAGTGATAGTACAGGGAGTAGGGCTTTTGCCTTGCACACGGCTGACCTGGGCTCCATCTCGGCATCCCATAGGGTCCCCCAAGCACCGCCAGGAGTCAACCCTGAGTGCAGAGCCAGGAGTAACCCTTTAGCATTGCTGGGTGTGACCCAGAGAGCAAAAGAAAAAAGAAAAAGATAAACCAGCCTCGGGTTTCCAGAGAGATAGTACAACGGGTGCGATGCTTGCCTTGCACCGCTGTTGACCTGGGTTCGATCCCCAACACCCACTATGGTCCCCCAAGCCTGTCAGGAGTGATCCGTGAGAGCAGAGCAAGGAGTAAACTAGAATCACCGGGTGTGGGACACGCACTATTGCGCGCGCGCACGCGCACACACACACACACACACACGCACACACACACACACATACACACACAACAAACAAGCAGAAAACTGAAAACTGGTTGGTTGTCATCTCACCACCCCCTTTAAAATAGCCATGGGGGGAGGCTCTTACTCTATTTTCTCTGCCTGTGCATTTTTTACATCAGCCTTGGAGGAGCTCTTGTTCTCAGAAGGAGAAAGCCTCCGCTTGCACGGAGTACATAGAGGAAAGGGGCTCTCTGGAAGTGCGGGGTGGGGGTGGGGCGGGGCGACCCTTTGCCAAGCAAAACCAGATACTTGATGTTCGTGTCTATCCTCTCAGTGGTCCAGGAGGTGATTGAATTCTTCGTGACGGTGTCCCAGTTTGGGTTGCCCCAGGCCCTGTTGGGGGTCCGTCGCATGCTGCCCCTGATCTGGTCCAAGGAGCCCGGTGTCCGGGAAGCTGTGCTCAACGCTTACCGCCAGCTGTACCTCAGCCCCCAGGGGGATTCGGCCAGGTAACGGGGCGTCTGGCTTGCTCTTCAGGGGTTGGCGCCTCAAAGAGTTTTTCTGGTCTCCTGAAGGAACAGGGTTGGGCCAGAGGGGATCCTTCGAGAAGACTTTGCCTCCACAGGCAGTAGGGGCAGAAGTGTCCCTGGAGTATTTCCTGTGAGGTCAGCTCACCGGGTTTGCCCTGTGAGCCAGTTTGCCAGGTTCTGCTTAGTCCATGAATGACCCCTGACCTTTGCTGTCCCCACAGAGCCAAGGCCCAGACTTTGATTCAGAACCTCTCGCTGCTGCTAGTGGATGCCTCAGTTGGGACTGTTCAGTGTCTCGAGGAAATCGTAAGTCGGCCTATCTGACCTTTTCTCCTTCGGCCAGTAGTGATGAGTGATGTTGCCTACTCCACATGGCACTGTAAGGTGACGTGCTTTCACGTTCCCAAGGGCAAAGGAACCTGCAGTTTGGTTTCTGGCCAAGAACGTAAACCATTTCTAAGACAATGGCAGCTGACTGGTGACAGGGTGGCCGACCGCCAAGCCTAAGGCTTTGCTTTTGATTTCGGACACTGGCCGTGTGTTGTTCTGGAACCAGCCGTCCCACCAAAACAAAAGAGTGCCATTTCTTGCCACATGCCACAGCCTCATGTGTGTCTGTGTGTCTGTGTGTCTGTGTGTGTCTGTGTGCCGTGTACGTGAGGCCAGGAGGAGCGGGAGAGAGTGTAAGCATTGCCACAACAGTGTATGGACACTGGCACGTGCAGCCCCCAGAGGGCAAATGGCAGAGCCCAGTTGGAACCTCGTAGCCAGGTACTTGACCGCAACAGTGGCACAGCAGGTGGACAGTGAGGTACTTGAGGAAGCAGCCTAGGAAGTGAAGGTAGCAACACCGTGCAATATTGTAGCAGTGTCATAACCCTTCAGGGAGTTACACCAGGCGCTGTCCCTTTCTCCCATTCATTGGTTCAGTCCTCTTACCCACCCTGTACGGTGCCTGAGAAGCCTGGCCCCCAGGGAGAGTGAGAGCCAGGCTCGTTCTGGCAAGTTGGTGGCAGAGTTGGGAGATCAGGCCCAGGTCTCAGAGGCTCCCAGAAACAACCTCTTTCCGTGGCTCCGGACTTGGGCGCATGGAGCGGGCAGGAGCAACGAGAGTGCGTAGGTTGGGGGACGCTTCTTGAGGACGGGCGGGGAGAGAGTCACCCCTGAGCAGGCAGCTGGCCACAGCCCAAGCCACACCTGGCCTCCATCCGTCCAGTCCAGTGGTTCCCAAAGGTCTGCAGCTCCTTTTCAGAAAAAACGAAACCAAACAAAAAACTCGGTTTCCTGCTCCCTGGAAATTTACTTTCTGTTTTGTTTTGGGGCCATACCCAGAGTGCTCAGGGCTTTCTCCTGGCTCTGTGCTCAGGGATCATTCCTGGTGGGGCTCGGGACCGTAATTGGCATTGGCGATCAAGCCTGGTCAGCCTTGTGAAGGCAAACGCCTCCCCGCCGGGCTAATGCTCCGGCCCTGGAAGAAACAGAACTGTGTGGCCAATTTCTAAAACACGGGACTGAGGAGTTTTCATCGCTGTGAATGTGGAGATTGTTGGTACCATCAGCAAAACCCACTCAACCTCCCGAGGGCAGTGAGGGATCTGCCCCCGCCCTCCCCCCCCACCCCCCCAAAGCCGGCCGTGTTTCATCTTCATCAGGGTCACGTTGAAGGAGGAGAGGCGGGAAGTCACCCCGGTGATGACAGAGTGTCGCCCCCCCTCCCCCAGCCCCCTGCTTTCCCTTCCCCACACTCGGGGAGTCGGCTGAGCTGGTGGGCTGTTCCGGTTTCCAGAACCCTTTCCCGCTGAGCCTTCGTCTGCCTTCCCCCACAGCTGTGTGAGTTCGTGCAGAAGGAGGAGCTGAAACCCGCAGTGACCCACCTGCTGTGGGAGCGGGCCACGGAGAAGGTGCCCTGCTCCGCCCTGGAGCGCTGCTGCTCCGTCACGCTGCTCGGGATGCTGGCACGGTGAGGACCCCCACACACACCTCCTCAGGATGCTGGCACAGTGAGGACCCCCCTCCTTTGTACTTTGTACTCGCCTGGGATGGGAGGTGAACGCAGGAAGCAGCTGCCTCCAGCCATGCAGAAACATGGGGTTCAGTAGAACCGGAACTCCAAGGAGGATACACCCTGCCCCGGTTGCTGGTGCCTACTCCCTGGCATCGTCTGTCTCCCGTTCCCCTGCCCCACCCTGCCCCCAGCGCCCCATCCAGGACTGCCCACAAGCCCATGGCTTCCTTCCCCCAGAGGAAAACCGGAAATCGTGGGAAGCAACTTGGATACGCTGGTGAGCATCGGTCTGGAGGGAAAGACCTCACCGGACTACAGGCTGGCACAGCAGGTGTGCCAGGCCATCACCAACATCTCCGACAGGAGAAAGGTCGGTGGCATGCTTCCTCCCCAGCTCAGGAAAGCGGCTCCCCGCCACCAGCGCACCCACATTCGTCTTTCCCGTCCTCCACAGCCTTCCCAGGGCATCCGCCAGCCCCCCTTCCGGCTGCCCCAGGAGCACCTGCTATTCCAGCGGCTGCGGGAGACGGTCGGCAGAGGTGAGCTCTCCCGGCCGGGGCAGCCCCAGGCTCATTGGGGCAGCGCAGGCAGCTGACCTTGCTCCTCTCCCACCAGGCTTCACAATCCCAGACCCCTTCTGGATCCCATTCAAAGAGGTGGCGGTGAGCCTCGTGTACCAGCTGGCAGAGGGCCCCGAGGTCATCTGTGCCCAGATGCTGCAGGACTGTGCAAAGCAGGCGCTGGCAGAGCTGGAGCGGGAGACCCCCGCCCAGGGGGACACCAGTGAGTGTCGGGGCTGCCCAAGGGGACCCCAGTGAGTGTTGGCTGCCGAGGGTTACCCCAGAGAGTGTCAGGGATAGTGCGCGGGATATCCCAGTGAGTGTCAGGGAACGCACCAAGGGGACCCCAGTGGCCCACCCTGGGGTACCCCAGTGAGTGTCAGTGGTACTGCTCAGGGGACCCGCCAAGGGGACCCCAGTGAATATTGAGGGGCCTTCCCAGAGGGACTCCGGTGAGTCCCCGGGGTCCCATCCAGGGAGACCCTAGTGTCAGGGGGGCCCGCCCAAGGGGAATGCAGTGTCGGGGGAGGCGAGTCAGGCAACAGCTGCCGCCTGCTCCTTCCCTGCCAGGTCGGAAGCCTCACCCCTTCCTACCACAAATCTTGCGCCCTCCATTGTGGGAAGGCCGTAGCCAGTGATGCTCAGGGATCCCTCCTGGTGGGGCTTGGGAACATATGGAATGCAGGGGTGGAGCCCGGGTCACCCATGTGCCCGGCCAGCGCCCTCCCCGCTGCGCACGCTCTCTGGCCCCTCGGTCCCACGTTTGCCCCTCCGTGAGGCTGCTCACCACCCGTAGCCCCCTCGCCCCTCGGGAGTCTCTGAGGGGCAGGACACGCTCACCACCTTCCCCCTGCCGCCCCTCCAGAGGAGCCCCCCAAGCTCCCCACCTTCCTGCTGATGAACCTACTGTCGCTGGCCGGGGACGTGGCCCTGCAGCAGGTGGTCCACCTGGAGCAGGCCGTGAGCGGCGAGCTATGCCGGCGCCGCGTGCTCCGGGAGGAGCAGGAGAACAAGACCAAAGAGCCCAAGGACAAGGTGAGCGGCCAGCCCATGGGCGGGGGGGGGGGGGCGGCTCCTGGTCCTGCTGCCCCGCCCTGGGATAGAGGAACAGGAGCAGATGGGCTGGTCCGATTGTGCACCCCCAAGCAGCAGCTTCCGTCCCAAAGGGCGCACCCCACGCCCTCACCCCACCCAGTGCGCCCGCCCCTCCCACCCTTTGTTCCATTCCCTCCAGCCTGTTGCCTGACGGTAGGCAGGCAGGATGTTCTGCAGGCAGACAGCTCCTAGCGCCTTGCAGCCATGGGCAGGGGTTGGGCTGCTTGTGACCTTGAGCCCCAGCTGGCATGTTCCATCTGCGTCTGTGAGGGGCCCCTTTCCGGCCCCTGGCGGACAGATCCCGACTCCTCTGCAGATGCCTGGGGTAGTTCTGTGAATGGTTTTGCAGTATCTCCTTTCCCCGGATCCCTTTTTCTCCGATTCCCCCTGCATCCCCGGCTTCCTTCCCCTTAGAACACAAGCTCTGAGACCACCATGGAGGAGGAGATGGGGCTGGTCGGGGCCACCGCCGACGACACCGAGGCCGAACTCATCCGGGGCATCTGTGAGATGGAACTGTTAGATGGTAAGGTGGGGGAGGGGTGGAGTGACAGAACCGTGGGGAGGGCGCGAGCCGTGCACGTAGCTGGTCCCTGGCACCCCCCCCACATGGTCCCCTGAGCCCCACCGGGAGTGAAGACTCGTGGGGTGGCCACCCCGCTGGAGATGACCTTTCCAGACCCAGAGTGGCTGTTCCCCCAGGGAAGCAGATCTTGGCTGCCTTCGTTCCGCTCCTGCTCAAAGTCTGCAACAACCCGGGCCTGTACAGCAGCCCCGAGCTCTGTGCGGCCTCGGTGCTCGCCCTGGGCAAGTTCTGCATGATCAGGTAGGCTGTGGGGGCAGGAGCCTGCCCGAGCACCGGCTGGCCCTGTGTCACTCTGACCGGCCTCTCCCTCGCCCCTAGCGCCACTTTCTGTGACTCGCAGCTCCGCCTTCTGTTCACCATGCTCGAGAAGTCCTCGCTCCCCACCGTCCGCTCCAACCTCATGATTGCCGCTGGGGACCTGGCCATCCGCTTCCCCAACCTGGTGGACCCCTGGACCCCTCACCTGTATGCGCGGTAAGAGGCCCCCGGGGGGAGGCCGTGGGGGAGGCTGTGCTTAGGGCGGGGCGAGGGACACTGACCTGGGGTGATACTTGGCACGTGCAGTGCCTGGCTAGGAACGGCCCAGAGGGGTTGGCACTTGAGTTCTGAGCCTGCCTATAAGCGTGGCCGCTTTCCTCCATACCAGCTCGAGAAAGGTTTCTTTGTCTTAATTTGTTTGGGATTTTTTTTTTTTTTTTTTTTTTTTTTTTTTGCTTTTTGGGTCACACCCAGTGATGCTCAGGGGTCACTCCTGGCTCTGCACTCAGAAATTACTCCTGGTGATGCTTGGGGGACCATATAGGATGCTGGGAAACGAACCCGGGTCCGCTGTGTGCCAGGCAAATGCCCTACCTGCTGTGCTATTGCTCCAGCCTCTTGTTCTTGTTTCTGGGCCCCACTCAGCAGTGTTCAGGCGCTGCTCCTGGCGGTGCTCGAGAGACCCAGTGAGGAGCTGGGAGATCCGTCCTTCACCCCAGCACTGTCTCTCTGGCCCGAGAACCGCTTTCTCGCTGCTTCCAGAAGGCCAGGGCGAAGAGCGGGGAGGCCTGTTCCTCCGAGGCCAGGGCAGAGCCCGCACCTGCATCTCGGGATTCGGGGTGTCGTTCCCAGCCTCCGGGACCCCGCGCAGCAGGTCCGGAAGACAGCGGTGCTGGTGATGACGCACCTGATCCTCAAGGACATGGTGAAGGTGAAGGGGCAAGTGAGCGAGATGGCCGTGCTGCTCATCGACCCCGTTCCGCAGATCGCCGCGCTGGCCAAGAACTTCTTCAACGAGCTGTCGCACAAGGTGGGCACCGTGAGGCGAGGCGGCTGCCTGGGAAGGCGCACCCGGCTGGCTCCCGCTCACCTGTGCCGCTCTCCTCGTCTCCCAGGGCAACGCCATCTACAACCTGCTTCCCGACATCATCAGCCGCCTGTCAGCCCCCGAGTGCGGCGTGGAGGAAGACCCTTTCCACACCATCATGAAGTATGGTGGCCTCGGGGACCGTTTTTACAATCAGGACAAACCTGTCTCTGAATTCTGGTTCTGCTGCATTTTCACAACCACTTTCCCCCCCACCCGGTCAATTCCAGACCAGCAGTCTGGAAGGTTCGGAAAAATGAAGTGGCTTGTGGCAGTTCCCGCTGGCCTGTAGTCACTAGAGTCCATCCACGGCGACCGCTCCTCATGGGGCCGGGCCCAGCCCTTCCCACAACAGAGGAACGGGCAGGAGACAGGGCAGGCAGGGACCAGGGCCGAGAACGTTCTGCTGCGGCCAGTGGGGTCAGAGCACAGGGTGGCCGCAGGCGGTGCCACAGCCCCTCGTCCATCCCTCACACAGGCAACTGCTCTCCTACATCACCAAGGACAAGCAAACGGAGAGTCTGGTGGAGAAACTGTGTCAGCGCTTCCGCACAGCCCGGTATGTGCCTGTTCCAGGGGGATGGGGGGGTGGCGCATGGAGGGGCCAGGCCTGGCCCTGTGCGCCTCATGGGGCCTTTGCCGTCTCCACAGAACCGAGCGGCAGTACCGGGACTTGGCCTACTGTGTGTCCCAGCTGCCGCTGACCGAGCGATGCCTCCGCAAGATGTTGGACCACTTCAATTGCTTCGGCGACAAGCTGACGGATGAGTCTGTCTTTGGTGCCTTCCAGTCCATTGTGGGCAAACTGCGGCGCGGCGCCAAGCCTGAGGCCAAGGTACGAGGCACCACCCCGTAGCCCCCAGTACCCACGGCGACCGCATCCCAGGCTGCTGTCTGAAGCTCATTCCGCCATTTCATTTCTTTCTCTTTCTTTCTTTTTTGGGGGGGGTCACACCCGGCAACGCGAGGGGTTACTCCTGGCTCATGCACTCAGGAATTACTTGGGGGACCTTATGGGATGCTGGGAATCGAACCCAGGTCGGCCGCATGCAAGGCAAATACCCTACCCACTGTGCTATCACTCCAGCCCCCTATTTTTGTTTCTCTTCTCTCTTTTTCCTTTATTTTTTGAGGGGGGAGGTGGGCCAAACCCAGCAAAGCTCATGGGTTCCTCCTGGCTCTGCACTCAGAAATCGCTCCTGGTGGTGCTCAGGGGACCCTGTGGGATGCTGGGGATCAAATCCGGGTAGTCTGCGTGCAAGGCAAACGCCTTCCTGTACTATTGCTCTGGTCCCCTTTTACTTTTCTGTTTTGAGGGGGCACGTCTGGCAGTGCTCAGGGCTTGCCCCTTGCTCCTTCCAGCCTCATCCCTTAGTGGGGCTTGGGAACCAAAACCCAGTTGGGCCTCGGCAGGGGAAGTGCCTCAACCCCCGGCACTAGCACTGTGGCTCTTCTTTCCTGTTTTGAGGTCAATGTCATTGCTTAGAGCAAATCAGAGTAAAGTCGAGTTGACCATATCTCTCACACATACACACACACACGCACGCACGCGCGTGTCCCCATTGTCAACATCCCCCTGCAGGGAAGCTGCAATCCATGAGCCTCTGTTGACACGCTACCACCCAAAGTCCAGTTGACAGGAGGCTTTGCTCCTGGAGGCTTGGCTCGAGCCGCGAGCACCGTGTCATCCACGGTCATTCACTCCGCCCGGAGTCCCAGCACGTGCCCTTCTCGCTCACCTTGCCGTGTCCTGCCCTTCCCGGGAGGGAACTGCTCTCCCAGGCCGGCTCACAGCCTGTCCTCCTCCAGGTGCTGATAGAGGAATTCGAGCAGAAGCTGCAGGCTTGCCACACCCGGGGCCTGGAGGCCATGGAGGAGTGCAACATTGGCCAAGGGGACAGCCAGAAAACCCCGTCAGCCAAGAGACAGCCGGCTGGTAGGTGGAGGCAGCCCTGGGGAAGCGGGGGTGTCCGCTGTGGACTCGGGACTCCCCTCCCGTTTCTCTCCTAGTCTCCAGGCACCCACGTCAGGCCTCGACCGTCGCCAACGGCGACTTTGTCACCCCTGAGCCTCGCCGCACCACCCGCCAGCACTCCCAGCAGCGGGTCACTGGGAAGAAGAAGAAACCCCCAGTGGTCTTCTCGAGCGATGAGTCCAGCGAGGAAGGTAGGGGGCTCGCCGCGGGCCCGTTTCTCCCCGAGGGCTGTTTTTGCACATCCCCGTGACTCAGCCTTTTCTGACTGCTCCTCTCTCACCAGAGCTCTCCGCAGAGATGACAGAGGATGAGACGCCCAAGAAGACCACGCCCATCCGCCGCACGTCCTCCCGCCGCAGGCCCAGACCCTAGCGCCACTGGCCTCGTCCCCCTCCCTGCTGGGCAGGGCCCTGGTGGGACAGCCCGGACGCAGCCCCTTGTAAAATACTTGTTTGTCTGTCTTTGTGTTTTTGTCTTCGGATTTTTAAGGCATAACGATCTTTATAATATGAAGCGTTTCTTTCTTTTTTTTTTTATTGAGTCACTGTGAGATAGACCCTGACGAAGCTGCTTGTGATTGGGTTTCGGTCGTACAGTGCACCAACACCCATCCCTCCACCGGTGTACATTTCTGTCTCTGTCTCTCAGTATGAGGCATTTCTTTCCAACCAAGCCACTGAGCTGAGCAGAGCTGTGTCCAGTGCGCTGCCCACCCACCTCCCTGCTGGTCTCCCCTTCCCTTTGTGTCATCATGGGGAAGACAAGGTCACACACAGATCATGCTGTCACACTTTTTTTTGGGGGGGGGGTGTTTTGGGCCACACCCAATGATGCTCAGGGGTTAACTCCTGGCTCTGCTCAGGAATTACTCCGAGTGGTGCTTGGGGGAACCATATGGGATGCCGGGGATCGAGCCCACATGGATCGCGTGCTGCAAGGCAAGCCCCTTACAGCTCTGCTATCACTCGGGCCCTGGTCACACCCTAGCAGTGCTCTGCAGGGGCTGCTGCAGGGTACACAACATATACCTTCACCAGGGCACACTTCCTTTAGCGGACGAGCTTGCACATGCCCGGCCAGAAGTCACTTCCGGTGCCAGGAATGTTAGACGCCAGCGGCGCCAGGATCTCCCTCGCCCCTGCCAGGGGAGGACAGGCACCAGACTGGCCTCGGCCTGCAAAGCGGGCGCTTAAGCCACTGAGCCTTGTCCAGTACCATGACCCTTGGCTTTTCATTTTATTTATGGGGGCGGAGAAACTTCCTAAACAATGCTCACGGGGGTTGGGGGGGGCCCCACCAGCAATTCTTAGCTAACTGGACTGTCAGTTCAGTACGGGGATGTCCGGGTCCCCAGCAGTGTGTCAGGGCTGTACCTGAAGATGTGCAGAGGCAGGAATCACTCCTGGCTTGGAGCATCCGGCCGGCAACCTTACCGCTGTTCTCTCCCCTGGGCCCTTTGACTTGAGGGTTTTTGATAGTCAGAAATGTTTCTCTGCAGCGTTTTGGTCTCCCCGTGCGTACCCACCCAGGAAAATGTGTCTAGGAGGTTTGGGGCCAGGGCCGAGAGCACGCCAGGTCCCTCTCTGGGGAGAGGGCGAGTCTGGCCCTCCAAGGACATTTGGCAAGACCTGGAGACTTTGTTCTCACAGCCCGGGGGAGTGTGCGCCCAGCATCTATCTGGGCAGAGATGTTACAAAATCCCCACCGTTCTGGGGACAGCTCCCTCAACCCAGTGCCAAGGCAGAGGTTGAGAAACCCCCAGAGACCCGGGACTGGTTCCCTCTGAGCCCTGCCCCTCCCCTTCCCGGGCTCCCTAATCCCAGTTTGCAGCCAAGTGACCGACCTGGCTGCCACGGGAGAAAGGAAGCAAGGTCAGGCTTAGACAACAGCTGCAGGGGACTCCCGGGGGTGGGGAAGGGGGTCCTCCGAAGCCCACTGGAGTAGGCTCTGCTGGGGCCCCGCTGCCATCACGTCCTGCACGCCCCCTCCGACTCCCCCAGTGTGTGTGCTGAGTCACCTGAGCCAGAGGCAAGAGCCTGCTGCCATGACAACACAGGCTGCATCACGCGTGTTCCCCGAGCACCGAGTTTCCTCCAATGGGCAGACAGTCCTGCAAGGGTCTTGCAGAGCCAGGGGCTGGGAGGGGAAAGCCAATAGTCTTGGGGGGCTACACGGCTGCAGCTGAGACCCCCTAACTTCAAGCCGGTGGCTGCCCATGGGCACCTCCCTCCCCGCCCCGGCTCCCTCCTCCAGTGGGGGCACTTGTCCAGTTTCTGCCGTTGGTGAGAGGCCCAGGGCCTGGCGCTGGCCACGCCATGAGGCCGCCAGACACTCAGAAGAGAGCCTTGGCCTCGGGGCCTGGAGTGCCCGCTGCCTTTTCAGCAAAGGGTACAGCTGCTAAACTTAGACACGCTCTTTCCCAGGGAAAAGGGGGCTGGTGTCAGGTTACCCCTGGGCCCGCAGAGGCCCCAAGATCTGGGTCCCGGGCCCCCTGCACCTGTTGATGGCCACAGCACCCCCACACCCCCACTTCTCCGCTTTCCAGGGCTCCATGCCCAGCCCTTATCCCGGACTCTCAAGCTCGTACCGGGAAGCCATCTGCATCTCCATCCTCTCCCCGTGGGGAGGGGCTGGGGCCAGCTCCACCGGGGACTCAGCCAGGCCTCCTTTTTGCTCTTGGAGACTCTGCCCCAGCATCTCCGGCCACGGCGGCTGGGCGTCCAGGAGGAGGAGGGACTTCCGCCCTCACGTCCAGCTCGCCCAGGGCTGGAGGAGGTGAAAGGGGCATTGTTTCCCTCCTGGGCGCCTTCGGCGGGGAGGCCCGCAGCCTCCGGGCCCCCGGGTCCCCAAGAGCGATGAGTGCCCGCCTCCAGAATGCCCGGTCGGGTGTCTGCGAGGTGGGGGGCGCAACTGGTGTGCCCAGGGCCGCTCCCTCCGCCCCAGTTATCTCGGCCGCTGCCGGACGCTGTGACCTTCAGCACAGAACACTCCCCGGCCTCCTTCCTGCGCGCCCCCGCTGCCCAGGCCCGGGCCCCCTGCCCGCAAAGGCCGGGAGCCAGCGAGTGGGGAGGAGAACCCGGGGCGAGAAGGCCCCCACCCCACTCCCGGGCCTTCTCTGCTGTCCCCGCGTCGTTACCAAGGAGCCTGGAGAAGTTCCTCAGCCTTCCCGCCACTCAGGCTGAAAGAAAAGAACGGGGAGGGGGGCGGGGTGGCCACGTGCGGCGGCGAGCCGCCCCGGGGACCCGGCTCCAACACACCCCCTACCCCACCCCCATTCCACAGGCGCCCAAGTCCACTTGTAGCATCCTAAAGAGCAACTTTCCTGGCGGGGCTCCAGGATGCGCTCGGCTCCCCCCGGGCCCGAGCCTCCTGCGTGCCTGCCGGCCTGTCCCTGGGGGCTAGTCTCGGTCCCCGAGCTCCCTCGGTCCACCCGGGCCCACAGGCCCGGTGCGTGCACAGCGGGAGGAGGCGGGCGGTGCCCCCCCAGCCCCTCGGAGCGGAGGCGCCGCTATTCGCGAGTTTACGGGCGCACGTAGCTCAGGCCTCCGCGCCCGCGGGCCGGGACTGGGCGAGCGGGCGGGGGGCGGGCCCGCGTCACCCCGCGCCGCCCCGCCCCGCCCCGCGTCTATAAATTGGGGCTGCAGCCTCCGCCCGTGTTCTCTGCTCCTCCCAGTCGGACAGAAGCCGCCTCTTCTCGCGCAGCGCCAGGTAAAAGGGGGAAAAAATAAAAAAACAGGAATGCCAGGATGCCAGGCTGGACTTGGCACCGCTGCGGCGCGGGTCCCGCGGGCCGGGCGCGGGGCGCGGGGGTGGGCGCCTCCGCAATGCAGGGGCCCGAGCTGGACGTGCAGGCGCGCGGGTGGAGAATGGAGGCTTGGGGGGAGGGGGGGAGGGGAGGGAGGACGGACGGGAGGGAGGGAGGACGGGGGAGCCCGCGCTGATGCCCGCCCGCTGTGCCCGCTGTCCCCGCAGCCGCATCCCGAGACACGATGGTCAAGGTCGGAGTGAACGGGTGAGTCCGCCTGCCGGGAGACCCCGGCCCCAGCTGGGGCTCTGCACGCGCTCCCCGTGCGTGTGTGGGAGGGGAGGAGTGGGGAGGGGAGTGGAGGGTGGTGTCCGTGCCCCCCTCAAGGAGAGCTCAAGGTCAGCGCGCAGAGGCCTTCGTGTCCCCCCACCCTCCTCGTCCTGGCGCCTGCCGTGGCTCCGCCCCCCCGCGGGCACGAGTGGCCGAGAACCTTCCGTGGCAGGGATGCAGGAGGGGCGGCCCCCCCCGACCCCCGCTTCTTGCAGGGGTGCGGTCCCCGGCTTGGCTTGCCCCCTCCGGGCTGCACTGCACGCGCCGCCTTTCGCGCCCTGCGGGGTCACGTGCCGGGAGGCGCCCCTCCCCCACCTGCTCTCCCCCACCCCCCCTCACCCCTCCAGCCCGGGGTGCGGGATTCCGGGGGGCCTGGCCGCACGCTGCCCCCGTGGCGCAAGCAGGCAGGAAATGAATGAAGCCCCGTTAGGAAACCTCCTTAGCGCCCCGGCTTCTTCCTCCTGCTGGGCTCGGCTGCCCCGGCCCCGTGACTCACCCGCGCGCTTCCGCCGCGGGCTGGGGTGCGGCCACCCCGCGCCTGTGAACCAGGTGAAACCCGGGAAAGAGCCCGACCCCCGGGGCATCCCTGCATCCGCTGCGCAATGACCCCTGGGGGAAGGAGGAGGAGCACCCGCGCCTTTCCTCGAAGATTCTCTGCTGACCCGAAACTGGGCCTCTGGGAGTTGAGGGGGGGTCCCAGTGGCGGGCCCCCGCCTCTCATACGCACTCCTCCCTCCTGGGCTGCCAGGGAGCTGAGTCATGGATAGTTCCAGAAACATTTGCACCCCAAAATGGCTCCTTTGGCAGCACCCCCTTACCTGGGCGAGTCCCCCAGCCGCTCTCAGTCTAAAGGTCATTGGCGAGATTGGGTGTCTAGACGCTGGGATCCAGCCGCGCTGGCCACTAGGCTCCCAGAAACCAGATCCCCCCCAGCCTGGGGTTAAATATAGCGCCTGACCTTTCTCAGGAGGGGGGCCCTGGCCACCCCAACACATCTGCTGCTTCCGCTCCTGCTTTTGGGGGGAAGCCCTAGAACAGCTGGGTTTGGCCCATGGGGGGCGGGGGCGTGGCTCCTGCCGGGAGGCCTTGCTGAAGGGGGTGGGCTCGTCAGCCAGCCGTCAGCCGAATTTCCGACCTTTACTCTCGCCCTTTGAGCCTGGTGATGCTGAGTGTACAAGGCTGGGCTCCCAGAGGGTGTGGCCTGAGGCCTTGCCAGGCCGAAAGAAAGGGACGTGCCCAGGCGCCCAGCTGGTGGGGGTGGCAGCCCAGGGCCCACGCTGCCTTTCTTTTGGAGGAAAGGCATTTCCCATGGGCGAGGCTGGGCTGAGCCCCAATCAGCCTCAGGGGGCTGAGCACCCGTTTTTTATCAGGCTACAAACAACCCGTCCTCGGGGAGAATTTCTCTAACTTCCCCTCACCTGTTGTTACCTGCAGATTTGGCCGTATTGGCCGCCTGGTGACCAGGGCTGCCCTCACCACTGGCAAAGTGGAAATTGTGGCCATCAATGACCCTTTCATTGACCTCAACTACATGGTGAGTGTGCCGTGGTCCATGTCCCCCCTCCCCCCACCCACACACAGAGACACACAACAACACAACAGGTGAGGGGGTAGCATCGGCCTGAAAGAGCGACCACCCCTGAGCCCTGGATTGCGCCTGCAGGTGTACATGTTCCAGTATGATTCCACCCATGGCAAGTTCAACGGCACCGTCAAGGCCGAGAACGGAAAGCTCGTCATCAACGGGAAGCCCATCACCATCTTCCAGGAGTAAGTGAGGAGAAGGGCACGGGAAGAAAGGTGCTTTGGGAGACGCTTCTAGAAGGTGGTCTCCAGCTGCCTCGGGTGCAGGGCATACCCTGTGTAGCCCCCACCTCCCCTCAAAGCATGGACCCGTCTCTGTTATAGGCGAGATCCCGCCAACATCAAATGGGGTGAGGCCGGTGCCGAGTACGTCGTGGAGTCCACTGGGGTCTTCACCACCATGGACAAGGCTGGGGTGAGTGAGCGGCCCCCGGGGGTGCTAACGAGATTGGGGCGGGGGTGGTTGGCCTGGATCTATCTGGAATTCTCTCTCCCCACAGGCCCACCTGAAGGGCGGTGCCAAAAGGGTCATCATCTCGGCCCCCTCTGCCGACGCCCCCATGTTTGTGATGGGCGTCAACCACGAGAAGTACGACAACTCCCTCAAGATCGTCAGCAACGCCTCCTGCACCACCAACTGCTTGGCGCCCCTGGCCAAGGTCATCAACGACAACTTCGGCATCGTGGAGGGGCTCATGACCACCGTCCACGCCATCACTGCCACCCAGAAGACCGTGGACGGCCCCTCCGGGAAGCTCTGGCGTGACGGCCGAGGGGCCGCCCAGAACATCATCCCCGCCGCCACCGGCGCCGCCAAGGCCGTGGGCAAGGTCATCCCGGAGCTGAACGGGTGAGAGGCCTTTCTGGGCTGGTTCCGCCCGGGGTGCCCAAGGGAACCCTGAGGCCGGGCTCAACCCTGCGCCTCCTGTCTTGTCCTCAGGAAGCTGACCGGCATGGCCTTCCGTGTCCCCACCCCCAACGTGTCCGTCGTGGATCTGACCTGCCGCCTGGAGAAAGCTGTACGTGGCTGGGGTGGGGCTGGGCAGGGTCTGGGAGGGGCGTGGGCACCGTGGGACTGTGCTAATAACATCCTTGGTGTTGGCAGGCCAAATACGACGACATCAAGAAAGTGGTGAAACAGGCCTCACAGGGCCCCCTCAAGGGCATCCTGGGCTACACCGAGGACCAGGTTGTCTCCTGCGACTTTAACAGCGACACCCACTCCTCCACCTTCGACGCTGGGGCTGGCATCGCCCTCAACGACCACTTTGTCAAGCTCATTTCTTGGTGCGTGCAGGGCTGGGGCGAGGGGGGTTGGGCGGGAGGCAGGAGGCGGGCTCGGGCGCCATCTGTCGGCGGGGCCCTTCACCACTCACTCCCCTCCCAGGTACGACAATGAGTTCGGCTACAGCAACCGGGTGGTGGACCTCATGGTCCACATGGCCTCCAAGGAGTAGGCGCCCCCCACCAGCCGGACCAGCCGCCCCAGCCAGAGCACCAAGAGGAAGCACGAGGCCCTCGCCGCTGGGGAGTCCTTCCCCCTCGCACCCAACACACTGAGAACCTCCCGACCTCGAGTTTCCATCCCGACCCCTGAAGAAGGGGAGGGGCGTAGGGAGCCCCACCTTGTCATGTAACATCAATAAAGCTACACTGCACCCCACCCCTGCTGCTTTGGTGTGTGTGTGGGGGGGGGGGGGGGGCTGCCAAGACCCGACCACACAGCAGCTGTGCTGCTCTGCCGCCCCCTGCTGGTGAGACTGAGCCCCTTAAGGCGCCCAAGAACCTGGAAGCTATTCGCAGCTTCCTGCTGGGACTGATGGAGGGTGAGGGTAACACCAGTGGCAAGGGACATCAGTCTTTATGTCTGGGGACCGCATCTGGCGATGCCCGGGACTTACTCCTGCCTCTGCACTCAAGAATTAACTCAGGACTAGATGGGATGCTGGGGCACCAAACTGGTCAGCCGGGTGCCAGGCAAATGCCTGAACCTATTACGGCTCTGGCCCCAGCACACAAGTTGGTGCTTGGGCTGAGTGCCCGGGTGTGTCCTGGTCCGCCAAGATGCAGAGGGCAGCTTGGTTGTGAGGGCCAGGGACCCCCTGAGAGTCCCTCCCTGCCCCTGGCCTTCCCCCTGCCCCAGCTCTTCCTGGTCTGTGCTGAGGGCCCCCTCCTGGCTCTGCTCTGGATCCTGGGGGTCTGCTTAGAATCCCGTCCCAGCAGGGGTACTTCCAGGATGCTTGGGAAGTAGCCATCAGACCTTGGGGAGGCTTTCTGGGTGCTGTTGGCTGCCTCCCACCTTGCCAGGGCCCAGGAAGTGTGACGTGATTGGCCTATGTTGAGGGGCGTATCGGGACTGAAGGGGAGCCCAGGAGACTCAGGGAAGGGCCAGAGCCTTGGCACCAGCACCCCAAGCTGCCTCTGCTGCTGCCACTGTCCATCTGGGCCAGGGGAACTGCTGCCCTCGCGCCCTGCTTGGGGTGAGGTGAGCATGGAGGCCCCGACTCTAGCCCTTACTATTTTTTGCTTTTTGGGTCACACCCGGCGATGCTCAGGGGTTACTGCACTCAGGAATTACTCGTGGCAGTGCTTTGGGGGACCATATGGGATGCTGGGAATCAAACCCAGGTCGGTCGCGTGCGCGGCAAACGCCCTCCCCACTGTGCTCTCACTCCAGCCCTAATTTTATTTGGGGGTCTGGGGGCCACACCCAGGAATGCTCAGGACGCTGTGCTCGAAAACCGTCAGCAGTCTGGGGTATGCACTCTCTCCAGCGAGGCTGAGGCGGGGGGGAGGGGTCTCCCAGCTCTGCTGGGGGGTCGTGCCTGGCACTGCAGGCAAAGCCAGGCGCGGACACAGGCAAAGCACGCGCCCCCCACCCCCAGCAGCTCTCCGCGCCACCCAGTGCTTGAGACAGTAACACGCGGGCAATGCCGTGCTTGCGGTTTCGTTATTATTCAAGATTCCACTCCGTGTCATTCCGGGGCCACTTCGTCCTGTCCCCCAGTCCGTGCCGGGCACAGCCTGATACCCAGAGGCAGCCCTGGGTGGGCCGACACGTGAAATCAAGACCCTGAGCTCATGCACACGCATGCCCCATGCACACGCGCGCGCGCACACACACACACCAAGCAGCTGCACGCACGCACACACACACACACACACACACACACACACACACACAACCCCAAGCAGCTGCGCCCAGCCCACCTGAGCCACACACGGCACTGAGGTCCCTCGCACGTGGCACTTCACCAGGGACGGGTCCCCGGGGCCCCCACAATGTGGCCCGTAGCACCAGCTGGGAGCGAGGGTGGGTGGGAAGGGGTGCGCCGGGGCCCCCACCACCATCTGTGCTCCAGCATCGGGGTGCTGACCCCCACCCGTGCCTGAAGGCAGGAGCACCCAGGAAGGGGCGGCGGCGTGGCAGACACCCCACTCCCTGCGGGCCGAGGCCTGGTCCCTCGGGGCCCCCCCAGGGCAGCGTGGGGGGCAGCGGGCCCCTATCTCATGGAGCTGTCAGATGAGACGTCTCGATCGGAGTCCTCAGCCTCGCCCGGAGGCGGCGGGTCACTGGGCGGGACCGGAGGGAAAGCAGGAGACTTTCTAGAAAGAAATACGGGTGGTCACCTGCGGGCGGTGGGGGCGGAGGCACCGGGCCCGCGGGGGGCTACGGAGGTCCCGGAAGCGGGAAGGGGCAGAAGGAAACTTGTATCTACACCCCAGGCCTGCGAGGTTGGGGGCGGAGCGGGGCGGGAGGCGGCAGCAGAGTTGAGGTGGGATGGGGAGATGAGAGTCTCTACCAGTGGGCACCTGCCCTCCTTCACACACCCCTGCACACTCACCCCTTCTCACCCGGCTCTGCTCACAACCCCCCAGGTGTTCCCTCCTCTGCGCTCATCCCCTCCCAAGAGCCCCCTCCCTCCTGCCCCATACACCCTTCCCAGCTCACCCCTGCCCACTCACCCTCTGCACAGCTCTCCGGCTCACCTTCCCTACCCCTCCAGCTCACCCTCCCCACAGCCCTTCTGCTTATCCCCTCCCCACTCACCCCTGCCCACTCAACCTCACCATCCTGGCCCACTTACTCTCACCCACCCCTCCAGCTCACCCTCCCCACTCACCTCTGCCCACTCTTTCTCCCTACTCCTCTTGCTTACCTCCCCACTCACCTCTGCCCACTCATCCTCTCTACCCCTCCTGCTCACCCTCCCCACTCACCCCTGCCCAACCTCTCTACCCTTGCCCACTCACCCACCCCTTCAGCTCACCCTCCCCACTCACCCCTGCCCACTTACTTTCACCCACCCCTCCAGCTCACCCTCCCCACTCACCCCTGCCCACTCAACCACCCCTTCAGCTCACCCTCTCCACTCACCCCTGCCCACTTACTTTCACCCACCCCTCCTGCTCACCCTCCCCACTCACCCCTGCCCACTCAACCTCTCTACCCTTGCCCACTCACCCAACCCTTCAGCTCACCCTCCCCACTCACCCCTGCCCACTTTCACCCACCCCTCCAGCTCACCCTCCCCACTCATCTCTGCCCACTCATCCTCTCTACCCCTCCAGCTCACCCTCCCCACTCACCCCTGCCCACTCAACCACCCCTTCAGCTCACCCTCTCCACTCACCCCTGCCCACTTACTTTCACCTACCCCTATTGCTTACCCTCCCCACTCACCCCTATCCACTCAGCCTCCCACACCTCTCCAGCTCGCCCTCCCCACTCACCCCTGCCCACTCACCCTCCCCAACCCTCCTGCTTACCGGTCTCCGGACTGCGTGATGAGCCGGCGGCACGTCTCCATCTGCACGTCCAGGCCCCGCTTCATGCTGCACATCTCCATGTACTCGTGCAGGTGCCGGTTCATGTCATTCTTGGCCGTGGCCAGTTCCAGCTGGGCGGGACAGGGCAGGGTGGTCAGTGAAGGGGGGCTCGGGAGGGGCACTGCCAGGTCGGGGGGCCCTGGGGACAGCATGGTGAGCACTCGCATGGCAAACCCCAGTGGGCTGTGCTGGCCTTCTCATGTGGGCCAGGCTGGGCCCTCCTCATGGGGTTTCCTGCCTTGGCCTTGGCCCCCACGTCTCCCTGCACCCATCCGGCCTCACCCGCAGCTGGGGGTTGGTGGTGCTCGGGGTCACTCCTGCTCAGGGCCACACAGTAGATCCCAAGGTGCTAGGGTGAGCCCAGGGGTCCTGCCTGGAGCGCAGGAGCACATCACGGCAGCCAGAAGTCCTCCCCACCCGTCACAGGTGATACCCACTGCCCCTCCCCCCAGTGTCCCTGTCACTATCTCCCCCTCAGGAGCTGTCCCCAGAGACTCACAGGTGACTGTCTCCCCGAATATCCCTAAGACCGACTAAATTTTTTTTTGCGGGGTGGCTTGGGGTGGGGGGTTTGGGTCACACCAAGCACTGCTCAGGGCTGACTCCTGGTTCTGTGCTCAGGAGTCACTCTTGGCAGGCTTGGGGGACCATATGGGGGTGCCAGGGATGAAACCGAGGTTAGTGTGTGCAAGGCAAGTGCCCCCCCAGCACGGTCCCCACTTCGGTGTGTTTTTTTTTTGCTTTTTGGGTCACATTCAGCGATGCTCACGGCTGACTCTTGGCTCTGCACTCAGGAATCACTCCTGGCAGTGCTCAAGGGACCGGGACCCTATGGGATGCTGGGAATCGAACCCGGCCGCGTGCAAGGCAAAATGCCCTACCCGCGGTGCTATCGCTCCAGCCCCCTTCAGTGTTGTTTTAAATCAACTTTACTCAGCTTGGGGGCAATGGCCGGCCATGCTCGGGGATCCCTCCTGGCGGGGCTATGTGGCGTTAAGGGGTGGGCTGGACTATCTCGCGCCCAGGAGGGTCCCTGTTTAGGTAGGGACGGGTGGAAAACGGTGGGACTGGGCATCAGAGGAAGACCACCTCCCACTCCCCAGAGCCCCTCCCTGCTGCCCACAGGCTTCGAGATCAGCAGAGAGAGGTGGACAAAGGGGCAAAGCCGGGTGGGGGTGGGAGGGCAGCTCACTCTGGGGACAAAGGTCCATGCGGGGAGGTGGAATGAAGCCTCTTGGAGAGGCAACGGAAAGACAGGAACCAGCCATGAATAACCCAGAGGACAGAGAAGGGGCCGCGGGGAAGAGAAGGAGAGGGTCACTGGGTGACAAAGCGGGCAGCAGGACAGCGAGGCTGGGGACAGCTGTCTAGGGGCGCCAGAGGCAGCCTCCGGTTGAGCCAGGGCTCTTGGGGGGGCAGGTCATGCTCGGGGCAGACAGCCGGTGTCCCCAGCTCCCTGCAGACAGACGGACTCCTACACACACCCCAAGGCCTCACCTCAGGAGCGTGGCGTGGGGGGCAGGGTTCTGGGTCCCCCTTGTTTGGCACACGGATCCTTCCCAAGGCTAAGCCGGAAGTCACCGCAAAGGGTGAGAGCACAGGCCTGGGGTGCTCGTGGCCCCCCTGAGTTCCACCCCTGGGCCCCAGGGCCTGAACGGCACCCCAAGCCTGGGCCCGAGCACTCAATGGATGGCCCAGCAGGGAGTGGCCTCAGTGCCAGGATGGCGGGGAGGGGACTTGCAGCCAACCCGGGTTCAATCCCCGCTGTCCCGCAGAATCCCCCCACACGTGCGAGGGACGATCTGGGCACAGAGCCGGGAGTCGGGTCTGAGCACCACGGGGCACGGCCCCCTGGACGCAGCAGACAGTCAAGGAACTAGAGCATGCGCTCTACAGGCAGGGCCTGCTCCCAGCCCCGGCACCACACGGACCGCCAAGCACTGGCCAAGGAGCAGCCCCTGAGCACTGCCAGGCGTGGCCGCCAAACAAGGCAGGAGAAGTGCTGGCCTGGCACGTCTCAGATCCAAGCTCTCCCCGAGGCCCCCCCCCCCCCGAACCCCACCAGGAGTGACTCCAGAACACGGAGCCGAGAGGAAGCCCTCTGAGCACTGCCAGGTGCCAAAACAGCACAGCGGGGAGGGCATCTGCCTTGCACACGGCCAACCTGGGTTCAATCCCCAGCATCCCATATGGTCCACCACCAGAAATCATTCCTGAGTGCAGAGCCAGGAGTAACTCCTGAGCATAGCTGGGTGTGACCCCACCCCCCCCAAAAAAGAAGTAAATAAATGTTTAAAAAAAGAAAAAGAAAAAGAAAAGCCAAGACTGGGCCAGCCGGCGGCCCTCTCTGTGTCTGCGTATTTCTCCTTTTTTTTTTTTTTTTTTTGCTTTTTGGGTCACACCTGGAGGTGCACAGGGGTTCCTCCTGGCTCTGCACTCCGGAACTATCCCTGGCGGTGCTCAGGGGACCATATGGGATGCTGGGAACTGAACCCGGGTCAGCCGCGTGCAAGGCAGACGCCCTACCCGCTGTGCTATTACTCCAGCCCCTCGTTTTTTATTTTGAGGTACTGGGGAAACCTGGGGCCACAGGTCTGCAAGCCACCCCCAATGCCAGCGACCCTTCACTGCGGCATTTATTTATTGATTTGGTTTTGGTTTTTAGGTCACACCCGGAAGTGGTCAGGGCTGGGTGACTCCTGGCTCTGCACTCAGGGACCACTCCTGGTGGTGCTTGGGGGACCCTATGGAATGCCGGGGATCGAACCCGTGTGCAAAACAAGCACCTTCCCCGCTGTGCTACGGCTCTGGCCCCTCATTCCCATGGCGAGAGCAGGGGGGACCCCACCACAGGCCACCAGAGACCGAGACACACCCCCAGCTTCAATCCGGCTGAGGCAAGAGGCAGGGGAAGGGCAGAGAGAGGAGAGGAGGCACCCGAAGCCTCCCTGCACCCCTTGGCTCCAGGCCCCGAGACGCCGAGGGTGACCCAGAAAACGGCTAAGGCTGAGCTGCAGCCAAGATGTTGGGGCCTGGGCCAGAGCAACAGCACGGCAGGGAAGGTCATTTGCCTTGCACGCGGCCAACCCAGGTTCGAATCCCGACATCCATAGGGTCCTCGGAGCACTGCCAGGAGTCATTCCTGAGTGCATGAGACAGGAGGAACCCCTGAGCATCACTGGGTATGATCTCCAAAAAAACACAAAAACAAAGACTCTGATCCCCCTCTAAAGAACACAGTGAAGAGGCAGCGTGGACCCCCAGCCCCAAAGAACACAGTGAAGAGGCAGTGTGGACCACCCCAGAGAAGAGGCAACACCGCAGCAATGCCAAAATCATCCCAGAGGGCAGCGGCACGAGTCTAGGGGGTGTCTGTGAGCCTTGAGCCTGGACCGGGCTGGGAACAAGAGGCAGGAGCACAAGGTGAGGGAGCACTCAGCAGGTGAGGGGAAGGGCCCCGTGACCTCATCCAGATCTGAGCGCTGGGGGAGGTGCGGGGAGCCGCGTCGGACCCTGGTGCCCTTCTCCGGCAGCCCTGCAAGGTTGAGAGTTTCAGGGAAGGCTCCACTTCTCTTTTCTAGAAGGTTCCTCCAGTCTACGGACTAAGAAAGGGACTTCCAGTGACAGTGCAGTGGGCAGGGCGCTTGCCCTGAGGACCCAGGTTCAGTGCCTTGGCACCCCATGAGCACGGGGCTCTCCGCCCTGAGGAGGGGACGGCACTGATGGCCGCACAAGCTGCTCACTGGGCCACACTGCCTAGTGCTTCCCCTAGAACTTCAGGACACCCCCGGGAGAGCACGGGCCTCGGCTGCACAGGGTCCCCCTAAACCTGGCACGGCGGGAAACAGCCCCTAAGCACATCTGGGAGGGGCCAGCGAGAAAGGACCATGGGCAGGGCACGGGGTTCCTTCCTGGCATCCCATAAGGTCCCCAGAGCATCACTAGGGGCAATGCCTGAGCCCGGAGCCGTTGAGGGGGCCCAAGCCTGAGAAAACAGAACAACATGAAACAAAGAAACCACCAACAGAAGAACAGAAACACATCCTGCAACAGCCAGGCCATTCGAGACTTTGTTTCCAGTGACAGTAGTTTCAGGGCCATACCCAGCAGTGCTCAGGGCTGACTCCCGGCCCTGCCTGCAGTGCTCAGGGAAGACTCCCAGCCCTGCCCACAGTGCTCAGGCCTGACTCCCGGCTCTGCCCGCAGTGCTCAGGCCTGACTCCCAGCCCTGCCCGCAGTGCTCAGGCCTGACTCCTGGCTCTGCCCGCAGTGCTCAGGCCTGACTCCTGGCTCTTTCCACAGTGCTCAGGCCTGACTCCCGGCCCTGCATGCTGGGACACTGGCATAGGAGGGGCTCAGGCAACCCTACGCGGTGCCACGGATGGCAGCCGGCTCTGGTCTGCGCTGTCCTCTCTTGGGGCCACTGAGGCCCGCTCACGGATAAGGCCACAGCCTCGGAGAGCCTGTGCCAGGTCCCTCGGTCCTGAACGCCGCCTAGCCTCATCCTCCGGGGCACGGCAGAGGCACCAGGGCTGGGAGGCGACTCGCCCTGCAGGGAAGGGGGACCTCGGGGCCGGAGAGATGCACAGTGGGGAGGGCGTTTGACTGGCACATGGCCGACCCGGGTTCGATCCCCGGCACCCCAGAGGGTCCTCCGAGCCCCGTCAGGGATGATTCCTGAGTGCAGAGCCAGGAGGAACCCCTGAGCACTGCTAGATGTGGCCCACCCCCTCAAAAAAAAAAACCATCAAAAATATTAAGGAAGGGGCTGGAGCAATAGCACAGTGGGTAGGACGTTTGCCTTGCACGCAGCAGACCCGGGTTCAATTCCCAGCATCCCATATGGTCCTCTGAGCACCGCCAGGGGTAATTCCTGAGTGCAGAGCCAGGAGTAACCCCTGTGCATCGCCGGGTGTGACCCAAAAAGCAAAAAAAAAAAAAAAAAATATATATATATATATATATATATTAAAGAAAAAAGGGAACCTGCGTCTGGGCCATCGCTTGGCCAGGGTCGCCTGGTGCCCACCCCTCACCTCGATCTGGCCGATCGTCTCCTGGTACTCCTTCTCCCGGGACTTGAACAGCGACTCCGTGTCTTTGATCACCTGCTCCAGGCTGTCCTCCTGCTGTGGGAGAGAGACGTGCACGGTCAAGGGTGCACGCCCGGGCCAAGGGATGCAGGAGGGGGACAGAGGGGGACAAGGGGACAAGGGAACAGGGGGACAGAGGGGGACAGAGAGACAGGGAGACAGAGAGGGACAGGGAGATAGGGAGAGATAGAGAGAGACAGAGAGACAGCGAGAGACAGAGACAGAGACAGAGACGGGCGGGAGACAGAGGGGGGCAGAGGGGACTGGGGGGACAGGAGGGCGGGGCCGGGCGGCAGCGGGGGGAGGCGCTCTGGGTCTGGGGGGTGGCGCCGGCCGGGCCTTTACCTCGCCCTGGGCCTCGGCGGCTGCCATGGCATAGCCCGAGAAATCCTCCCAGAGCAGCAGCGTCTCCTCGGTCTCCTCCCAGGTCAGGCTGTCGCAGTCGTCCTCGAAGTCGTACTCCCGCCTGGGGAGGGAGGCGTCTGAGGGGGGCGGCGGGCAGGGGGGCGGCCCGGGGACCCCCGCACCGCACTCACAGCTGGTTCAGCATGCGCTGCATCTCCTCGTTGATGCTCAGGGCCGCGCTCTCCTCCTCCTCCCCCGCGGGGGGCCGCGGCCCGGCGCTGTCCCCCACCGGCGGCGCGTCCTCCTCCGCCGCCGCCGTGGCCGTGGCCTTGCGCTCCCGCCTCCGCCCCCCCATGGGCGGGACCTTGGGGGGAGAGAAGGGCAGAGACTACAGAGACCAAGCCGGGGGCACGGGGACCGCGGGGACCACGACAGGGACGGAGACGGCCGAGTCACGGACACACGGACAGACGGACACGGCGGGGGTGGGGTGGGGTGGGGTGGTGGACAGGGTCGGGCTGCAGAAGAACGAAAAGGTGCGGAGAGGAGAAGATTGGGCAGGGGAGGGGGGTTGAGGGGTGAAGCGGGGCCTGGAGCCCAGAACAGGTAGGAGCCCGTGGAAGCGGGGAGGGGCCGTGGGGCAAGAGACACCGCCCTGGGGGGAAGCAGAGACGGACAGAGAGAGACAGAGATGAGAGAGATAGAGAAAGAGAGAGCGAGAGAGTGAGAGACAGGAGAGGGAGAGCGAGGAGAGGCGAGATGGGGAGAGGAGAGGAGGGGAGAAAGGAGGAGCGGGAGAGGGAGAGGGAGAGGGAGCGAGCAGGCGGAGAGGCCCGCGGGTCAGGGCTGGCGGGGCCGAGAGAGGGAGGAAGGGGCCGGGACTGACCAGCTGCTTCTGCGGAAGCGGCGGGGGGAGAGAGGGGAGAGCGGTTAGAGGCCGGGGTTGGAGGCCGGGGCGCCTGGAGGCCGCCCGCAGCCCCGCCGGGCCTCACCTGGAACATCCTGATCACGTCCTCACAGTTGCGCTGCTGTGCCACGTCGCAGAGCCGGGCCGTGATGTCGATGCGGCGGCAGATGTCCATGTCCACCTTCATGGCCTTCTCCTGGATCTTCGTGTCCAGCTCCGACAGGTTCTGAGGGAGGGGGCCGTGAGGAGCGCGTCTGCCCCGGGCCCACTCTGCTGCCCACCCCCGAGGACACAGCGGCCAGGGGGCGGGGGGGGGAAGGCCAGCCGGGGACACGATGCCCACGACCGGGTGGGGGGCCGGAAGCCGAGTGTGGAGGGAGGGGGCGGAGACCGGGAAGCTCAAGCCACCAGGGCTGGTGCGGACTGGTTTGAGGCAGCTAGAGTGACGGACAGAAGGAAGGACGGGACAGGGGGTGGACAGATGGACGGGAGGAAGAGTGGGTGGGGAGGCAGGTGGGCGGGTGAACAGATGGACGGAAGGATGGGTGGAACAGATGGACAGATGGGCAAACAGGTGCGAGGCTGGGTGGGTGGGTGGGTGAGTGGGTGATGATGGGCTGGCGGACGGTGGACGGAGGGACAGACACGAGATGTCTGCATGGGTGGATGGCCAAGCCCCCAGGTGAAAGGGTGTGTGTGTGTGTGTGTGTGTGTGTATTCGTGTTGTGCTTTTGTGTTGTGTGTGCATGTGCACGTTTGTGTGCGTGCGTGTGCAAGTGTGTGTTCTGTGTGCGTGTGTGTTACATGTACACGTGCATGCATGTGCTTGTGTGCGCATGTGTGTGCGTGTTTGTGTGCATGTGTGTGTTTATTCTGTGCACGTGTGCACATGCAAGTGTGTATTCTGTGTGTGTGTGTTACATGTACACGTGCATGCATGTGCTTGTGTGCGCATGTGTGTGTGTGTTTGTGTGCATGTGTGTGTTCTGTATGTGCCTGTGTGCGCATGCGCATGTATGTGCCGTGTATGCGTGAACACACAGAACCGGGGTCCCCCCACAGTTGGCCCTGGGCATGGAGCTGGCAAGTGCCTCCTCCCGGGTCTGGAGCCCAAGGAAACAGGCGAACCCCAAATCACAGAGAGGCGGGGCTCAGGGTTCTGTGTGCACACGTGTGTGCGTGCGTGTGCGTGCGTGTGTGTGCATGTGGGGTGCGTGTGCACTCACATTGCTCATGAGCCCCTTGAACACCACGAGCTCGGCTTTCAGCTGCTCCACCTTCATGGCCAGCTCCTCCTGGCAGGCGTCGGCCTCCTGGGCCTCCTGTGGGCGGGGGCAGCGGTCAGGGCGGCTGGGGGGTCACGGCGCAGGGGCAGGGCGGGAGGGGGCTCACCTCCTGCAGCTCGGCCACGCGCTCCTGCAGCTGCACCCGCACCGTGTACTCCTCTTCCCACCTGGGGACACAGGAGGAGCGGTGGGCGCGCGGCCAGGCGACCCTCCCCCTGCACGGGGGCGGTCTGGTGGCCACAGGCGCCACTCACAGCTGCCAGGCAGCAGCTGCCGGCCTTTCTCTCTCTCCCGGCCCCCGCCCACCTGCCCAGCCCAGGCGCCCACCTTCAGAGCCCAGATCCGGGGTCTCGCGCTCCGCTAGCCTCCGCCCTCTCCTGGGGGGATCTCTCCTGGGGGGCCATTTCCACTTAAGCCTGGAAAGGCAGCCGCGGGCACAGGCCAGGTCAGCAGAGGTGGGAGTTGGTCGGGGGCCTCGTGGGATGCTCAAGGGCCGCCCCCTGTATCCCCCCCATCCCGGGGGGGAGGAGGAACCCCAAAAACCACCCACCTGGTGCCCCTCCCTCCACAGGGGAGCACTAGGGAAGCAGGCACCCTGGAGTCTAAGCCCCACACCCGAGGGGTTAGAGACCCTGTGGGTGAGAGGCAGAGCGTGGGGGTCAGGATGTGCGGCCCCCCCACAGCAGTCAGGTCTGCTGGGTGCACGGCAGGAGAGTGGGGGCAGTGCTAGGGATCTGGGGGCCCCCCAGGGTCGGCCCTGGGCATGAAGCTGGCAGGGGCCTCCTCCCGGGTCTGGAGCCCAAGGAAACAGGCAAACCGGAATCGGAGGGAGGCAGGGCTCAGGGAGTCCCTCCCCCCTGGCCGGCTGCCCTGGGCTCACTTGCTCCCCACATCCGCACTGCACCATTCCTAATAATAACCTGGCTGCAGCCGCGGGCCCCTCCCCCCCCGCCCTCCTGCTGGTACCATGTCCTCTCAGGCAGGTGCCCAGAGAGCAAGGACACCATCAGCCAGGAGGATATGCCCCCCAGAAGTGGGGAAGCCTGCAGGGGAGGGACCTCGGGGAGTTTGGCCGGAACCCAAAGGGGGCTTGAGAAGGGTTCGGGTCCACTCACAGAGAGGCCCAGTGCAGGGGAGGCTGCACCCACATGCCCCCATAGAATGACCCAGTGGGAGGAGCACCCACACGCCCCGCCTATTTGCTCTGCAGCTGACACCTAGGGTCCCACGGGGCTTGGCAATGTTGGGGGGGGTGGGCTGGTGCCGGGGTCGGAACCCAGGGCTCCCACATGCAAGTCAGGTGCTTTCCTGCTGATTCACATCCCAGCACCCTGGGCTCCCCTGACGGGCCGGAAAGGGATGCTGCGGCGGCAGCAGGTGGGGCGCTGGCCTGGCAAGAGGCTGACCTGGATGCAGTTCCTGGCACACTGTGTGGTCCCCTGAGCCCGGCCAGGGCTGATGCCTGAGCACAGAGCTGGGAAACAGCCCGGGGTGTGGCCCCAAACCCCCCCCCCAAAAAAAAACCTCTTGTTTTCCTTAAGCTGGGAGACTTGTTTGGCATGTGAGACATCTGTCTTGCGTGCGGTGGATTCCAGAAAGGTCCCCTAAGCACTGCCAGGATCGACCCCCGAGCGAGCAAAGAGCTGGGAGCAGCACCCAGTCCCCCCAAGAAGAAGAAAGACGGGAGGGTGACGGCAAGGTCTGAGCAGGCTCCACGCGCCTGTCTCCCGGAGAAACGCATCTGTGGGGGGAGGGAGGAACTGGGGCCATGTGTGTGTGTGTGTGTGTCTATGTCTGTGTGTGTGTGTTTCTGTGACGGGGTCTCCTTCTATCTCAGAGGAGAGACCGGGATAAAGAGCCCCCCCACCATCCAAGGTCACTCAAGGCTGGGAACAGGCGACTGAGTCGCAGCTGTCACCCCTCAGTGCCCCAAGTGGGGCTCAAGCTTCCTGGCACCCGGAGCTGAAGTGCTGCTAAAAACGGAAGAGAAGGAGGCCCCGGGGGTCTCGGGGGAGGGGGGGGGCAAGAATGAGGCGCAGCTCGAGGCACGTCCTGGCACCGGAGCGGGCTTTGCCAGGCGTCATGCCGCAGCGGGATGAGCTCATCCCTCCCCCAGGAATAACTCCGCGCCCCAGACAGCTGGACCAAGGACAGACGAGCTCTTTCAGTTATAAAAAGAAGGAAAAAAAAATCCCCTGAAAACAGGAGTGGCTCCTGTGGTCGTGGAGGTCTTCCAGAACCATCCGCGCCCGCCCACGGGGGCGGGGCCACCTCCGAAGGATGGCGTGAGGGTAACTGAGAGCCCAGAGCCGTCTCTGACCCACCCTGTGGCCCATGAAGACAGCAGGGGGTCACGATGGGGGACCCCCTAGGGGCACAATAAGTGCCCAGCAGGAGACAGCCCTGAGGGTCCCGCCCTCGCCCCCAAGCCCAGTGGCAGTTTCCAGAACAGTCAATCCCTAAACCCACTACTGAACCCCACGCCGGTGTCAGCCACGAGGGGTGGGGATGGGGGAGGGGGGCGCTGCGGGGTTGGGGGTGGGATGGGGGGGGATGGATGCAACGGTCGTTCCCAGGCTGTCCACCAGGGGGCGCGGCAGCTGGTTCGGCGGCTGAGCCTGAAGGTACCCAGTCCAGTTCCCGTCCCACCTGTCACCGCCCGACCCTCCTCAAGCCCGAGGGGGGCGACTTTCACAGCTTCCACAAACTACAGCCCGTGAAAACGGCTCATGCAGCAGAGGCCAGAGCGCTAGCACAGCGGGTTGGGTGCTTGACTTGAACTGTGTGCAGCCGGCCGGGGTTCGATCCCCAGCATCCTAGATGGTCCCCCGCCCGCCCCCAGCACCACCGCGAGCAGCCCAAAATGAAAAGAAAAAAAAAATAAACAAATAAAAACCTGCTCATGCACCCTCTCCAGGGTCCAGTGGCCAGCAGCCAGTCCCCAGGGTCCCCCGTGTGGCCCCTGCCCCAGGTTCCTGGAGAATGCCCAGCCCCTCCCCCACGCCCGGGGCGGGTCCTTCCCAGCTGCTTCTTACTCAGTTTCCTGTGCTCCGCCTTCAACTCCACACACTCACATTTTCCTGGCGGCCAGTGCCCGGCCTGTCTTCCCCGTCCCCTCGGATTTGGGACATCCCAAGCATTGTAACCCCACCCCAAACCAACCCGGGGCCTGCAGCGACAGCAAGGCCCAGATCAGGCCCATTTCCAACAACACAGCCAAACCCAGGCCCGAGGCGCCTCCTGCCTGTCGCTGCCCCTCCTGGGCATCCCCAGCAGCCCCCCAGGCCTCTCCTTGACCCTCTTAGCTTTGATCACCCTGGGAGGCTTGAGTCTCCCCCCGCGCGCGACCCTGTCACGGAACCCCCCTCGTGGACACACACAGCTGCCCCACGGGAGTGAATGGGTCACCGTCCGGTCCTGCTCCCCGTCCTGAGCGCCACTTCCCCATTTTCGGGGAGTCTGGTCTTCCGGCTTCCAGCCCGTCCTTCCACTACCCAGCTCCTCCTTCCACCGCAGGAACCGGCGTCCCCGTTTCTGTCCCCCCCCACCCCGCCCCCCCCCCGGGGTCCCTCTCCCGGGGTCCCTGCGCACCCACCTCCGCTTGTACTCGTCCCGCTCGCGCTTCACTTTGGCCAGGACGTTGTAGAGCGCGCGGATCTCGGGGGTGATGGTGTCGATCTGGACGCCCACCCCGTCGGGGTGCACCCAGGACAGGCCGGGCCCTTGCACCAGCGTGGGCTCCAGCCCCGGGCCCAGGCGGCGCGCGTGCGAGAAGGACCAGATGGTGCCGGGCGCGAGGCGCGCGGCGGCCGGGCCGGGCGCGGGCGCGGGCGCGGGGCTGGCGGGCGAGCCGAGCGGCCGCGCCGACGGGGCGCACACGGCGGCGGGCCGCGCGCCCAGGGCCAGCCCCAGCGGCCGGATGGGGCCCACGAAGCCCGTCTGCACCGCCTGGTCGCGCCGGCCCGCGCCCCGCCGGCCCTGCTTGCCCTCCTCCAGCGCCTGCTGCAGCTGCTTCTCCAGCAGCCGGTTGCGGCGCTCCAGCTCGTGCACCTTGGCCAGGAAGCAGCGGAAGCGCAGGTTCAGGGTCTTGAGCACGTTGATGTTGGAGCCCAGGTCGTTGCGGAGCGCCATGGCGGCGGGGGGCGCCCGGCCCGGCCCGGGGGGCGAGTAGGCGGCCGCGCCGGCCGCGCCCAGGCCGGCCGGGGGCGCGTCCCCGGCGCCCGCGAAGTGGTCGCCGCCCAGCGGGTCCCCCGGCGACCCGGCCAGGCCCTGCTGCTCCTGCTGCAGGAGGAAGAGGTTGGGCCCGAATAACGGGTTCATGGCTGCGCCTTCTGCCGGGAGCCCGGCGCAGGAGCAGGGATGCGGGGCGCGGGCGCCGGCCAATCGGGGGCCCGGGCGGGCGGGCCGGCCAATCGCGCGGCACGGCGCGGAGGGCAGGGGGCGGGGAGGCGGGGCGACGCGGCCAGGGGGCCAATCAGCGGCCTCGCTGGGGCCGGCCGCCCGGACCCCCCTGGGTGGGCCTGGGGCCCGGAGGGGCGCCCCTAGCCCCGTTCCGAAGGGTCCTGGGTGGGAGCTTTGCCAGGAGGACGGACGGCCCAGGGCCTCCGCTTGGCCACTGGTGCTGGCGGTGGGGCGCGCATCCTCCCCTCCTCTCCGCCAGAGTCCAAACTATCGACCCGAAACTCTTAGCTTCGGGCCTGAGTGAGCCCCTGGAAAGCATCCTGGGGGCTGCAGTGATAGCACAGCAGGTAGGGCGTTTGCCTTGCACGCGGCCGGGGTTCGATTCCCAGCATCCCATAGGGTCCCCCGAGCACCACCAGGAGTAATTCTGAATGCAGAGCCAGGAGGAACCCCTATGCATCGCCAGGTGTGACAAAAAAAAAAAAAAAAAAAAAAGCATCCTCTGGTTTCTCTATCTCAGCAGTGCTACCGTGCACGACCTCCGCCCAGAGGACCACGGCAAAACCAGTCTGTCCTGTCACCCCCACCCCATCCAAGAAACCCAGCCGCTGGGGATGACTGGGTTAGGATCACAGAAACACACAACAGCCAGGGGGGTGGGTTGAGAAAATACAGATTCATTTGAGGGGCAGGGGGTGGCGGGGAGTAGAGTTCCACATCCGGCCAGGGCCGCTGGGGCTGCCTACTGCCCGGGGACGGAGGTTTTCCTTCTCTTTGCGGGGGGCCGTTTGAAAGCATGGGGGGATGTGTGTGGAGTCTTTGCTGCCTTGGGGGTGCCGTTCTGTTTCTGGAAGGCGGTTTTCTTGGCCTTCTTGGGCCACCGTTGCTTTGCCGCTTTCTTCCCCTGGATCTTTCCAGCAGGCCCATCCTGGTCTGGTTTGCGAGGGGCCTGGGTCTCCTCGGCGAGGGGGAGCGGGGCTAGCTCGCCTTGGTGCGGGCCCTGGGGCGAGGCCGCCGGCTTCGGGGAGGCCCGCGGTTTGGGGCGCTGCCGCTTGCCTTTCTTGGGCACCTGCGGCTGGCCGGGCAGCTGGCCGTTTGAGTCGGGCGCTTCGGCCGCCAAGCTGGAGCCTGTCCCCTGGGACGCGCCGCTCTGCTTCTGGAAGCTGGCCTTCTGGGGACGCTGGCCTGCCCGCACCTGCTGCTTTCCCTTCTGGGCCCCTCGAGCCTTCTTGGCAGGCTGGCCGTGGCTCTCGGGCGTGGGGGTCACCTGACCGTTCACAGCAGACGACTCCGGGGTGGCCGTGGCGGAATCTCCTGGGGTCGAAATGAAAGAGGGTCTGAGAACACCATCTTGCCGGGAGTACTACTGGGGAGGCTGCTAAATGCATGAACACCTGGTACTGGGAAACATCTAGTACTGCCCCCAGGATGGAGCTGGCCTGGGCTCTCCGGGCTGCATTTGAAATGTGCATCAGAGAGAGGACGGGGGCTGGAGCAATAGCACGGTGGGGAGGGCGTTTGCCTTGCATGCAGCCGACCCAGGTTCGATTCCCAGCATCCCATATAATCCCCGAGATGGAGTAACTCCTGAGTGCAGAGCAAGGAGTAACCCCTGTGCATCACCGGGTGTGACCCCATAAAAGCAAAAAAAAAAAAACCATGGGGAGCGAGAGCACAGTGGGTAGGTGTTTGCCTTGCATGCAGCCAATCAGTATTCCATATGGTCCCCCAAACACCGCCAGAAGTGACCCCCAAGAACAGAGCCAGGAGTAACCTCTGAGAACTACCAGGTGTGGCCCCAAAACCAACCAACAAAAGATTCCTTCTCAGTCTCCCAGTCTTGGTTAAAATGGTTTACAGGAGGCTGCGTTCACATATGTCCAGCTAAGGAGATGCCAAGGGAATGGCGGCAGCATTCCCCCCCCCCCTTTTGGGTCACACCCGGCGATGCACAGGGGTTACTCCTGGCGTTGCTCGGGGGACCATATGGGATGCTGGTGGCATCTAGCCTGAAAGCTAGAAGAGTCTCCAAATTGGAGCCACAGTCTCCCAGGTGGGCTCTGAGGAAACGCCCAGCAATAAGGCATGCAGGTGAGCCGAACCAAACTCTGAAGACAGTGACCGACACAGTAAGACTCTTTGGCTTTTTATGTTTTCTTGGGCCACCCCTCATGCCAAGCTCTCTCTGGCCCTAAATATGTGTTCCTGCTTTTTTTCTTTGGAGTGGTGGGGTGGAGGGCCCCACCCAGCAGTGCTTAGGGATTACTAACTTTTGGAGGGCTGGCGGGACCTATGGGGTGTTGGGGATGAAATTGGGGTCAGCTGAGTGCATGGCCAGCGCCTTGTGCCCTGCCCTGCATCGTGGCTCCAGCCCCTTAACACATGCTTTTAAAGTTAACCCAGGGGCTGGAGCGATAGCACAGCGGGTAGGGTTTTTGCCTCGCATGCGGCCGAGCCGGGTTCAATTCCCAGCAATTCATATGGTCCCCTGAGCACTGCCAGGAGTAATTCCTGAGTGCAGAGCCAGGAGGAACCCCTGAGCATCACTGGGTGTGACCCAAAAAGGAAAAAAATAAAGTTCATTCTTTTTTTTTTCTTATTCTTTTGGGTTTGGAGGCCACATCCAGTGGTGCAGAGGAACAAAGGCATGCGGGTCCCGGGGCTGAGATCTCTAAGCCTGTTCGGATCGGGGCTGAGCATCCTCCACCCAGATCCTCCATCTTCCAGTAGGCAGGAGTCACACCCACCAACTGGCCCCCTGGTGCCGGGTAATCCCATCAATGGCCATGACCCAGAGACTATAAAACCCAGCTCCCAGAAGCGTGTGGCCGCGCGACATCTTACTATCTCATTCTTACTTTGGACAACCTGGCAGGCTACTGAATATAACCTGCCCACACGGCAGAGTCTGGCAAACTCCCCATGGCGTACCCAATATGCCAAATACCAGTAACAATGCTGGGTCTCATTCTCCTAAGCTTGAAAGAACCTTGAATGTGGCACTTTTTAGAATCTCAGGGCTAGGACAAAGGAGACATTACTGGTGCCTGCTCAAGGCAATCGACGAACAACAGGATGATCGTGATCGTGACCCAGTGGTGCTCAGGGCTTACTCCTGGCGGGGCCAGTGGGCTCGACAGGGTCCCAGGCATCCCCCCGCTCACCCTTCTGGGGCTGGGGCAGCGAGTTGGCGAACTTCTTGAACTTGGCGATGAAGAACCCGTCCATGTTGTGGGTGTGCGGGTAGAAACGGCGGGTGGAGCGCAGCGTCGGGTGGAAGCGCCGCTCCCGGAAGCGGGTGAAGCCCTCCTGGCCGAAGTCCAGCCCCGTGGGCACCAGGCGCACGTTCCGCTTCTTCAGGGCGTAGTCCACCACCCACTCGTTCTCCTCCACCTGCCGGCGGGAGAGGGGTGGGAGGTCGGCGCTGGCCCGGGGGACCCCGTGCCCCCGCGCCCCCCGGCCTGGGGCCGACAGCTCACCATGATGGAGCAGGTGCAGTAGACCACGTAGCCGCCCGTCTTGGAGGTGGCGCTGACCGAGTCGATGGCGCTCAGGAGCAGCTCCTTCTGCAGGTGGGCACACCGCAGCACGTCCTTCTCATCCTGTTCGGGGACAGACGCCGGGTGGCTATTCAAAAGGCAGCCTGGGGACAAGCGGTCAGCGACCGCCAGCCTAAGGAGCCCCCTCGCCATCCCCACCCTCACCCCCCACGGCCGGCCCCGCCCAACTCCTCACCTTGTTGGTCTTCACCGCCGGGTCCTTGGAGATGACACCGGTGCCACTGCAGGGGGCGTCCAGCAGGACACGGTCGAAGCCCCCAGCCACCTGGGAAAGGGCGTGTGGGCGGGGAACCCTGGCGTGAGCGAACTGGACCCCACCCCACCCTAATGTCGTGATGTCCCTGGGGCAAGTCTCTGTGTCCCGAGCAGGGCCCCCGTGGACACCCACCTTGGGGAACTGGCGCCCGTCGTACTGGCTGACGATGGCATTGGTGACCCCCAGGCGGTGCAGGTTGCCCACCACACTCTTCAGGCGCTCCGCGTTGGCGTCGTTGGCGAGGATCACGCCCGTGTTCTTCATCAGCTGGGCTGAGGGGAAGGTGGGCACCGGCTTCACGGGGCAGCCCCCAGCCCAGCCCAGCCCAGGGGACGGCAGGGGAGGCCTGCCACTCCCCGCTCTGCACTGGCCACCCAGAGGGCCACCGGGGCTGTGTTCAGGGATCACCCGTGGGGGTGTCTGGTGAACGCCATGTGGTTCCCAGGATTCAGCCACACACAAGGTAAGTGCCACCCTGCTGTACCCCCACTCCAGCTCTTCCAGTTCTTACTGCACATCTCACTCCTTTTCTTTTTTCTTTTTTGCTTTTTGGGTCACACCCAGCGATGCGCAGGGGTTACTCCTGGCTCTGCACTCAGGAATTACTCCCTGGTGCTCGGGGGGACCATATGGGATGCTGGGAATCGAACCCAGGTTGGCCACGTGCAAGACAAATGCCCTCCCCGCTGTGCTATCACCCCAGCCCCAACATCTGACTTCTTTTCAGTTGTTCCTGGGTTTGGAGGCCTGGACCCAGGCGTGCTAAAAGGCCCTTCCCTCTCAGTGCTCGGGGATTTGCTGGGGGCCCCGAGCTCTGCGCTCTCTCTCCCCAGCCCCACACCTTCTTTTGGGATTATTCCTGGCAGGGCTCGGGGTACCCGATGGGGTGCCAGAGATTAAACCCGGGTCAGCCATGTGCACCGTCTAAGTGCCTTCACTGTCCTCATCTCTCCGGCCCCTCGCACCTATGAGTGACAAGACCCTGAAGCCGGGAGGGTGTTTGCCTTGCGTGCAGCTGACCCAGTTCCATCCCCGGCATCCCACAGGGCCCCCAAAGCATCACCAGGAATAATTCCCGAGTGCAGAGCCAGGAGGAAGCCCTGAGCATAGGCAGGTGCGGCTCAACCCCGCCCCCCACCAGAAGAACTTCATAAAAACAGTTACAACGTCCCCGTGCTCAAGACTTAACCCCGCCAGGCCCTGAGCACCTTCGCTCAGCCTCAAACCTGGCACGATCCCGGCCCCGTTTCAGAGGACGGCGGGAAAACCAGGGTCCGCCAAGGGCCCCAGGGACACCTACAGGTACATTCAGGGCCGGGACCCCCGCAGACCCTAGAGCCCAGGAACCACTACGAGCCACGCGCACCGCCCGCCCCCCTGACCCCGTACCAATGTAGCTGGTCTTGCCCCCGGGGGCACAGCACATGTCGAGGATGCGCTCGTGTTCCTGGGGCGCCAGGGCCATGACGGGCAGCATGCTGGAGGCCCCCTGCAGCATGTAGTGGCCGGCCAGGTACTCGGGGGTCGCGCCTGGAGAGGAGGAGCAGGCTGGGACACACGGGCCCACGCAGGCACACAGGCGAGGGCGGCAGGGCTGCCGGGCGGGACACACTCACCGATGGGCACGGAGGAGTCGTAGACCACCAGGCCCGTCTTGGACCACTTGCCCAAGGGATCCAGGTTAACGCCGCGGTTGATGAGTGCCTGAAGGTGGAAGCCGGGGAGATGAGCAGGGGCTGTGGGGAGAGCGGAGCCAGCCAGCCCCACCAAGGGCCCCCCCCAGCCCCATCCTTGGGCTCAGGGCGCCTGGGTGAGCCCTGAGCCCTGCCGGGTGTTACCTGAAAACAAACAAAAAAGCCCAAACCCCAAACTTCGACTATAGGAGCCACAGGACAGCGGGTAGGACACTTCTCTCTCATGTGGCCGAGCTCAGCTCAACCCCAGCACCACAACGGGGTCCCTCGAGTCCCACCCTGAGTGATCCCTGAGTAGAGTCAGGATTAAGTCCTGAGCACGGCAGGTGTGCCTCCCCCCACACTCCCCCCCCCAAAAAAAAACACTTAAAAGAAAAAAAAAGGAATGAAAACCTAAAAACCGGGGTGGAGCAATAGCACAGCGGGTAGGATGTTTGCCTTGCACGCGGCCGACCCGGGTTCGATTCCCAGCATCCCATAGGGTCCCCCGAGCACTGCCAGGAGTGATTCCTGAGTGCATGAACCAGGAGTGACTTGCTGTGCATCGTCAGGTGTGACCCAAAAAGCAAAAAAAAAAAACAACCTAAAAACCCCCCTAGGCTGCTAGACCCAGAAAAAAGACAGAGATACAAGATACAAAAGCCCAGTCCTGGGGCCAGGGAGGAAGCTCAGAGGGAGACGCGCAGCCCTGGGCTCAGCCTCGACCCACGGCCAGGCCCCTAGGTGAGGGCAGCAGAGAAGGTCGCAGGTCTGCTTCGCGCCAACTCTCATGACACTCAAAATGTCTGTCTGTCTGACCTCCTGTTGTTCATCGATTTTGCTCAAGCGGGCCCAGTAACGTCTCCATTTTTTTTTTAAAGACTTGTTGTTACTGTGTTTGGCAAATTGAATACGTCACAGGTAGCTTGCCAGGCTTTGCCGTGTGGGCGAGATACTCTCGGTAGCTCACCGGGCTCTCCGAGAGGGGCAGAGAAATCGAACCCGGCTCGGTCGGGCTGGCCACATGCAAGGCAAACGCCCTATCCGCTGTGCTATGGCTCCAGTCCAAGTTATCTAGAGTCTGTCCCTGGCAGGCAGGCTTGAACGGTGGCAGAAAAATTCGGGCAAAACATAACGCCCCCCCCAAATCGAGATAGTCTTGGGGAAATTGTCTGCCATAGAGGCAGGGGGAGGATTGGGATAGGGGAGGGTAATGGGGGTAGGATATGGGGGGGCGGGGGGGAAGGATACTGGGGACATTGGTGGTGGAAAATGTGCACTGGTAGAGGAATGGGTGTTTGATCATTGCATGGCTGAATCTCAAACGTGAAAGCTTCGTAACTGTATCTCGCGGTGATTCAATACAATAAAAAAGAAAAAAAGTGAAAAAAAAAAAAGGCCACAGCAGCAAGCTAGCAGCGCCTGGAACCAAGAACCACAGCAAAACCCACACAGACCAGCCACTCCCACCCGCCCCTCCTCGGGGGTCTCTTCCCTCTGCCCCCTGGCTTTAGCTCCCAAAGTGGGGGCTAGCTAGGGTACTGTCCCCGGGGGGTGCTGGACAACGGGGAAGGAGCCTTGCGTCAAAGTGGGGGCACTTCTGAGCACCAGGCGGGTCCCTGGGGGTCACCGGAGCCAGAAGCCGTGCAAATAACGGGCTTTGAGAAGGCGCACTTGTTGGGCGGAGAGGGTACAGGAGGGGTTAAGGCGCCCGCCCTGAGGGCAGCAGATCCCACTCGGGCCCTGGCACCCCACATGGTCCCGAGCACCTCTGGGGGGGGGGGGGGGAGTCCATTCCTGAGCGGGAAACGGCCCCCAAACTGGAAAACAATCCCTCGCACCCGGGTCCCGAGTCCTTGTCTGTGGGCAGGATTGGCTGCACTCCTCCTCTAGGGGCAGCCAACGGGCACCCCCAGCCCCCTCCTGCCTGACCCAGAGGCCGCGGCCTGGCCGAGACCCAGGACAGCACAGAGGGGTCCCCGGCAACCCCCCCAACTCCCTGAGTTTCTAGCCCAGCCCTCACCTGGGCCAGGTCTCGGCGCCGGGTCTTCAGAGTGTTGGTCCTGAGCGTGATGGGTCGCGGAACCTCGTTGGCTTCTAAGAACTCCACCAGCTGCCAAAGCGGGTGACAGCCGGAAAAGTCAGGTTGGCCAGGGAGGGCGGGAGAGAGGGGGGCGGGTCGAGTGTTCCTCCCCGCCCTGAGCAAAGCTCGGGCAGCCGAAGACCTCCAGAACCAGCCACCACCATGCTGAGACCACTCTCCACACCATGAAGGTACCGGCAGAGGAACAAAGGCATGCGGGTCCTGGGACTGAGATCTCCAAGCCTGCTCGGATCAGGGCTGAGCGTCCTCCACCCAGATCCTCCATCTTCCAGTAGGCAGGGGTCACACCCACCAACTGACCCCCTGGTGCTGTATAATCCCATCAACGGCCAAGACCCAGAGACTACAAAACCCAGCTCCCGGAAGCGCACGGCCGCAAATGTGGCTGCGTGACATCTTATTATCCCATGCTTACTTTGGAAACCTGGCAGGCTACCAAATGTAACCTGCCCACACAGCAGAGTCTGGCAAACTTCCTGTGTCATACCCAATATGCCAAATACCAGTAACAATGATGGGTCTCATTCTCCTAACCCTGAAAGAGCCTTGAATATGGCACTTTATAATCTCAGGGCTAGGACGAAGGAGACGTTACTGGTGACTGCTCGAGGCAATCAATGAACAACAGGATGACAGTGATCATGATCGTGAGGCTGCCAGAGCTAGTACAGCAGGCACTGTACCCAAGGCAAGTGAGCCAGGTCGATTCCCGGCACCCGTCCAACCCCCAATCCTGTGAGACGTGGTCCCTGAGCACAGCCCGGGGTGGTCCCGAAACCAAGACCAAAGACGCGAGAGGCGGAGGCCGAAGGGCCGCACCTCGGACAGGGGGAAGAGGTCCATGAGCTTGCCGAGCAGGAAGTCGCCGTACGAGTAGTAGATGGCCAGGTCCTTCTGCAGGCGGCTCAGGTACTCGGCCCGAGACCGCCCCTCCTCGCGCTGGCTGGAAAAATCCCGCAGCACCCCCACGATGTCCTGGATGCGCTGGTGAACCCGCTGCAGGTCGGGCGCCTGGGTATGTGGGCCGGTTAAGGACCAAGACAGCCCAGCCACAGGCCACAGCCAGGGGCCCGGCCCTCCCTGCCCCATCCTCCTGGGCCAGAAGGATATCCTGCACTGCCTCTCCAGCAGGGGGCAGCACAAACGCATCCTCCTCCACGTTGATCTGGAGGTCCCCGGCAGAGTCCCCGGCATCCTTCGGGGGCCTCGTCTCAGGGGACGGCTCCTCCTCTTCGTCAGAGGACTCCTCAGTCCAGTCACTAGGCACGGTCATCAAAAAGGACATCAGTCCGAGAGAGCGAGAGAGAGAGAGGGGGCAGTAGGCAGGGCGCTTGCCTCACAAGTGGCTGACCCTGGGTCGAGTCCTTGACACCCCTATGGGCCCCCAGACACTGCGAAGCGTGCAGAGCCAGGAGCCAGCCCTGAGCACCCCTGGGTGCCCCTCCCCCCCACCGTCGTCCACCAGCTCCTTCCATAGTTTCTGGAACTCGTCCAGCAGGTCTCAACGGGCAAAGCACGTGCACCAAAAAGGCTTTGCACGCCGGAGGTCCAGTTAACCTCCCCAGCACCGCAAGGCTTCCCGCCCCAAGCACCGGGCCAGGCGTGGCCCCTGAGCCCACCGGACGTGACCCGAAAATCACCAATAAAACAAACGAGAGCAAACTCACCCGGCAGCAGCCTCCTGGGACTTCTGCTTCCGAGCAGCCTTTTCAATGGGCAGCAGCTAAAGGAGAGAGAGAGAAAGAGAGAGAGATGGGTCCTAACACTTGTTCCCTGCTCAGGACAGGCACAGTAGTCCTGGTGGCGACTAAGGGACAGGCAGAATGGGTTTGTGTGACTGCTCCTCTAGGTTTGGGCCTCGCTCTCCATTGGAAACTTCTAAAACAGCCCAGGGCAGAGGCGTGGAGGTGCTCGCCTCGCCCACTCAGGTGACCCCAGTGAGATCCCGGGCACCACGTGATCTCCAAGCATCGCCAGGGGCCACCACCAGGGGGCGTTCCAGAGCACAGCCAGGAAGAGCCTAGAAACACCATGGAGATAGTTTGAAAACAACCAAGGTGGTAGTTATAAGAGTATGTCAACACTGTCCTCCCGTTGTTCATCAATTTTGCTCGAGCAGGCCCAGTAACGTCTCCATTTTGAGACTCTTTTTACTGTGTTTGGCATATTGAATACGTTACGGGTAGCTTGCCAGACTTTGCCGTGCGGGCGAGATACTCTCGGTAGCTTGCCAGGCTCTCCAAGAGGGGCGGAGGAATCGAACCCGGCTCGGCCGGGCTGGCCGCACGCAAGGCAAATGCCCTACCACTGTGCTATTGCTCCAGCCCTCAAAGCACCATACATCAAGTTAAACCATCAAGTTTGGGTAGGGCTGGGCTGGCAACTTCTGGTCCCCTGAGCACTGTCAGGAGGGGCCCCAAGACGAAAGACAACTGAAACTGGGTAAAAATCTCTATCCTGCAGGGGCTGGAGAGACGGCACGGCGGGGAGGGCGCTTGCCGTGCACGTGGCCGACTTGGGTCTGATTCCCAGCAGCCCAAAAGGTCCCCTGAGCACTGCCAGGAGTAATTCTGGAGTGATTCTTGAGCGCAAAACCAGGAGGAACCCCAGAGCAATGCCAGGTGTGGCCCCCAAACAAAATAACCCCCACTCAAACCCATCCCACAGCTCTCTGAAGCCCACGGGTACCAGAGGAGACACGGCAGGGCGCGTCGATGGGACGCAGAAAGTCTCTTCCTTCCCCTCTACCCAGGCTTCTGGCACTAGGCAGGGTCAGCCACAAGGCCCCAGAAGGAGACTCAAGGGCAAGGATCCCTTCTGGGGCAGCCCAGAGAGAAACCTCACCTCTTCATCATCTTCATCCTCTGACTCCGAGTCGAGGCCGTAGTCATCGATCATATCAGCATCACTGTCGTCAGAGCCCCACAGGTCCCCCTGGGTCACCACACCCTCCTCTTCCTCTTCCTCCTCTTCTTCCTCCTCCTCCTCATCCTCGCTGCTGTGAGCTGGTGCTGGGCGCTTCTTGGCCCGAGCAGCAGGGAACAAAGCCTGGGCTCCCTTCGGACTGGGCTGCTGGACAGCTCCTGCGGGGAGTTCCCAAAGCTCTGAGGAATCCTGTCTCATCCCTCCTGCTGAGGCTGGTCCCCACCCCCCAGAGCCCTTCCCACCCCAGTACCCAGACTCCTCCTCGGGCCAGAGACAGCGCAACGGGTAAGGCGCCTGCCTTGCATGTGGCCGCCCAGATTCAATTCCCGGCACCCCAGATGTGTCCCCAAGTAATCCCCAAGTGCAAACAAAGGCAGGAGTGAGCCCTGAGCACAGCCACGTGTGCCCCCCAAAACCAAGTAACTAAAAAGCATCCACCTCCAGATTCCTCCTCCCAGATCACCCAGTCACTACTTCCACGGACCTTTCGAGAGCTTTCCAAGCATCGGTTTGGCCCCAAGGGGCTTATTTGTTGCAGGGGCTTCAGCTGACCCCAACCTCCTCTTGGCCGCCCTGCAGAGACATTAGGAATGAAGACGTAGAACATAGCCCCAGGCCCTACCATGTCCATCGCAGGAAAACATGTGGACCTACCCCCCTCCCCACCCCCACCCATTTTCATCAGCATGACCACACCAGGATTATGTGGCCACAGAGAGGAGGCCTGGGGAGATGACACAAAATGCGCAGTCGCAGGGGCTTGGTCCCAATCAGGTTGAGAACAACCCAAGTTGGCTCACCAAAGCCTGGACATCGACACTCACCGCTTCCGGGCGCGGCTGGACAGCCGCTTGGCATTTTCATCACCATCTGTAAAGAGAAGAAGCAAGATGGGGTAAGGGCAAAGTCAAAGAAATCAAAGTGGGGAGAATAAGAAAAGGGAGCAGAGAGAGACACCCCGGAGCTTCTCCCAGAGTCACAGAAGAGATCCTCCTCCTTCAACCCAAACCAGGCCTCCCCAGACTCCTGAGTCCAACCAACAACATCCTCACCAATCTTCTGTTTTGTTATTGTGCCACACCCGGTGATGCTCAAGATTAACTCCTGGCTCCACACTCAGGAAATTACTCTTGACGGTGCCCGGGGAGGGGGACCGTATGGGATCAAAGCCTGCTCAGTCAGTGCAAGGCAAGTACCCACCCCGCTGTACCATCACTGCAGCCCCAACTTCCCAAACGCTCTGATACCAAAGATTCAAAATGCCATCCTTATCCCTGAATTTCTTTTCTTGCGTTTTGTTGCTGTTGGTTTAATCTTTGGGCCACATCTCGTGATGGTCAGGGCTTATTGCGGGCTCTGGGCTCAGGGACCACTTCTGGCCAAGCTGAGGGGATCCTATGGGGTGCTGGGGATGGAATCAGGGTTGGACGCGTACCAGGCAATCACTCTGCCCACTGTACTAACTCTCCCCTTTCTTTTTTCTTTTTTTTTTTTTTGCTTTTTGGGTCACACCCGGCGATGCTCAGGCGTTACTCCTGGCAGTGCTCGGGGAACCCTATGGGATGCTGGGAATCGAACCCAGGTTGGCCGCGTGCAAGGCAAACACCCTACCCACTGTGCTATCGCTCCAGCCCCCCTCCCCTTTCTTTAGGCTACCGACTTAAGCAGATACTCATTTATAACTTGCTGCTGTTCACTCTCCAGGAAACAAAAGAACTGAAGTCTCAGGCCCGTCACTGGAAGCTCTATGCAGGTAAATTAGAAGGGCCTCGCTCATGTTCACCTGTGGACTCACGCAATCTGCCCAGATCCTATTTCTCAACCCCTAAGCTCCCTGAGTTTGCAAATGGACCCCACTATCACATACTAGTGTGAACCAAAAAGTGTTCCTTCTTTTTGGGATGATGTTGGGGGCAGACGCATACCTGGATATGCTCAGGACTTACTCCTGGCTCTGCACTTGGAAATCACTCCCAGCAGGGCTTGTGGGACCATATGGGGTAGTAGTGGGGATCGAACCTGGGCCAGCAAGGCACAAGGCAAGAACCTCACCCACTGTACTCTCTCTCCGGTCTATGTTCTTTTTTGTCCCTTTTTTTTTTTTTTGGCTTATTCAGTCAAACACCCAGAGATGCTCAAGGGACACACGGGATGCCGGGATTGAACCCCAGTAAGCTGCGTGCAAGGCAAATGCCCTAACCGCTGTACTATCCCTCTGGCCTGTGTTCTAACATCCTTACAAATAACCTTACTAAACAATAACCATTTTTAAAAGAAAAAAAGTGCTTCTCTGACAGGATGCAAAGAGAACAAATTCACAGAGAATGCTGGAAGGGTTCAGCATCTAATAACTCATCACAAGGGGCCACAATCTGAGGTTGAATTATTAGCAAATACCCTGCCCTGCTCTCCTCCGCCATCCCTGCAAACTCCTCAACCTACGGGAGCCAAGACCTGCATCCTCTCCATCCTCGCAGAGACAAATCTGTCTCCATGCCGGGGGTGGGGTGGGGGTGGGGGATGGGAGGGACGCTGGGAGCACTGGAGGTGGGGAATGGGCACCGGTGGAGGGATGGGTACTCGATCATTGTATAACTGAAACCCAAGCACAAATATTTGTAAGTCTACAACTGTACCTCATGGTGTGTCACTAATAAAAATTTAAAAAAAAAAAAAAAAAAGAACTCTGCTTAGGGGCTAGAGGAATGGTAGAGCAGGACAGGTGCATCCCACCTGGGTTCTCCCCCCCACAACCGGCTATGGTCCCTCAAGCACCACCATGAGTAGCCCCTAGTGCAGAGTCAGGAGCCAGCACGGGGCTCTACCGGGTGTGGCGCGAAGACCCTAACCAAGCAAAGAAACAAGAAAAATAAAATCTCCTTAGCAAACTCTTAAACTGCCAACCCTGCGCTGGTGGGAACGCATCGGTGCCTCGCCACGGGCCCGTGGACACGCCGCCCGGTGTCTCGCGCCCCCCTAACAACCCGAAGAGCTCGCCGGCACAGACAGGGGGTGAAGCTTGGGGAAACTGAGGGCACGGGAGGCGGGACCGGCGCGGGCGGGGGGCGGCTCACCTGCGGGCAGGAACCTGGCCAGCTCGGTCTCGGCGCCCTTCTGCTTCCTGGCCTTCCGGCCCGGGCCGCGCTTCTCCTTCTTCGTGGGGTCCAGCTTGCGCCCCATGGTCCTGGGTGGGGGGAGAAAGCCGTGAGTCGGGGCGGGGGGCGCGCGCAGACGCCGATGCCTTGGCGCAGTTGGGGGAGCATCGCCTCCACCACGGCCTCGAGCCTGCTGCCCCTCCAGGCCCCGCGGCCCGGGCTGACCCTCACCCCGCGTGGGGACCCGGGATCCCGCGCCCCCCAGCGCCAGGCCCGGCCGGGGCGACCACCCCGGTGTCCGACTCCGTCCATGCGCACCTGCGGCCGCGGCTCACCTGGGAGCGGGTCCAAGCCGCCGGGGGATGGGGGGGGTTCCCTGGGTGCGGGTGCCGCGCTCCACGTGCACGGGAGGGAGGGTTCGAGCGTCACTCTCGGCCGGGCGGCCCGCGCAGGCGCACACGGCGCGGCCCCGCCCTCCTTCCGGTCGGCGAGCGAACCCGGAAGGCGCGCGGGGCGGAGCGAGGCAAGGTGCGTGGGGCGGGGCAAATCGGGGCGGGGCGGGGCAGGCGCGCGCGGGGCGGAGCAAGTCTCACGGGGCGGGGCGAGGACAGGCGCGCGGGGCGGAGCGAGGCAAAGCGCGAGGGGCGGGGCGGAGCAAGACGCGCGGGGCGGGGCAAAGCTCGCCGGGCGGGGCGCGCCTGGGGAAGGCGGGGGAAGGCGCGCGGGGCGGGGCGGGGCGGGGCGGGGCGCGCCTGGGGAGACCGGGGGAAGGCGCCCGCCCCGCCCCCCCTGCGGCTGCTCCCCGGAGGGCTCTGGCTCGTCGCCACGCGGCCGGTTCGAGCCGGAAACCGGTCCCCGCCAGCCACCTCCGCCCCCGCCCCTGAGCGGAACGGCGGGACTCTCCGGACACCCACGCCCTCGCGTCCACTTTCCTCCCGGCGGCAGCCTGCCTTCCCCCCCCCGCCCCGCCTCTCTCCGGAGGTCTACTTCGGGCCCGCCAGCCCAGCCCTGTCCCTCGGGTGGGCGCGGTCCACCCTGCGCTAACCTCCCGCGCCCGCCTCCAGCCAGCCGGTGGAGCCGTCCAGTCCGCCGCGAGCTCTCGCTTTCATCTCCAGTCCGTCCTGCCCCAGGGCGTGCGCGCCCCGCAGCGAGCCTGCCCTCCCGCAGGGACGCCTGCGCGCGCGCCCACGCCTTCACCTGCGCCTACACCCACTCAGCCAGAGCACTAAAATACAAGGAAACTTTTATTTTCAGTTTTCATCAAGAAATTTGCTGTGGTTTTTTATGCTTTTGGTTCTTTTCCTTTTTTTTTCTTTTTTTTTTTTTTAAGTTTTTGTTTTTCCACTTTATTCCGTTCGAGCCGCTCAGTGGCTGGGGCCGCTGGGTTCCTGGTATTAAAAAGATGCCAACAGAGGTAGCTGTGTCTCGCCCAGGGGCCCGGCCCACTCTGAATACCCCTCCCCCAAACAAAATAAAAAGAGCGTGAGAAAGAGAGAGAGAGAAAAGAAAACACAAAATAAAATAAAACCCAAAGGAGGAAGAAGTTCAGATGGTTTTCTTCAAGCCTGGCGGGAGCCCACCACAGTCTGTGCGTAACAGGAGTTCCGGCGGGAGGCGCGGCCTGCCAGCTCCCGCACGGCCCGCGCGTCTCTCCGGGCGGGCGCCCCGCCCGCGCCCCCGCCCCGTGCGCAGGGGGCTGTTCCTTTGCGACGTGGAAGATGGGGCAGGAGGAGAAGCCGGGCCGGGGAAGGTGAGGACGGTCACTGCTCAGCGGTGGCGGTGGTCTCGGGGGTCTGGGTCTTCACTGCTGCTGGGCTACCTGCGGGGGGAGGAGCCCAGGGTCAGGGGTGCTGAGCCAGCGGGAGGGGCGCCCAGCCCCGCCCGGCCGCCCGGGCCGCGGGTCCTACCTGCTGTGGAGTCGGCTCGGGGGCGCGGTTGGCCAGGCGGCTGAGAATATTGCGCTCGGACATCTGTAGCCGCACGGCGACTGGGGGGATTCGGGCGATGGTGGCGGGGAGCCGCGTCACGTCGGCTTTCATATCACTTAGCAGTTCTTCCAGCTGCTTGAGAACTGCACGCGCGCGGGGAAGAGGGGGTAAGCTGTGACTCCCAAGCAGAACAGCGGCCCCTGGCTTCCTCGCAAGGGTCTGGGCATCACTGGCCACCGTGGGCATGAGTGCCCTGGCCACACACGCCTCCAATTCCAAATGGTTCCCACTGGGTTTGGGCGTTTTTTTTTGGGGGGGGGGGGGCGGTGCTCAGGGCTTATTCCTGGTGGCTCAGGGAACCATACAGGTGCTGGAGACTGAACCTGGTCAGCCACGTGGGCACAAGTGGGTAAGGTTACCCACTGCACCATTTCTCTGCCTCCACATGTCCCGGGTCTTTGGTTTTTGTGCCACACCCAGCGGTGCTCAGCACGTACTTCTGGCAGCTCAGGGGCCCACACAGGGTGCTGGGACTGAACCCCAGTTGGCCCTTATCTACTGTACCATTCCTTGGCCCCCAATATCCTGATCTTTCGGTTTCGCTTTGGAGCCACACCCCGTGATGCTGGGGCTTACTTCTGACTGCTCAGGAATCATCACCCCGGGCGGGCTGAGAGGGGGCCACACAAGATGCCGCGCATCAAAGCCGGGTCTCCCCCGTCCCTTTCCAACCGTTCTCTCTCCTTCCTCGGCCCCCCCCCCCCCCCCACTCCCACAACGAAAGGGGTTGAGGATTCGCCGGGCTCTTGGATCACCTGAAGTCACCCCTCAGGGATCCCAGCTGCCACTATCTTTTTCGGCTTCTTCCACCTCCGAGAGTTTGAATATATTAAGCATGGAGAGAAGCAAAGAACGACTGTCCTCAGTTGCCTCTGAGACAACCAGCAGCTCACAGGTTCCCCGACAGAGGGGCGCTGGCCAAGGGCTGGAACCCCCGAGGCAGCGCGTCTGGGGCGGGGGAGCGGAATTCGGCACGAGGCAGGGGGGCCACTGGCTACCTTTGTGCAGGACCGCGTTGGCTGGCTTGTTCCCAGCCATGGACTCCTTGGACAGGTGCTGATGGCTCTCCGCCAGACACTCCACCTCGGCAAAGCGGGTGTTGAGGGCCATGGAGGGGTGGGACGGGTCCTCGGACATGTTCAGGTACGCTGCCCGGCGCAGCTGCTCCTCTATCACCAGGGCTTGCTCCAGGAGCTAAGGGAGAGACGGGCGTCAGACCCACACCCCTGTCCCTTCCCTCAACGGCCTGGTGCTCTGGGGCACCCCCCAAGGGGCATGAGGGCTGGCCCGTGCTCTGCTCACTCCAACCATCTCCCACACTCACTTTTGGCTTCTTTTCTTTCTTTTTGGCTTGGGGGCCCACACCGGTGCTGGAGGACCGAGCCAGGCAAATGCCTGCCCGCTGTCCTCTTTCTCCAGCCCCCTTCTGCTTTGTTTTCACGGCCCTCTCAGTCTCTTATGGAACCCGGGTATGGTTCCCCAGTAAGCACATTTTGGGGGGCTCCTACTAGTAGGGAACCAGGCCCAGCTGCTACTCAGCCGGCTGCGCCCAATGTTGTAAGGAGATGTGTGGGCACCCGTCACACTAGGGGTGTTCAGGGGCCACTCGGGTTATGCATGGTGTGCAGGAAGGGGCACATACACTGGGGACCAAACTCCGGTCCGTGTGCACACAAAGCATGTACCCAGGAGCCATCTCCCCAGTGCCTGCTTTGTTCTAACTGGAGGAGGTGGACTCCTAACACAGTGCTCCAGTGATTCCCGGGCTGGGAGTTAAATGCGACACACCAAGGAACCAGTGCTGCCTGGGCCCTGTGGTGCCAGGATTACCTGGGTGGCGTGGTGGTACTTGGGGGCCTCGGGGCTGTACCCCGTTAGCTCAGGGAACCATGAGCTAACAGCCCCATGCCTGACCTGGCCCACGTCTCTGGGTCCCCACACTGCTGTATGTGTGTGGTGCCACACTGGGGGTCTCCAGCTCACAAAGCCGGTGCTCTGCCGAGTTACAGCCCAGACCCCTGCACGGCCTTTTTCTTTATTCCCCCTTAAGGGATCGTGTCTTTCCAACTCCTGACCCTTTTAATTCTCCGCATCTTGGTTTTGGCGGCCACACACAGCAGTGCCCCGGGTCTCCAGCCTGCAGACCCTGCGCCCGTCCTGAGCGTCTCCCCTCCTCATTCTCTTGTGCTCCAATTCCACGAATTAAGTTCTACCTTCCGGAGGTAAAAGAGTCAACACCTGAAGGTTTTTCTTTGCATCTACCGGAGAACTGTAGATGGGTGATGTTCCTGCACACCAGTCACAGGCCAACAAGCACAAACAAGGCAGCAGGCAGCTGTCCCGACCGCCCACCCTGGCAGACAGGTGGCTAAGAACCACTGGCGTATAACTAACTCCCGGAACTCAAATATACGTGTATGCACGCATCTACTGCTTTCACTACCAAGTTACTCAGTAAGCAGCTTAATATTAAAAATTAATATATACATGGAGCGATAGCACAGCAGTAGGGCGTTCGCCTTACAAGTGGCCAACATGGCCGACCCCAGTTCGATTCCTCCCCGCCTCTCGGAGAGCCTGGCAAGCTACCGAGAGTATCTCGCCCGCACGGCAGAGCCTGGCAAGCTACCCATGATGTATTCGATATGCCAGACACAGTAACAACAAGTCTCACGAGGGAGACGTTACTGGGCCCGCTTGAGCAAATCAATGAACAACGGGAGGACCGTGACCATATATATATATTTCTTTTTGTACGTGTGTGGAGGGGGGAGGGGGAATCATCACACCCATCAGTGCAAGGGATCAAACAGGAGCAGATGTGTCCCACCGTCCGTCCCATCTCTCCGGCCCACAGCTCCATTATTCACTGCTCATTAGAGAGATGGCTGTGGGGGCGGCAGGCTGCAGTTCTCAGCCTGGTGCTGCTTGGACGACTGCACTCAGGCATGACTCCTGGCGGTGCATGCAGGACCAGAGTGGGTGCCAGGGATCAAACCTGGATAGGTCACGTGCAAGGCAAGCGCCCTACGCACTGTGCTATTGCTCCGGCCCCTATTTTGCTCTTTCAACTTGTTTCCATTGTTTTTTTTTTTCCCTCACCCCCTTTCTTCCTTTTCTTCCCCTCTCTAAGTAAGCAACACATTCAAATATACTTACTGTGTGCGCTCTGGTGGGGGTTGATCTGGGCTCACTGCTGATTTCTAGAAGGTTCTGCATAGAACGGGGTGCTTCTACTTCCTTTCCCCCAATATACCTTTGTTGTTTCAGGCTTTGGGGAGCAGGGGAAGGGGTCATACCCGGCGACGCCCAGGGCTTACTCCTACCTCTGTGTTCACAGATCACTCCTGCAGTGCTGAGGACCATATGCGGTGCCCGGGACCAAACCCCAGTTGGCCAGGTGCCAGGCAAGGGGAC